ATTATTCATTGTGTGCTGGTGGTAATTTATGCACCCCCATATGCTTTCTTTTTTTATGTGATTTTAGTGTCTTGTGAGTGGTTTTAGACACTGGTGGTAGTTGCCTTGCATTTTAACTAGCACCAATGCACCCATATTCTATTCTATTTGGTATTGATTGTTTTGTATAGATTTGATTTGGTCGGTTGGTCTACCACCGTTGAAAGCCTTATTCTATTTTTACAGTCTAGCTCTACTGCTTTACCAAAATACATTTTCTGAACCTACACTTTTACCTGCTTATGAGAGGATCATTTTGCTGCTATTTCCTTTCCTTTTCCATTTGGTAGTTACCCAGTTTCTCAGCTGTTTTACACCTTTTGTGTATTTAGAATCTCTGTTCCTTTATATTCCAAAGACGGTTTGTCAACTTGGCTTATACTTCGATTCTTGCTCTACCCGTGATTTACTTTTGATAAAGGAAACAAAATCCATAACAAAAAGAGAATTTAAATAAAAAAGCAATAGGGACAAGAGAGAAAAGAAAATGAGGGAGAAGGACACTCCAGCAATGAAATGTCTTAAAGGGTTATTCCAAGCACCATGACTGTGGATTTTCATATCTAGAGTTAAGTAAATTGCTACCAGATGTGCAACTCTACCTAGGCCTATTGGGAGGGGAGAAACAGCCTATGGGCAACGAGTAATCTTGCTAAATGACTTTTGTTGGTAATTCACAAGATCATCTATAGGTTTTGACAGGAAAAAGTTTCAGGAGTCTAAACTTCTGGGTGTACGGAAAACATTATATAAACCTCTTCCCAGAATGGGGCATCCATTGGCAAAATTGATACATATTGACATAACCGGGATAAATTGGTTCATAAAGTAAGACTGTGATTGTGTTGTCTATTGACTCATTAATATTGAGTAAATTTGCTCTTTGAATTGTATACAAACAGAAAAGCTGACTCCAAAGCAACTGCCCAATTACCTCCATGACTGCTTCATATTTAATTTGTCACAGAAAACACAATCTTGTCTGCTCAGATAGATTTGTTAGTTGTTTTTGTTGTTTTGTTTTTTGTTTTTTGTTTTTTGTTTTTTCAAGTTTATTACAACCATCAATGTATTTTTTTTTTATTTTTTTTTATAATTTGTATTTTACTGAATTTTATATATGGAATTTTATATATGGGCATATGGTAATGGCTCAGGCGTACACTGCTCTACTTGACATACTGATAGTCAAAGTCAACGGGCTCCCAGGCTGTTGATCCTGAGGTGGGTTCTTGATTTGCCTTCCCCACCTGCTTCCCGCTCTCCCCCACTGCAGTTGCTTGTGCCCACACTTGCCGGTGCATCTCTCTGGTGCATCGCTCCTCTGGGTCCTCATCTGAGGTAAGTGTGATGATTTGGTCGCCTGGGACACCATCAGGGCTCCGTCAGCTCCCTGTGGTACCGCACCAAGTGGTCTCTCAATTCCTTGGCCACTTGGGCCAGTCTTCTTTTTTCAAGTAGTGCGGCAAAGGGGATGTCACTGAAGAACAAAATAGAGGCGCCTTCAAACTTTGCGCACCCCATCACTCTGGAGCGTGCCATGATGGTCGATCGTGTGGCTGTCTCTCTGGTGACGATGATAGTGTTTCGTGGGGCTACCTCTGGCGCCGTCATCACTTTCCTGCCCCTGAACGCTGTTAGTATTATCGTGGGGTCCGCTTCCCCCTTCAGGCCAATGGTAGTGACCAGCTACTGGGTGTATGGGAGTAGCACGTCCCCTTTTACCTCTTCAGGTATCCCCCTCAGGCGTATATTGCGGCATCTGTGTCTGGACTCCAGGGACGCCACAGCACGGTTTAGCCTCTGAAAGCCACTGAAACTACCCTGGACAGCTTAACAAAGTGCCTCTCTCCTCTACCTCTCTGGGCTTTATCTGCATTGCCCCCATATCTTGTCTTATCTCTCGGAGATCCGACTTCCAGATTTGGCGCATTTCCAGGAGCATCTGCTTAATGTTCGCCTTGGTTGCCAGGGACGAGTCATCGTCAGATTCAGCTTCCCGGTGTAAGTCGCCTTGTCTTGGAGAAGTGAGTGATTCCTCTTCCTCCTCTAGGGATTCCTCCGATGTAACTTCTGTGTGGCTTACTGCGGGCACTGGTGGGGTAGGCCGCTCGCTCGAACGAGAGCCTTATATCTTTTTGTTTAGGGGGTTTCAGCCCTTGAAATTTACGGTGCTTACGCCCAATGTTGTCTATGGTGGGGGTGTAATAGTGGAGAATCCTCTCCGGATGAATATGCCGGTGGAATTTAGATAAACTCGTTGGAGTGAAGCGGAGCTGTTCAGTCTCTTGGTCGGCCACGCCACCCCCCACCATCAATGTATTTTGGCGATAACATATGCTATAAAGGGTGATCTTGTTCCACTGTCATGTATAAAGATTCTGATGATTGTGAGGGGGGAAAAGGGGGAGGTTCCTTTAAATTAACATAAGATGATCATTTCTATACATGCATCAGAAATGATAATTGACAGAAGTACAAAACTAACTGCACAATTTGAAATACAGTTAAGATGTCATGTAATCAGAAAATAAATATTAATTTTAAACCTGTACAACCCGGTTTGTCCCTGTTAAGCTGTACATAACATACTCTTATCATTTATGATTATGACCATTCTAATGGGAACATTTTCAAAAACAAAAAAAAAGACTGTTGTGTTATACTTAATGCTCCTGGTATGTGGATATAAAATGAATTGCAGGAGCCAAGAGGATCATTATCAGGCATTATCTCTGAAATAAAAAAAAACAGGAAAACCACAGCTACAATATTTGTGGCTGCCCTGCCACCGGTACTGTTGGATTCAGGGAAGAGACAAGGTTGTTTGCCTGTTAAATATCGGAAATATTCACAATCTAGATTCAAGGTCAGAGGGAAGGACATGGAAGATTTCCAATCGTGCTTTATTAAATCAAAATTAGGAAGAAAAAAAAATGAATGCGGACATTCCGTAGATCTGTTTTTGTTTTTATTTAATTTTTTTCACAGATAATGTGCATTCTATTTGTGGTCAGAGTGTGTAGTGAAAACAATACATTAACATTCATTTATTAAAACCTCAAGTCTCTGTTTGACCTTCCAACAAGCTCGGTTTATTTAAGGTTACATTTTATTTCTTACCTCGAAATTTAGTAACATATTTAAAATGTTATGTGTATCAGATTGATGGACTATAAATCCTGGTTATATGCATGGATTTATGATCAGATTTGTTTGTACATCTTTCTAAATGCATTTTTTCTTTCAAAATATTCTCAAACATTGTATTTAAATCAAAATCTAAAGCTCAGTTACTTACAGGAACACTCTAACGCTATAGTGCCTTAGTCACAGTTTAAGTGACCTGCAGTGGCGACTTTAGGAACAATAAATAGAGTTGGGGGTTACATATGATACCACAATCAAAACTGAGGATGCACTAATAATTTCCATTTGTGTGGGGTGTAACGTCATTGGCTGTTTGGCACCAGAATGCTGGGCGTGTGGGTGTCTAGAGCCCAGATTTGCACAGAATTTACTTTAGCCACTCGGAATTCTTGTTCTGGACTGGCTAATGACACCTCTTAATGCAGATATTTCAACTGTTTAGCAGATGACTCCTTTATTATGGCATTTTTAAGGATACCAAATAAAGGAGCACTAATTAGCGCCCTAATTTGGTATCATGAAATATGGAAATCCGACATAAGGGTATCAATTTAGGGAGTTATTTTCTTTATTTTGATCTTTCAGTAGTTTAGTAGATAACACTAAATGTTTTACACGGGGCATTCAATACATTATTTATTGTCACAGACTGCATACAGTATGCTACATTTTGGTGTTTTACAACCGATCACTCAGCACGCATTAGCAAGTGCTATAATTGACACCATGTGGTTATACCTCCTGTTTAAAAAAAGCATTTTTAGGATTTCCTTGTTTGACTTTATTTGGTTTTCAGACACCTTGATTTTTGCTTCTTTTGATTATTGCAACAAAACTAAACAATCTAGAGGATTAGTCACCACTCATGTCTCAATCTATTGCTCACTTGTGGCGTTACAGAGAGACCCTATACCATTTTCATTTCAGACTGATCCCGCCCATGATCCATCCAGATCCAAATACCTGATAAATCTCTCTGTACAAGAGATACAGCAACCCTGGACAATCATTTTGGCCTTCTTTGTGCCCCGTCATGAAAATGTAGCTGATTCCTCTATAGGCACGGTGGGCATAGAGTCCACGTCTAGATTACCTTTTTAACTTGGGTAGAGGCTAAGCAAATGCAATGCAACAAAAACAGAAAATATGAGAACTCTGAGAAGGGGCAAAAGCTTAGAGAAACTCAATAGCTTTGTCTTCGGTAAATCCACTCAGGTCTCACTTGTGCCATTACAGAGAGAACCTATACCATTTACAAAAACTGATCTCACCCATAACTAAGAGGAGACCATTTAAAACAAAAACTTGGTAACAAGGTTACACATGTCCAGGACTGCACTTATGATTCATGTGAGTTCAACGCCTTGTGTGTTTTTGGCACATGGTGGTGGGTTTTGTGTTCGTTTTATTTGAATACCTTTTAGTATTTTAGTTTCATATTCTTCAACCAAGTCTGTACCAACAACAGTAAAAGATGTGTCAATACATTACCTGATCCTCTAGAATTAATTTGAATCTATAATATTTGCAGAGTAAGAAGACAATTCTAATTTAATACCGAGATCTCAGACTGGGTGAACTATATCTGTTTTTAACATGTACATATCAGAGATTATACAAAAAAAAGCATGTAACAATTATATAGTTTGTGTCCCAGTTCATTGTCACTAGAAATTGTGTTTACTGAGCACTACAATGCACAATTCCTTCAAAATACCCTCCCATACTTGTAATGTGTTTAGTAGAATCACATGTACTGCAATTACTGTATAAACAGCAGTCAAAGCAACCTGCCTCTCACAATTGGATGCTCTGTGCTGGAGACAATATAACATGTCTGAATGACACTATATAAAGACCTGTGCACTCCCAGCTCTCTCAGATCTATCAGAGCCTGGTGGCCATCTAGCTTGTCCACTGTCAGAATACTTTTATCTGCTGAAACTAATCTATTGTGTATTGAACTGAGGGGGAGAAAGAATATGAATCCTGCCAAACTTAGAAGCAGAACAGAAAATCATTTCAAAGCTGAAGAAGAACAAGAAATGGATAATTTAGGGAAAAAAGCTTGGGATAACCCAGCATACGATGGTTCTCCATCGCCAAAGATTAAAGCAATCTACAATCCAAAAACCATGCTGGAGAATCCTTATGACAGTATGGACAATTTGGGAGACCCACCACCCTACCGCGAGCACCAGAGGCCCAAGAAATCCAATTTCTGTTCATTATGCTGTTGTCACATTGCTAAAGGAATAAGAGGTAAGGATAGTTTTTTTATGAATCTGTTGGAAGAATGGCATGGAATGTATTAACACAATTCAGCTGTGTTATACTGATGTGTATGATATTGTTCATCCCTACATACAAGAATGTTCTGCTAAGAAGTTACCTACTACCTTTCTATGGATCTTTAAATACTACTTTTCACTGGTGCATTATAGCTGGAGGTTAGTTAAGGACAAGGTTACTTTGTAAATATATCTTCAAGACATTTCAAGGAAGAGTTTAGTTATACAGGATCATGCAATGATTTGGGAATGGTTGGCAAAATACCTGAATACTGAATTCTCAGCATTCACATACCTGTGGCAAATTATATAGTATATACAAACACATTTGTGAGTGTGTGTATGCCATAATAATAGTATATAGTAAAAGCAGTTATTCGTTCTTTTTTTTTTTTTTCTTTCATTTTCTAACAATGCACATTTCTCTCTTTTTCCTCTGTGTGTGTGTGTGTGTGTGTGTGTGTGTGTGTCTCTCACATATATATATATATATATTAATGTAAACTATCTCCCCCTTCACAAAACTTTTATATGTTTTGTATGTTTAATCGTATGAAAAAAACCCACACTGGGTGAAATATTTGTACCTGTTTCTTAATTGTATTTTGTTTGTTTTCTCAGTTGCTACTGTTAATTTATTTGCAAGAGTGCCCATGAATGCCTGTATATTATAGACAATCCTTGCAGGGCTATTCGGGCATTGGTTAGATTTTTTTTTTTAATGTATATTATGTTCGATTATAGGCCAATATATAAAAAATTTATAATGATGAATGTCTAAAGGAAAAATTTGGAGTGTCCTTTTAACTTCTTTACTGGCATGGAGGCCAGCAATATATAACACTCTACATTTTTTTTTTTTTATACGCTTTTAATTGTGTTGTCACCTGAATATTTATACATTGCTTCCACGTATTGTGTAGCACCGGACACTATGTTTTAGTATTTTATAAACCATCTTTGTTAGATGGCTTTGCATTGGCAGATCTCTGTAAAACCATGATTCTAAGCTTTACCTGAAAAAGCCTGTTTGCTATCTTTAACAATTTTAATATGACCTTGGACCAGGTCACTGAATAATCTGATGCCAAATACTCCATGGAATTAACTCTGGAACTCAATAATACACAACAAAATACAAGCCGTTTGCAGTTTAGCAACCACTGACTATAAATGTTGTTTAACTATCCTGCTGGTTATGCGTCATGGGAATCCTACTCCATAAAAGTTTGAGTAATTCAATTAGTGCTGGGACCAATGTGTCTGCACAAAATCCCATGTTAGAAATCAAGATGGCTGCCTCAACATTTTTTTTCCCTGCTGTAAAGGGGTTTTATTAAATTTATTGTTCATTACACTTAATGATCACTTTTTAAAACTATTGTCTCTGGGTAATGATGATACTACATTTCCTTTTAAAAAGACAATACACTAATATGGAGACAAATAATATCAGGATTCTCCAAAAGCTATTCCAGCAGAACTTCTCGTAAAAAGAAGCACAAGATGAAAATGATGTCTAATTTCTATTTCATATACCATATCTCTTAACGTGGAGAGGGCTCTCTTAATTCTTGCAATTCATTATTCAGTGGTTGTCAAATGTTCAATTTATACTAACAAAACCCAAATTTACCAAATTCAGAGCCCCTGTGCTGTGTCTAGCATGACATTATGTCAGTGAATGGACGATCTTGTTAGGAAGTCGGTTGGACATGTATCCTAAATCAGGGGTAGGCAACCTTTGGCACTCCAGATGTTGTGGACTATATCCCCCATAATGCTCTTACACCCATAATGCTGGTAAAGCATCATGGGAGGTGTAGTCCAAAACATCTGGAGTGCCGAAGGTTGCCTATGCCTGTCCTAAATCATCATTTTGTGGTGAATTGTTTTCAGGTTTAATTACCTGGGCCTAAATGCAATGTTCACTGATTGCTTAATAGGTTTGCCTTAGAAAATTAAAATTCTATGACTATATGTATACGTGGGTGGCAATCTATTATAAAGTACATTATGTTGCACTATGAATGACATGGAGACATTCTGGAGACATTATAATAAACTTTGGTTGAATGTTTTATAGAAGGCATTCTATTCCCCCAATTCATGTTTAGTAGAGTTGAGCATTTTGAATTCAGCCGATCGACGGTTCGGACAAATTCTGTATATCTGCAAAGCTCCATGTCAACGTAAAACCAAGAAAGCAACCAGGCAATGCCCGAACATGGTTGGATTCCTCAGGGCAAAAAATTTTTTAACAAAAAAAAGACATTTTTGATGACTAGTAGACAGTCCTTAAATGTTGATTTTATTCACAGATCCAGTGAGAGTGACAATTAGAGGGGAAAAATGAGGAACAGGAAAAAAAATAATCAGCATTTATATATTTTAATAACTATATATAATTATAGATTATTATTTTTTTTTATTATTTTTTTTTCTGCTCCTCCACTTTTCCCTGTGTTTGTTAGTTGATTTTTTTTTTTCTCTCTTGATCTGTGAACCAAATGGTAGGAAAATGTGTCTATCCCTGTACTACAAAATCATATATTAAAGGACCACTATAGTGCCAGGAAAACATACTCGTTTTCCTGGCACTATAGTGCCCTGAGGGTGCCCCCACCCTCAGGGTCCCCCTCCCGCACGGCTCTGGAATGGGGAAAGGGGGTAAAACGTACCTTTTTCCAGCGCTGGGTGGGGAGCTCTCCTCCTCCGATCCTCCTCCGTTCCTCCTCCTGGGCTGAATGCGCACGCGTGGCAAGAGCTGCGCGCGCATTCAGCCGGTCACATAGGAAAGCATTCATAATGCTTTCCTATGGATGCTTGCGTGTTCTCACTGTGATTTTCACAGTGAGAAGCACGCAAGCGCCTCTAGTGGCTGTCAATGAGACAGCCACTAGAGGATTAGGGGAAAATCTGTGAAACTGCTATGTTTATGAAAAAATGGGTTAAGCCTAGCTGGACCTGGCACCCAGACCGCTTCATTAAGCTGAAGTGGTCTGGGTGCCTAGAGTGGTCCTTTAAGATTTATAGTATGTAATATATTTTGCAGCACACAAACTAGCCCGCGTGTGTGTTTTTATTTTTACACAAACGTAGCACTTATTGTGTAATGAACAGATATATGAACAAGTCTATATATAGATACATAGCTTGTGTGAACTGGAAAACATGAACAAAGCCTCTTTTTAGCCATTGTAACCAGCAGAATTATGGGTTTGTACTGGAAAAAACTGGTCTAGCTTAATTATGTAAACTGCAGTATTCACAAATATGGCTAAAAGCAATTAAGTTACCACAGACTAAAAATGAACTTTCCATCTTCATAATTTAATGTGTCTCTATTTTGTGGATGTTACCATAATGTATGTGTGGGACTAATTAAGTAGACGGCTGCAAAGTTATCTGCTGTAAAAAATAAATTGAAATCCTGCGATCCCAAGCCTAGATCTTGTTGACCTAGGCCAAAATATATCCATATATCCCAGTGTATTGTGTGTTTGTGTGTAATTGTGTGTCTGCGTATGTACTACTATTGGTATCATCATCATCATCATAATCCTCATCATCATTTATATAGCGCCAACACATTCTGCAGCTCTTTATAATTCTAGAATTTAGAGTCTAGAATTCACATACAGGACATAATTGAGACGAGGTGAAGAAGGTCGTGCTCAAATAAGCTTACAGTTGATAAGAAAGGGGTGAAGAAACTGCAGGTCGGTTTGTTGAATAAGATGCCCATGTCACAATAAACCAGTAAAAGTGGTGTGTGGAAGGAGAGTGAGCTGGGCTATGCAAGCGAGGGAACAGAGGATGTCAATTGTGATGAGATAAGAACCACACAAGAAGATGGTAGGAGTTCCTAAAGAGGTATGTTTTCAGTGACTTCTTAAAGGACAGGAGGCTAGGGAAAAGTCTGATGGCTTGGTGTAGGGAATTCTGTAGGAATGGGGCAGCACTTGGAAATTCCTGCCGATGACAGTTGGCAGTGTGGGAATGAGCAGATGACCGGAGGAAGTCGTTTGCAGAGTGAAGGGATCAAGAAAAGGTGGATTTATTGAGTATAGAGGAAGTGTAGCAAGGAGTGGAATTATTGAGGGCTTTGTAGGTCAAATGGTAGCAGTTGGAATTGGATCCTGAAGGGTACAGGACTCCAATTTAATGATTGGTGAAGAGGTGAGGTGTGGATGTTGCAGTCAGCCAGAAAGATGAGCCTGGCGCAGTATTTGGAAGGCTGATGTGTAGTGAGTTGCAATAGTCGGGAAATGAGAGCATGAACAAGTGCCTTAGCGGTATCTTGAGTTAGAAAAGGGTGAATATGAGCAAGATTTTTAAGGTTGAAGTTACAGGGTTTGGAGACAGACTGGATAAGTGGGGGAAAGGTAATATCTGAGTCAAAAGTAAATCCAAGGCAGGGAACTTTGGGCTTTGGAGTAATGGGTGTCCCATTGACTTGCAGGGAGATAGATGGTGGTGGACCATTTGTGTAGGTGAGATGAGGAGTTCAGTTTTAGAAAGGTAAATATTTAGCGTAATGTTACAGATGGAAGAGAGGGTGTTTGTGTAACAAGACAGGAGGCCAGGAGAGTGGTCAGGGGAGGAGAGGTAAATCTGAGCATCGTCAGCAAATAAGTGGTATTGAAATCCAAAAGAGTCAATTAGATCACTGAGAGAGGCAGTGCAAATGAAGAACAAAAGAAGGGCAAGAACAGAGCCTCAGGAACACTAGCTAAGACCACAGTGGGGAAGAGGTGGCACAAAAGGAGACACTAAATAAAAATTGACAGGATATCACCAAGTCCAAGGTTGTGGAAAGTTGTGTATATGTGACTATGTGTGATACTGTGTGTTTAGGTGACTGTGTCTATGTACTGCTTGGGACTGTATGCAGGGGCGTTTTAGCCGCGAGGCAAACAAGGCATTTGCCTTGGGCGGCATTTTCCAGGGGGCGGCAAAAAAAGCCACCCCCAAATGCCCAGGGCAAATGTCTTGTTAGCCTTGCGGCTAACTGACATGCCGAGCGGGCGGGCGGCGCCGGGCGGGCGGCGCCGGGCTGGCGGGCGGCTGGCGAGGGAGCTCTTCCTCTGAGCTGTCTGCTCAGCTCCCTCGCGCGCCGCAGAGTGAGGCTGGGAGCCGGAATATGACGTCATCAACCCGGCTCACAGCCTCACTCTGAGGCACGCGAGGGAGCTGAGCAGACCGCTCAGAGGAAGTGCTCCCTCGCCAGCCGCCCGCCCAGCCCAGCAGCCACTGGACCCCCAGGGAGAAAGGGAACCCTCCCCCCCCCCCAGCATTCCCAAAGGTAAGGAGGCTGGGGGGGGGTGGTGTAAAAAAAAATGTGTTAGTGTGTGTGTCTGTTAGTGTGTGTGTGTGTGTCTGACTGTTAGTGTGTGTGTGTTTGCCTGTGAGTGTGTGTGTCTGCTAGTGAGTGAGTGTGTTTGTGTCTGACTGTGTGTGTATGTTTGCCTGTGAGTGTGTCAGTGAGTGTGTGTGTCTGCTAGTGAGTGAGTGTCTGTGTGTGTCAGTGAATTTGTGTTTCTGTTAGCTAGTGTATGCGTATCTGTCAGTGTGTGTGTGTGTATTTAGAAGGCAGGGCGGGGGTCGCGCACATGTGGAGGGGGGGTGGGAGGGAAGGTTTGGGGGGCGCCTGAGTTTTGTCCTGCCTAGGGCAGCACAAAACCAGGATACACCGCTGACTGTATGTATCTATGTAAGGAGGAATGACTGTGTTCCCAGGTGAATGGCTAGTTGTATATGTATCTAAGGGTGGTAAATTATATGTGGAGGGTGTATATAGCCTTCAATGGCTAAACCTAAATATATCACTATTGATAATAAGCCCTAAGAGGATCCAAGAATACAGAATTTTGTTGATTTATATAATTATAGGGTTGAAATAAAAACGAGAAGCTGTTGCCCAGGCTGTGAGATGTATTTTTTTGGCAGCTGCCTTCGGATTAAGGGTGCCAAAATTGCACCAATGTAGTCACCCACCAAAACTATGATCTAATCACTGAACTTACAGGCTGGTTATGTAATGCATACCATACTAAATTATATCCTTTGATTAAAGTGTAAAGTTTCATGGTGAGCAAATGTTGAGGCACAGGGAGGGTGCTGGTAACCATAAAGACCCAATGGTTAATATATTTCTGTCCCATGGGCCCTAGATCCAAATATTAAATTTTTACTAATACTATTACAAGTTAAAGAGTCCATCCATTTAGCTATGCTTGCATTAAAAAGACACAAATAACTGTTTATGCTCAGAGTTCATGTTTAAATCTTTGTTTAACAGTTTTGAACACTATGAAGCATTTTAGATAGAGTCCTTTTTTCCCCGTTTACTATATTTTTTTATTTCCTCTTAATAATTTTAGAGCTTAGGTTTTTGGTTTAGGTATTCAGGTTAGAGGTTACGTTTTTGGATTAAGTTTATGGTCACATTTAAAAATTGAGAATAAGGTGCAATGATCCAGTTCTTGTTTGGTTTCCATTTTTCTAAAGTTTGTAGACTTGTGCACAGCAGAAAAATTTGTTTGGGCTGAATTAGTTTTGTTAGAAGAAAACCATTTTATTCAGTCCGATCGAATTTCGTCATTGCAGCAGTTTTGACTCTGACCAAATATGCTCCATGCAAAGTATTCGGAAAAAAGGATTTGGACTAACTGGAAAAGTGTGAAAATGCACCTACTGTACTGCTACTTATAATTATAATAGTTAAATGTGTATATATATAAAAAGCAATTCTATATTTACTGAAGCAAATTACGGTCAAAATTTCTTTGACCAATTTCCAGCTGAGTGTTTTTACCACTTGAATTCAGTTCACATTAGGTCAACATTCAGGATTTTTTAGCATTCAGTTGTGAATTTTAAGAGTTGAGTCTGATTGATCCCTGATTTATTTATTTGTTTGATTTAGTGTGATGGAACGGACTGAGTGGGATGTGTGTGAGATTGGCTGTGTGTGATATTGTGATATTTTCCATCCAATTGTTTTAAGAAAAAAAAATCTAAAAATGCTTGGGCTCCCAGAGCATCCCTGATGGTTCAGTAGAGGAGTGTGTGGACCACTCCTCCGGTTGGTGCAGGTCACATTGAATGCTCTTCCAGGCCGCTGCTCAGTGAATCCCCTTAGAATGTAAGATCTTTTAAGCAGGGCCTAGACCTCCTTCTGTTCCTGTATGTTCAACTTGCCTTGTTGCAATTACTTGTTGGTTAGATCACCTATTGAATAGCTCTGAGGAATTTAAAAAAATTATACAATGGATTCAGTTGTGTTTTCTTTGTTTATGCTACTGATACAAGATTAGCCAAGACATCGGTTAATATATATATATATTTAAAAAAAAGTGCATCATAAAGGCTATTTAGAGAAGTAGAAAACATAAAAAGAAATTCAGCGATCTAGTCTTTCATAAAAAAATTTTTATAGTGAAAATGAATAAATATATCTTCTTTTCCTCTCTGGTTTCCAGGACTTTGGGGAACAACTCTTACAGAAGATACAGCTGAAAACAGAGAACTCTATGTAAAGACCACCCTGCGAGAACTACTGGTGTATATAGTCTTCCTGATGGACATCTGTCTCTGTAAGTGTTTATATGGATAATATACTGTGTATGTAGTGCTTGCTGTGCCAGGACAGTAAAAATGGTGCTCTTCTTAAAATAAGAGCAACTGGGAGGTTTCTCTTTACCAAAATATATATGTGTGTGTTTGTGGGTTTTTTATACTGTTACATCCACCTGGCTTTTCAAGCAAACAACTGGTTCTGTTACTGCCTGCCTTGCAAAGACTTCCTATTGAGTTGCATTGGGAAGTCTGTGATTGGACAGCCACATAAAATCTGGGTGGGGCTAGAAGGGGAGGGATTGCAATGGCTGCAGACAAGAGATCTGCAGGTTTTGGAAACTGATTTTAGATATAACTTCCAATGGAAAAAAAGCATAATTAAAAGCATTCATATTTTCATTTGGGGTATAGCTACGAAACAGTGGATTTTATTTATTCTATATTTGGGTATTGGAGTGTCCCTTTAATGACAGTAAACTTTTATCATATTTATCATGGTGTTCTAGAGCAGTGGTTCCAAAGCCAATCTTGAAGGCACATAAATGGTGTGGGTTTGGTAGGTGACCACTGGGCTCCTGTATATAGTGCAGTGTAACTTGTAAACGTATTGCTCAAAGTAGTTATTCAACAGATTGACTTGAGAAGCTGGAACACAATACTTCTCAATACTACACAATTCCCAGTTTATAGATTTAACCTACGAGTGACGTTACTAACCAGTAGCTCATGGTTCCTACCATCAGGTATCCGAACTTATTTTAGAGTTTGCTGAAACTTGCCATTTAGCGCGGAGATCCATTCCAAATTGTAACCCTTTAAACTATTTCATTTTTGTGGTTTTCATAGATGGCCATCATCATTACAAAATACTAAAACATTTTGAATTGGGCAGCTCCTACCGAGGGAATTGCTTACCAGAGTGCTGCTGTAGATTGAATTACACAAATGGAAGGTTTAAAAAAAAAAAAATGTTTGTTCTGTGCTTAGTATTTAGAAAGTAAACATTATTGAATGCATGTGCTTACTTGATACGGTATAGCACTATTGTACTTTCGATACACCTGTTTAATTCCTCATGAATGGATTGCTTGATTTTGTGCAATAAAAATATCTTCTATCGACTTTACCAGCCAGAATTTTGCGAGCATGTTGTATGTATCTAATACTAGAAAAAATAGGTCCCTAGATTTGTAATCGCAATAAATGAAAAAAGGGTGCCCCACATATAGGTATGTTTTAGTCAATATGTATTGTTTAAAAATTATCTAAAATGTATCTTTCTGCAGGTTACTTATGTATAATTTGGCACGTAGTAAAATCCAACCTTTAGATGCACGTAAAAAAACACACTATACATGACAAGCATAAACAAAATTAACACCGATATAAAAAAACACTCTAAGGTAAACAGTACAGTTGAAGCGTAAACCACTCTTGCTGGTACCTAGTGAAGAATCTCTTGGTAAAATGGTAGTCAGTAAAAATTTCTCATATAAAAATATAATGTTTGACAACTAAGAAGTAAAATCAGGTGCTTTCCGTGTCAGCATACATAGAGTCCACTCACTGCAAACTGCACAGGCTCAACCTCCATCTCACTTGAACAGCATGTGACACATAGGCGTGCGCACAGGGTGTGCTGGGTGTGCCTGGGCTATGTGCCTCCAAGGGCCTGTGAGGGAGATCAAAGCGTGGGCCGCAGGGAGGGAGGCAGGAGAGGACCCGGGGAGCTCTAGCCAGCAGCTCTGCTGGGTTCCTCTCGCAAAGGTCATATCTCGCGAGAGTGAACTCTAGCCCTGTAGGCTAGAGTTCACTCACCACTGGACCACCAGGGATGGCAGCAGCACGGTCACCCCTCCCTACAAAAGGTAAGAAGGGAGGGGTGCTATTTCCTAAATCGTCCCCCCCACCCCCACAGTCCATCCAAACAAATACACACATACAGCACCCTCACACACATACAGCACCCTCACACACATACAGCACCCTTACACACACACAGCACCCTCACACTTACAGCTCCCTCACACACATACAGCACCCTTACACACACACAGCACCTTCACACTTACAGCTCCCTCACACACTAACAGCACCCTCACACTAACAGCACCCTCACACTAACAGCACCCACACACACAGTACCCACACACACAGTACCCACACACACACTGACAGCGCCCTCACACTGACAGCGCCCTCACACTGACAGCGCCCTCACACATATACAGCACCCTTACACACACACACACTGACAGCGCCCTCACACTGACAGCGCCCTCACACTGACAGCGCCCTCACACAGCACTCTTACACATAAACACACAGCACAGACCCACACAGCACCCTCACACAAAGCACCCTTACACATACACACACACACACAGCACACACACACACACTAACAGCACCCTCACACATGCACACACACTAACAGCACCCACACACACAGTACCCACACACACACTGACAGCTCCCTCACACTGACAGCTCCCTCACACTGACAGCTCCCTCACACTGACAGCTCCCTCACACTGACAGCTCCCTCACACTGACAGCACCCTCACACTGACAGCACCCTCACACATATACAGCACCCTTACACACACACACACTGACAGCGCCCTCACACTGACAGCACCCTCACACTGACAGCGCCCTCACACAGCACTCTTACACATACACACACAGCACACACCCACATAGCACCCTCACACAAAGCACCCTTACACATACACAGGCACACACACACACTAACAGCAGCCTCACACTAACAGCAGCCTCACACTAACAGCAGCCTCACACTAACACCAGCCTCACACGAACACCAGCCTCACACGAACACCAGCCTCACACTAACACCAGCCTCACACTAACACCAGCCTCACACTAACACCAGCCTCACACTAACACCAGCCTCACACTAACACCAGCCTCACACTAACACCAGCCTCACACTAACACCAGCCTCACACTAACACCAGCCTCACACTAACACCGCCCTCACACTAACACCGCCCTCACACTAACACCGCCCTCACACTGACCGCGCCCTCACACTGACCGCGCCCTCACACTGACCGCGCCCTCACACTGACCGCGCCCTCACACAGCACTCTTGCACACACCCACACAGCACCCTCACACATATACACACACACAGCACACACACATACACACACAGCACACACACTAACAGCACCCTCACACACTAACAGCACCCTCACACACACAGCACCCTCACACACACAGCACCCTCACACACACAGCACCCTTACACATACACACACCGCACCCTTACACATACACACACAGCACCCTTACCACACACACACACTAACAGCAACCTCACACACAGCTCCATCACACACACACAGCATCCTTACACACTCACACACACACCACCCTCACACACACACAGCACCCTTAAACACACACAGCACCCACACACAGCAGTGTATGTGTGTGTGTGTGTGTATATATAAGCGGCAATGTGTTTGTGCTTTAGGGTGCACACGCCTATGATGTTATGTCATAACACTGATCACCATCAATATGTGTCATCTTGATGGACTTTATCAAAATGGAATTATAAGTGAATGCAGAGAAAGCCTTGATTTAAACCCCCCTTTAAACCCTCCCTCCCAATTAAATAAAGGTTCAATAATACAAATGTAAATCACGGTGTCAAAAGGTCTCGCCAACATTTAAAGGGACTAATATCTATCGCAAGCCTCATACAAATAAGAATTCTATAGGAAGCCATAAAACAGACTATGTCTACAGCATCCCAGTGATTCTAGGCAAAGCTTCCTCTGTTGGTCTTCAAACCTCCTCCATCATCACTGGTGCTCTCTCATGGTCCAATCTAATGCCTGAAGCCCTATTAAATAAAGCAAGGAGATAGGAATGGCAAGGAGGCCTCTAATACACCGAAAGAAGGGAGAGGAGAGCTCGATTTTTCTTACTGACACACTCCAAGTGCTAACAACAAGCAAGGTGATAGCCCGCACCCCAAAAGCAATAAGATATAGCAGAAATATACAACATAAAAAATATAATTACATCCTTTGATTCACTCCAAGTGCTGCCTACAAAGGAGTAGCTGACAATGTGTATCTCAGCGCGACAAAAAAGCCCCCAAAAAACAACAATCGTTATTGCACAGAATTGATATTGGCCAACCTGGAAGAGAGTTCTCTACTGCCTAAGTGGCCAGATGAAATGCTGCACATACAGACTCCTACCACCATGACCACTTCTAAAACAGTGGTCACAGTGGTTATAGCAAACCTTTTATAAGTGTACTTGTTCACTTTAGAATTGTTCATTTTACCCACCTGCCAGGCCCACCGCTCCTAAGCCCTCCAAGAGACTAAGTGTTCAGTTATATAGCGTTAACACCTCCTTTTGAGCTTTCCGACTCTCTCTCTTTCCCCCGTATAATTTTGCTCATCGCAACCGATAGAGCCAACGCCAGCAACACGGCACAACACGACACGACCTGGGGATAGGAACACACGTAGGGCATCACCTTTCCCACAACAGGGACCAATCACCCCCCCACACACACACACACAAACACACACTCACGGGCAATCTAGGACACCACTGCTCCACATCCCCTCCCCCCCTGCTACTCCCATGGTCAGGAGTACTCACTTGTAGTGCAAGAGATCCAAACAGGGCACAACACAAATACTGGCCCCCGAATGGCCACCACGTTGAAAAACAACCTAAGAAGGTCACATTCCCTCTATGCACTCACTGCTGCCTCATCTAACAAGCGCAAACACGCACACATGCAGAGATCCCAGCCCAGTAACACTCAACTGAACCCCCAGCATAGGGAAACACTACCCTTGGGTAAGTGGAGGAATATCACACAGCCACACACCCTTTAAAACGAAGGGTAACACACAAGCTACCTGGGTACATGCAAACATGGCAAAAATATAAATGGTGCAAGAACTTACTGTAACCCACCTCATACTAGTACTACACTAGTACTAGTACTACTATTTACTAACTACGATCAGCTTTTGTATTGTATATGCTTTGCACTGAAAAATAAAGTGTTCATTTTATTTTTACTCTCCATTTCATCAAGCAGCTCAATAATTTAATAATATAATAAACTAACATTCTCCATCAAATTAAAAGTCTATTAAAGCCTCTCTTTCTAAATAATGATGTGGATCTTTTAAAAACAAATTAAAGAATCCCTATTTAACCTCAACGCTCTCAAATAAGAATTCAATATTACCCTAATAGAATAGCCCTTTTTTCAAAAAAAGACAAGACAGACTTCCTCCTCAAAGTTGTCTTAAAAGGAATGGTCTCGGCATAGCCTTGTGAATTCCCCAAACGGATGTTTCTTGTCCATGTGGGATGATTTTCACAATGGGCAAAAAAATACCGTTTCTATCCCATTTCTTATCATTAATAGTGTTTACAGTTCTTAAAGTTCCCTTCAATTTATTTGATGTAAAGTACAAACCAAATGCAACTAAAAAAGGGTCAACCCTCCCCCGAATAATAAGTATGTTGTCTATGAAGTGGGGATAAAGGGTTAATCTGTACCTGCGTGGGTTGGAATTGAACATGTTACAACACTGGCTTTGGACATTTTACCAAGGGATTCTTCACCAGGTACCAGCATGTGATGTCCCCACTATAATAAGACTTTGAACTGTTAATCATGGATTATAAAGTATATTGAAGACCGGTACACTTTCTATTTTTGCTTACACTGATCAGCCACAAGATTAAAACCAAGGACATGTGAAGCAAAAAACATTAATTATATATTGTTACAATGGCATCTGTCAAGGAGTGGAATATTTTAGGCAGAAAATGAACGGTCAGTTCTTGAATTTTATGTTTTGGAAGCAGGATAAATAGGTAAGAGAAAAAATCTGAATGTCTTTGACAAAGGCTAAAGAGTGCTGGCTAGACGACTGGGTCAAAGCATCTCCAATACTGCAAGTCTTTTTGGGTTTTCCCAGTATACAGTGGTTAGTACCTACCAAGAATGGTGCCAGGAAGGACAACTGAAGAACAAGCGTCAGGGCTATTGGCACAAAATGCTCGTTGATGCACATAAGGAGTAAAGACTAGGTTGTCTGGTCTGATCACACAGAAGAGTCACTGTAACTCAAGTTGCTGAAAAACATAATGCTTGCCATGATAGAAAGGTGCCAGAACACACAGTGCATCACAGTTTGCTGCATTTGACTGCATTGCCACAGAACAGCCAGCGAGCCCAAGATGACCATTGTCCTACACCGAAAGTGCTTTCAATGGCAATGTGAGCTTCAAAACTAGACTGTGGAACAATGGAAGAAGGTTGCCTGATCTGATAAATCACATTTTCTTTTACATCAGTTACATGGCCCGTGAATGTGCATTGTTTACCTGGGGAAGAAATGGCAACAGGATGCGCTATAGAAAGAGGCTGGCTGAGGCAGTGTTATGCTCTGGGCAATGTTCTGCTAGGAAACCTTGGGTCCTGACATTCATGTGGATTTTACTTTGACATTTACCACCTACCTAGAGATTGTTGCAGACCCATACACTCCTTCATGGCAATGGTGTTCACTGACCGCAGTGGCCTTTTTCAGCAGGTTAATTGACCCTGCCACACTGCAAAAATTGTTCAGAAATGGTTTGAGGAACATGACCGAGTTCAAGCTGTTGCCTTGGCCTTCAAATTCCCTAGATCTGATTCCAATTGAGCATCTGTGGGATGTGCTGGAACAACAAATCCAAACTATGGAGGTCCCACCTCGCAACTTGCCAGACTTATAGGATTTGCTGCTAATGTCTTGGATTAGAGCGTCAGCTGACGCTTGAAGCCAAACAGTGGCGAACCTGTCAGAGGCTGTCTGAGGCTTCCTGATGCAAGTCTTGCCACGGACCTCCTGGCACCATGACAACTTTAGTACAATTAAGTTGTTATGGTGCTTGGAGTTTCCAATTTAAGCATATCATAAACGTGAACAAAGACAGTCTCTCACGTTTCACCTCAATGGAGGCTTAAAGGGACACTGTAGTCACCAGCTTAATGTGGTTTTTCTATAGTATGTCAATGCAGGTATTTTCATGTAAACATTTCCTTTTTAGAGAGACGCCAATGTGCAGCACTAACGTTCAGTGTCTCCACGCTCTGCATGGATGCGCTGAACTTTCCCCATAGAGATTCATTGATTCAATACATCTCAATGAGGAGATGCTGATTGGTGCAACGTGGCATTTTGCTGTGCATGCACATTAGCCTCCCTGTGCTTTCCTATAGGACAGCATTGAATTGGCTGAGATCAATAATTTTGATGATCTCAGCCAAGGATGCAAAGTGTGGGCGGTGCCAGCGCCAATAGACCCTTGCGATGCTGGAATAAAGGTACCTTTTAACTTATTTAAGGGGGGAAAAGGGGGCTGGGGACCTAAATACTGTTTTTAACACTATAAGTTGAGGAATACACGTTTCCATTCCTGACTCTATAGTGTTCCTTTAATAACCGAATATATATATATATAATAACTTATTGATTAAAAATATCAGCTAGCCCTCAATAATTGTTGAAAATATAAGTGTTATTATTAAATTGACTGAAAATAATTACTGGTATATTATTTCAGTAACAGAACAACATGGTAGGATTACATAGGGTTTGTTACTGAAATATATGTTTACATATCCCCCTTTTGTGTCACCATTAAAATAATTTGGAAGAATAACTGTAGCATTTTGCAATATGTTACTCATTCGATAACTAGACTTTTTTCATTGATTGGAGAAATTACTTTCATGTATAATGTATTTTTTTTCTTAGTGACTTATGGAATGACCAGCTCTAATTCCTACTATTACACGAATGTGATGTCCAATCTATTCCTGACTACACCAGCAGACAATGGAGTAACGTTTACGACCATCAGCAGCATGGCAGATTTTTGGACGGTGTGTAGAATTATGACCCACAAACATGTAGAAATTCCTATAACATCTTGGTTCTTTCGCGGACAGATATGTACAGCACAATAATATTTATTAAATCTGAGATTCTTAAGCAGTTACTGACTTGCAGCTGTATTTAGCAATGCAAAACAAATACTACCGTAATATGGGGCACAGAAACCAATAGAATGTCCCCCCTTATTCCCTATTACATATTATGTATCACTGTATTATTTAAAAAAAAAAAAAAAGTTACCCGTCCTCATTCTTTTGACAAAATTAAACTTCAAATATGGAAAAAAAAAAGTTTAAAGGGTTACTCCAACCCTGGGTGAGGCTGTATCTTTTCTGGACTGTTTTGCTGGCTCAGAGTGCATGTGTGCCATCTGAGCGGGTAGGGGAGGTTGGAGAAAGTAGGTGAGGGAGGGGCAATGTAATTAAGAAAGCGTACACAATTAGAGGAGGGAGGCGAGAAGAAAGCCCACATGGTGGGGGGGAGAAACTATCTTCCGAGGCAGAGCGCCTGCAAGGAAAAATGTTATCATGTCCACTGCCGGCATGCTATGTGTGCCGAGAGATGTAAGATATAGTCTGGGCTGTCTAAGTCACATGTGCTGGGAGTGCCACCATCACCCTGCACACAATTACAAATAACACTGTATTTGCAGTGTTTCAAGCAGAAACTCTGCACATACTGACTTACTGAAGTAGTTGTGGTGGTTGGAGTAACGCTTTAGGAATCACTGACATAGTGACTGATAAGTTTCCCTAAGGTAATGAGCAGAATATAAATTTGTCACCTTACGTTAAAATGCTAATTAAATTGTATTTTCTAGGAAAGGCTCCAGTAGAGCTTTGGGGGGTGTGATAAAATGTTTGCTCTTTTACACAGTGGTGTATTTTGGTTCCGCGCTGTCCTAGGCATGACTAAACCTGGGCACCCAATCAATCTAAATTTGCCCCACCTCTTCCTGTCAAGGCCACACCTCTTCCTGATTAAGAACACACCCCTTCCTCTTTAGACTGCACCTTTTCCTAGTCCTTTTTAAAGTGATCCTATAGTGCCAGGAAAACAAAGCTGTTTTCCTGGCACTATAGTTACCTATAGTGCCCCCCACCCCCTGCCACCAACATGGCACTGAAGGGGTTAAAACCCTTTTAGTCACTTACTTGAATCCAGCACTGGTTTACCTCGGCGCTGGGTCAGGCTCCTCCTCCGCGCTTGCATTAGGCTTCCCAATTGTATCAATTCTTTCCTATGGGGATTTAGCAGACGCAGGATGTCTTCATGCACAGCATGAGGACATCCAGCATCAGTTAGGCGACTTTTGGTTGCCTAACCTCCCGGAAGCCCCTCTCTTCCCGCCTCCTACCGGAAGTACCTCTTGCAGACAACTTCTGAGAAACTGCAATAATTACACTTGCAGGGTTAAGGGGACTGGGACACTGCACCCAGACCACTTCAATGAGCTGAAGTGGTCTGGGTGGCCATAGTGTCCCTTTAAGCACACACTCAGACACATTCACTGTCAGACACACACTGGCTGATACATACTGAAAGTCTCACACACACACTCAATGACAAACACACAGATGTCACTGACTTACAGACACACACACAGAGATGTCACTGGCAGACACAAACTCATTGATTTGACACACACACATTCACTGACACACACTCTTTAACAGACACACAAACACACTCTCACTGACAGACACTCATTGGCACACACTGTCACACAAACACACTTAATGACAGACAGACTCTCACTGATTTGACAAACACTTACACACACACACACACACACAGACACACACACTCATACACACACATACATTCATACACACAAACACACACACACACTCACAAATTATTACAATTATTATAAATTAACATTTTCCATTCAGCCTCCCTACCTGGAGAGCTAGCATGGATCTGTCCCTGAGGTCCATTGGGGCTGCTGGGAGGTGTGCAGATGTGTTATAATCAGAGGAGGCGAGGGAGCTCTGACGTCATATTACGGCTCCCGCGGCATCAGCAAACTGCGCGCAAGGGAGCAGAGCAGGGACATCACAGCTTCCTCGCTGCCTCTGTTTCGACGCAGCCGCACACCTTCCCAGCAGCCCCACTGGACCCTAGAATTTGCATTTGGGGGCGGCATTTTTTTTGCAAATGCCTAGTTTGCCTTGGGCTAAATACACCAGTGCTTTTACATGCTTCTGTTTTTTTGTCATTTTGTTGGAAATCGGGAATTAAAGATAGGAGTCAGTTGCATTTTTGTCTCGTATTCATTTTTTTGCGAACACCACTTGTTACTCTTGATCCTTTAGCTCAAGCATGTCAAACTTGCGGCCCACCTGCCCTGGGGCTGCTTTGTGCTGTGGCTGCAACCAGCCACAGGACAGGAAAGATATTTCCTGTCTGATTCTTTCCTTTCCTCCCACGGCAGCAAGAGGGCAGATTGGCTGTATGTCTTCAGAGCAGGCCAGCCACTCCCCCTTCCCTCCTGTGCAGAGAGGAGCAGGGCTGGAACTGGAGGTCGGGCGGCTCATCTTACAGTAGGGGAAGAGGGTCCTGGGGGACCTTCCTGTGTAGTGTGTTAAATTAGGGAGGGGGGCAGTGTATTGATTTGAGGGAGGGAGGGGGCAGGGTATTCAATTTGGTCTTCATTGATCAAAATTCAGTGCATCGTTAACTTCCCTTTTTTTTTTCGGGTGTTGTCCCTTCTCCCCTACTGTCGTACCCATCCTAAAAAAATGCCATCTCTTGACCATGCAACTATCCCCCCATATTCCTGCTCCCTTTTTCTTCAGAGCTTCTAGGAAGACTTGTCTTTACTCGTTTGGCTTGTTTCCTCCCTTCCAAGTCTCTCCTTGACCTTCTTCAATCTGGTTTTCCGCCCCCACCACTCTGAGACTGCTCTAATTAAAGTCACAAATGTTCTAATCATCACTAAATCTAAAGGCCAGTACTCTATACTAATTCTTCTTGACCTCTCTGCTGCCTTTGAACCTGTTGATCATGTCTTCCTTCCCAAACTCTTGTACCTCTCATAGTACTCCTCCTATCTCTCCCAAAGTTTGTTCCGTATCTTTGTCCAATGACACCTCCTCCCCTCGTCCTGTCGGTGATCTTCTCCTGTCTGCTCCTCACACCCTCATTGCTAACTCAGGCTTGCAGGACTTCTTGCGGGCAGCTCCTTTCCTTTGGCACAGCCCATCCCACTGTCCCCTAGTCTTCAACCGTTTAAGAAATTACTCAACACCCAGCTGTTTAGAAATGCTTATAGCCTCACAGAATAACTTCAAAGTCACAACCTTGTCTCTGGCTCTCTCCTAAAGAGCCACACTTCACTCTCACTTCCAGATCTGTTACTTTCCCACATTGTTTGTTTATTGTCCCCCTTCCAATTCTATCCTTATACTCCACTCCTCTAGACTGTAGAGCAGGGTCCTCCACTACCTATTGTTCCTGTATCATTTTGTAATTGTAATTTTTATTGTTAAATTTCCCCTACCATAAGAAGTGTTGCAGATTAAGTTGGCGCTGTGGGGAACAGCACCAAGTAGTGATGTCACCATTTGTGGTCAATATTTGCTAAAACCACACAAAGTGACAGTCACATTCAAGGGGCACTGTAACTATATGTAAGGAAACCTAGTATATCCAATACTCATTCGGTAGTTTCCTTCCGAACGGCCAGAGCATCAGTGACTATAACTCTCCGTTCGGCAGATAAAATAAACTATTCCCATACGAATGCAATAGCTTTACCAGCCGATTCCCTTAGTAAAGCATACGAATACCCAAACATCAGCCGGAGTCTAGAAGAAGGGTGCAACAGAACTGGCTTTTAATTATCACACACTGGCTTTTATGCAAGTCCCCATGCAAGGGGACATCCCACAGGGAGGGACATGGTACAGCCAATCATAACAAGAGAAATAGATATACACTCCCATTGCAAACATACAATTCCCTCCCCTGGACCTGGAGATAATTAAGGCAGATAACATCATAACTTCTTTATCTCCAGGCAGAAAAAGTACAGTTTTCCCCAACTTTCAGAACACCCCTAAAAACATGGGTTATCCCCTTAAAAGTCATATCCCCTGATAGCCCTGATCTGGGTGACAAACATATCCAAAAATCACCCAGATCAGTCCAGGGGTTTTCAAATTCCATGGAGGGCTTAGGAGACCGACTTCCCATGAAGCTGCTGCCCAAAACAGTTCCATGAGTTTGGGTGGTTTTGTCGGTCTATTTCGTTAAGTTGAAATAAACTAATAATCCCACCAACAGTTTCCCCTGGCTCCTAGCAGCGATTGTTCCCCTCATACGAATGCACAAAAATACCGAACAGCTCTCTCCTAGCTGTTCGGGAAACAAAGAGTCAGCGTTTGTATGTTGGGACCGGTGTTCGGGAAGTCGAGTGTCCGATTTTAGTTCCAGACGCTCAATGACCAAGTCCCGCTGCCTTTGTTCTCACAAACAAGATGGTTTTCTCAGCCGCGTGGCGTTCGGCAATACGAATGGTGGCCGCAAAGGCAGAGGGTTTAATTGAAGCATGCTTTTGAAGTTAACGAGCCAGGGGGGAGGTCTCTGTTTGGTAGTTACATCTACCGAATGAAAAGGGGAGAAATAACGAACACAAAGAGGGATTTCTTCACACTATAACTATTTCATCTCACTTAATTTGTTATAGTACCTGGACTCCCCTGGCACTGTTCCTTCATTCAGTGGTAAACCATTTTTGAGCAGTTTTATAGTAAATACTGGTCCCTGGCCACTCATAGCTCTGTCTGTAGTATGGCTAAGGCAGACATTACACACTTTCTTTTAGCCATAGCAATTCATACCAGCAATGGGCGTTGTGATTGTCTGAAAGTGGTCATCTGACAGTCTCAGCCAATCACAGCCACCGAATTTTGCTCAAGCTTATACTAGGTATGCCTAGTTTTTTTTTTTTAGTAGCCACAAACACTGACCAAAATTGGCGTTCAAATTCGTTTTTTGCATTTTTCACACTCAAACAAATATTAACGCTAACATTGGCCAGTGTTTGTGACTAAGTGGCTACTAAAAAAGACTGGACATACCCAATTTACAATACCTTGGGTTGTCTACTATTGCAACTGGTATGCCATCATGGGGGTAATTCTCATTCCTGGGCTACCATACGGTTTCAAAGGCACCGTATCCAATCTGGCAAATTTCAATGTAAAAAAAAAACCTAAAAAATTTAACATGCTATATTTGACCCTGTTACTTCCCAAAACACCATAAAACCTGTACATAGGGGGTACTGTTTTACATGTGAGACATTTCTGAATACAAATATGTGTATTTTATTGCAGTAAAAGCTAACAGTATTATGACATTCACAGTTAAAATGTCATGTAGAACTATAAAAAAAAAATTCTTAATTTCTCACGTTTTTTAAAATATTTTATTCATATTAAAATTGTTTCATAGCTAAATATTTGATGTGAAATGTAAGCCCTGTTTCTCCTGAATAAAATGATATATAATAAGTGTGGGTGCACCTAATATGAAAGAGATGAATTACGGTTGAACAGACATAAAGCCAAATTCCAAGTTTTGTTTACGTTTTATTTTGATCAAAACGTGTACATTTGGCTCAGTCCTTAAGGGCCTGGAGTTCCAGCTGTCAAGAGGGGCCAGGCGAGGAGTGGGTTCCCCTTTTGCAAAACTGTTATTTAGTATAATGCCAATTTGGCAGTATAATAAATAAACATTCAATTACTGCAGGTGCCCCAACAGCTGTACCTATGCAGACGGTGGTGGGGTGCTGATAAAATATCCTCTTTTTTTTTTTTTCTCCTGCTCCATGACTGCTCTACGGAGGCACATCCTGCTTCCATGCTCCAGCTAGTCAGAACTTATTGCTTTGTCCTCACCTCTAACTGTGAGGAGACAAGGAGTTGTCAGCACTTGGGTACAAGCCAGAAAGGCTCAACCTGCTTGAAGGGCCTCTTCCAGTCCCCAGGAAGCCAGAGGGCAGCAGAGACTCAGAGAGAGCTCATAACTAGCCCAGCAAAAACCACAGGCCCTCAAAATGCCCTGCTGCAGCCCGCATCTGACCTCCAGTGGTAGATCAGACCAGGATGATTTGAAACTGAATTCTGGCACTTTATGTATCAGAAATACTGTAAAACTTGTATAAATAATAAGGACCTGAGCTCTCATTATACACACATTAAGCTGTCTCTGTCTCTTTCTGACTCTCCTTCTCTCTGTGTCTTTCTCCTTCACTGTGTGTGTCTCTTTTTATCTTTCCTTTCTGCCTGTCTCTTTGTCTCTCTCATTGCCTTTCTCTTCAGGCTCTCCCTATCCCTTTCTGTCTCTGCCTTCCTGGCTGTCTCTGTCTCTCTGTCCCTCCCTAGATTTCTCTCTTTCACAGTCTCGATGTCTCTTTCTCTCTGGCTTCCCTTCTTTATATGTGTCCTTCCCTCTGTCCTCTCTGGTTCCCCTTTTTCTCTGTGTGTATCTTTCAACCTCTCTGGCTCTCCTCCTCTTGCTGTCTTGTGCATTTCTTCTTTGTATCTGTGGCTCTCTCTCATACAACCTCACACACAATCTCACTTTTGCAACCCTCAAACACACGCTGACAGCCCCACACATATGTAATACTCAGACAACCACCACAATCACACTCACACAGTCAGACATCCACTACACAAATTCATACAATCACACACATCCCACTCAGATTTATTATTTAGGGGGAGGGAGAAGCTAGCAACACCCCAATCATACTAAGCCAACCACCACACACAATCACACAGGCACTACATACCACACACAATCACATACATGCACCACCACATGTTGCTTAGTGGGGGAGTGAGGAGGGGCAACAAGGGGCATACTTTGATTCTTGCACCGGCCCAGCTATCCCTAATTATGCCCATGGATGAACCCGATGGACTTGAGTCTTTTTTCAACCAAAATTAGATTTTTAAAGTAAACTTTAGATGGTGCTTTTCTCTGGACGCATACCTGTTACTAAACATATACAATTACACTGAATTACACTGTACAGTCATAGAAATAAGCCTGCTTTCATCCACTGTTGACTTGCATTCATACTACACACGGAAAAAAAACCTTTCAGTGTGTTTTTTCTTTTTTGGTTTGTAAGGTCATTGGGGACACCAGAGAATTCCTTGCCTAGCTGAATCAGATATAAATCAATCCCAATATCTGCATAAGTATTAAATGGGTCACATGACCTTATATTACATTTTTTGGTCTATTTATATCGATCTATCTACTATACTTTATACAGCAATGCTGAGAGATGGATATAAATACATTACTCTGCCGCAACAGTGATGCAATTCATATGATTGTTTTTATCCCACCTTCACATCTTAATCTATTTACTTCTGAAATATTTGGAAGTGAATGCAGGGCCCCATGATAATGCACACTGTTAGCTAAAACAGAGCTTTTGAACATCTTTTATTTTTTATTTTTAAAGCATTCTTTATTGATTAGGATTTTAGGTTTGCATTACAAAATTATAAATGCAAAAACTTTTGTTTTTGCACCCATTTTTCTATGTACACAAAATGCCTATTTCTCTCAAATATTGTTCACAAATCTGTCTAAATCTGTGTTAGTGAGCACTTCTCCTTTGCCGAGATAATCCATCCACCTCACAGCTGTGGCAAATCAAGATGCTGATTAGACAGCATGATTATTGCACAGGTGTGCCTTAGGCTGTCCACGATAAGAGGCCACTCTAAAATGTGCAGTTATACTGCATTGGGTGCCTGAAAACATCCCTCACCCAAGCCGACATGTATGTTAAGGAAAGGGTGGTGTTACAGGTTACTATATGGGTATAAATGCTAGATTATTGGCTCCAATGGACTGGAGAAGCTAGATATTGTTGTTTAAAGGTTTTCTGTGTTTTAATACCTGCATCTACATTGGTAGGTGATGATTTAAAAAAACAATGTATTTGAATATATCTGAAAAAAAGGTTTTAAATGAAGTCTTTCGTGGTAGTTATAGAAGAGAAATGAATTGGCTCTGTTGGGAAAATGTTAAGAAATCTGTATAGGTCATTGTCTTCAAATCTAGCAAGTTTGTGTGGTTCCTAGTCTGCTTCTGAGTGTAGGTGTGAGAGAAGATGGAGTATTAACTAAAGCTAAATTACATGGCATTTTGTCTCAGGTATTGATTGGTGTGTATAAGGTAGGGGTTGTGGCTGTGATTATGGTTCTGGCTTGTGTAGGGAGCCAGATATATAGGGAGGGAATTTACAAAAAACAATAGTGATCTGAAATTAAATATTGCTATACTAATCTATTTTCGATTGATGTTTTGTAGTATTCACAGGGCCCTTTACTTGATGGCCTTTATTGGACCAAATGGTACAACAACGCATCTCTAGTTAATACTCCTAACTCCTTTATCTACTATGAGAATCTGTTACTTGGGGTTCCACGTATACGTCAGCTGAAGGTTAAGAACAATTCTTGTGTTGTATACAAGGATTTCAGAGAAGACATCTCTGGATGCTTTGACGTGTACTCCGAGGAGAAAGAGGACCACATGCCCTTTGGACTTTATAATGGGACACCGTAAGTACTGCATTTTTCTATTAAGGAAAAAAATACTTAAACCATGTCAGTCATCGAGTTAAGACTGGTATATTCAGCAATGAATTGCACTGCAAAAAAACATGAGTGTAAAAATAATGTAGAGAAATGAAAAATTAAAGAAATTTTCTCCTGGATAAACAATTTTTCCTCTTATTTTAAAGCAAATGCTTCATCTTGAATATGGTGGAACATATTTAACAAATATTCATGCAAGGATGTGAGGTGGATTATATAAATATTTTCCACATTCCTATTGAGAGCTTATGGTGAAAAGATTGGATTGGGAATGGTATTATTGAAATAATTATGCACAAATATGTGATCTGAGAAGTTGGGGGATGCTGGAGACAGGGGCAATAAGAGTTCTTTTCATATGTAGGATCTAAATGTGAACATAAAGCGCTCTACTGGTTGTAGGTGCTGCCAACAATAATGTATAAAGCACTACTATAATGAAAGTTTCTTAAACACCATCCAACACTCCACCATCCAACACTCCACCATCCACTGGAGAACAGAATAGAAACATAGAAACATAGAATGTGACGGCAGATAAGAACCATTCGGCCCATCTAGTCTGCCCAATTTTCTAAATACTTTCATTAGTCCCTAGTCTTATCTTATAGTTAGGATAGCCTTATGTCTATCCCACGCATGCTTAAACTCATTTACTGTGTTAACCTCTACCACTTCAGCTGGAAGGCTATTCCATGCATCCACTACCCTCTCAGTAAAGTAATACTTCCTGATATTATTTTTAATTTTGTCCCTCTAATTTAAGACTATGTCCTCTTGTTGTGGTAGTTTTTCTTCTTTTAAATATAGTCTCCTCCTTTACTGTGTTGATTCCCTTTATATATTTAAATGTTTCTATCATATCCCCCCTGTCTCGTCTTTCCTCCAAGCTATACATGTTAAGATCCTTAACCTTTCCTGGTAAGTTTTATCCCGCAATCCATGAACCAGTTTAGTAGCCCTTCTCTGAACCCTCTCTAAGGTATCAATATCCTTCTGAAGATACGGTCTCCAGTACTGTGTACAATACTCCAAGTGAGGTCTCACCAGTGTTCTGTACAATGGAATGAGCACTTCCCTCTTTCTACTGCTAATACCTCTCCCTATACAACCAAGCATTCTGCTAGCATTTCCTGCTGCTCTATTACATTGTCTGCCTACCTTTAAGTCATCAGAAATAATCACCCCAAATCCCTTTCCTCAGATGTTGAGGTTAGGACTCTATCAAATATTCTGTACTCTGCCCTTTGGTTTTTACGTCCAAGATGCATTATCTTGCACTTATCCACATTAAATGTCAGTTGCCACAATTCTGACCATTTTTCTAGTTTACCTAAATCATTTGTCATTTGGCTTATCCTCCTGGAACATCAACCCTGTTACATATCTTAGTATCATCAGCAAAAAGACATACCTTACCATCAAGACCTTCTGCAATATCACTAATAAAATATTAAAGAGAATGGGTCCAAGTACAGATCCCTGAGGTACCCCACTGGTGACAAGCCCATGCTTCGAATATACTCCATTGACTACAACCCTCTGTTGCCTGTCACTCAGCCACTGCCTTACCCATTCATCAATATTGGAATCCAAACTTAAAGATTGCAGTTTATTGATAAGCCTTCTATGTGCAACAGTGTCAAAAGCCTTACTGAAATCTAGGTAAGCAATGTCTACTGCACCACCCTGATCTATAATTTTAGTTACCCAATCAAAAAAATCAATAAGATTAGTTTGGCATGATCTCCCTGAAGTAAACCCATGTTGTCTCTGATCTTGAAATCCATGTGGTTTTAGATGTTCATCAATCGTATCCTTTAGCATGGTTTCCATCACTTTCCCCACTACTGAAGTAAGGCTTACTGGCCTATAGTTGCCCGACTCCTCCCTATTACCTTTCTTGTAAATGGGCACAACATTCGCTAACTTCCAATCTTCTGGGACTACTCCTGTTAACAATGATTGGTTAAATAAATCTGTTAATGGTTTTGCTAGTACACCACCAAGCTCTTTTAATAGCTTTGGGTGTATTCCATCAGGTCCCATTGACTTATTTGTCTTTACTTTTGACAGTTGAAATAGAACCTCTTCCTCTGTAAACTCACGTGTAATAAATGACTCCTTTATCCTTTTTCTCAACTGAGGTCCCTTTCCTTCATTTTCTTCTGTAAATACAGAACAAAATATTCATTGAGGCAGTCAGCCTGACCTTTATCCTCTTCTACATACCTTCCTTCTTTTGTTTTTAATCTAACTAATCCTTGTTTTACTTTTCTTTTCTCATTTATGTATCTAAAAAATGTTGTATCCCCCTTTTTTACTGACTGTGCTATTTTCTCTTCTGTGTGTGATTTGGAAGCTCTTATAACTTGCTTAGCCTCTTTCTGCCTAATCTTATAGATCATTTTGTCTTCCTCACTCTGGTTTTTTTTATAATTCCTAAATGCTAACTTTTTGTTTTTAACTATTTTGGCCACATCTGCAGAGTACCACAGTGGTTTCTTGAATTTTTTTGCTTTTACTGACAAGCCTAATGCAATTTTCTGTTGCCTTCAATAGTGCAACTTTTAAATAATCCCATTTCTCTTGGACTCCATTTAAATTGCTCCAGTCTGATAATGACTCCTTTACACATATTCTAATTTTAGAAAAGTCTGTTTTTTTAAAGTCTAAAACTTTTGTTTTTGTGTGGTGTGACTCAGTCACTGTTCTTATATTAAACCACACTGACTGATGATCACTGGATCCTAAACTTTCACCTACAGTAATATCTGATGCCAAATCTCCATTTGTTAACACTAAATCTAGTATGGCCTCTTTACGAGTTGGCTCCTCAACAACTTGTTTTAGAGACAATCCCAGTAGGGAGTTTAGAATATGTGTGCTCCTGGCACAAGTAGCTAATTTTGTTTTCCAATTTACATCAGGAAGATTAAAGTCACCCATGATGATAACTTCCCCCTTCATTGTCATTTTAGCTATTTCCTCAACTAGTAGATTATCTAACTCTTCAATTTGTCCTGGGGGCCTATAAATCACACCTACACGAGTTACTGTGTGATTACCAAATTCTAACGTAGCCCAAACAGACTCTATGTTTGCCTCACTAACTTTTATTAGGCTAGATTTTATGCTATCCTTCACATACAAGGCCACCCCTCCCCCTTTCTTGGGGATGACACTTTTTCAGTTTATGAATGTGTGTCCGTTACACCCAATATACTTACAAACCAAAGCAAAACATCATATGCTCATTATTACTGAAATAACTTGCTAGACTTAAATAAAAGAGCAGGAAGTGGAGTGAAACAAAACATCTCAATAAATATATTCCACCAGTGAACTTATAAATGGACAGGTACCCAACATTTCTTAATGATTCACCTGGTTATACCAATCCAAAGAAATTTAAAAAGAATTTGCCAAATCAATTGGCAACAATTTAATAAATGGGTAAATGAGGATACACAGTGTTGTGTTGATCTGATTATTAACCTCAGGATGATATATCTTCTCTCCAGGTGGACTTATTACACAGAGGACGAACTTGGAGGATCATCTCACTGGGGAAAATTGGCAACTTACAGTGGGGGAGGATATTATCTAGATCTTGAGCTAACCAAACAAGACAGTTACAGGGACTTGCAAATATTGAAAAATAACCTCTGGTTAGATCGAGGGACCCGTGCTGTGTTTGTTGACTTTTCAGTATACAATGCTAACATCAACCTTTTCTGTGTTTTAAGGTAAGCAAGTGATTTCTATATTGATTTATACAGAATGATGGAGAACTTATTTAATTCTCAAAATACACATTGTGTCATATTTTGGGGCTTATATAAAATAAATCTAAACTCACTGATTTTGTGAATAAGAAAAATTCTTACCTTGGCCTCAATTTTAATAACTTTTACAAATGATTCAATACTGTTAAAAAAAATTAAAAATATTTCCAAATAATTTCTCTACAAAATTCCCCATAGACTTTAATGGTGATTTCTGTACATAAATAAATTGGAAATTTTATCCTATCAGTATCGAATCATGCGTAAAGTTTATTCAATCAAGGCCCTTATCTGGTGCTTACAACGTATAAAAGTTAGTGTATTTCCATGTCATGTTATTTTTATTTTTACAAGTGGTGGTTGCAAAAAAAAAAACACACACAAAAAAAACTTTACTGTGCAGTACAATAACAATATAAGAGATGTATATCACGTAGCTGTTAGCTATATTCCTACATTTTGTCAGACGATGAAGTAAGTATATCGGCCACTTTTGGGGGGGTAATATAAGTAGATGAGAGCAGATTAAACGTGCTTAAAAAAATAAAAGAAAATACAAGATATGTCTACAGCGTGTTTCATGTCAGAGAAACAACTGGGCAGTACAATTACATGTTTATAATGTGGACATTCTACAAATACATACGAATGATGTACACAAACCCTCGGCAGTTTGACCTCGATAGCACTGAGCCCATATTGGCATACTATACATAAACCAAGCATGTAGAACCCATACCATATTAATTATAGCTGTAAATGATACACATTAAAATATATCTTTGTATACAATATGTTTCTAAAACTGTATGGAAAAACATTAACATATAAATAAACAAAATCCATCCTTTCTGAGATTCTTCTAATTTGATATAAATCAGTTTTCTGCAGTGAGCACCACTGAGACCAGGAAGTTATCTAAACTTTCTATGTCAGTTCTGTGCCTATCTCATAGATCTTAACACATCAGGTGTTTCCATTATAAAACTAACAGCTAAACTACAACTCCCAGAAACCTTAGCTTTGCATTAAATGTAGTTGTATTACTGGAGGAAAAAAAATGTAAACACAGCAGAGATAATTGGCATTTGGACCATAATTAGCATAAATAACTGAAACTTAACCAAACAGTGCACCTAATGTGTGGGTGCCCGGGATCTTCCTTTAATTTGCATGGCTTTTTCATAACCACCCCCACGTAAGCGTTAACATATACTTATTTTCATAACAAGTTATTTAGCGAGGAAGGGTACATTTGACTTTATAGTACATGCATACATCTTAGATTGTATTTGCATTTTCTGTTTATTAGGCTCGTTCATTGTCCTTTCTGTTTATTAGGCTCGTTGTAGAATTTCCAGCAACTGGTGGCGCAATACCATCATGGCAAATTCGCACTGTCAAACTTATTCGATATGTGAGCGGGTGGGACTATTTCATCATTGCCTGTGAAATTATCTTTTGTGTATTCATCTTTTACTATGTTGTGGAAGAGATGCTGGAACTGAGAATTCATAAATTCAAATACTTTACAAGTATTTGGAATATACTGGATGTAGTCGTTATACTGGTAAGGATTCATTCTCTAAATTAAATATTAGATACATCAAAGATCTAATGTCCCATAAGTCCTCGGCTCAGGTATAAGTTCACCTTTCCTGTACCATCAAGTACAAGTAAATGTGTATCAAATGTGTAAATCAAGTAAATGTGTTAAAGTGTCCCCAGTAGATAGGCTCAAACTTGGAAAGAAAAGCACTTTAATGTAAATAAATTAAGGGATTCCGATAAAAACCAAAGATTTGTAGGTTTTGTTTTGACACATGTAGATCAGGAATATGTTGTTCTTGTACAAAGTGTGCCACCACTTTTTGAAAGTTTAATTTCATAAAAATTTTCAAGCTGTTGATATCACTTGCACAATTTTGGCCAATGCATAGCTTTTCTTGTATAAATTTACCAACGCCAAAAACAGCATAAATCTACAGGTATAAAATAGAAGACGCATATAGAGTAGTGCAGTTCAAATAGAAAAATAGTCAATTTAATTGCTACACTGACAAGACAAAACATATAGATAGCCCTTCAAAGGTAAACAATTCTACATTTGAAGGGCCATCTATACGTTTTTTGTCCTGTGAGTCCTAAATAGACTTTATTTTGCCATTTGAACTGTACTACTCAATATGTGTATCATATTTTCTACCTGTAGATGTACGTGGTGGTGTTATTTGTATTAAGAACATAGAGTAGTTCTGAATCTTTATACAGCATTACAGTGTTCAAAGGGTAATTCCTTTTACATCTTTTATGTATTCTTTACACTGTTAATTAGGGGTGTATATGTTTAGTTTTGATAATTCACCAATGTTCAGAATGAACTCCGGTCTTTTATTTTCACCATTTTTATGAAACCTTTCAGGACGTATTCACTTCTAGGTAAAGTACGCAGTAAGATGTGTGTATGGTGATTCAGGGAAATTCCATCAGTACTGATGTTTTTACAAGGAATAGGGATTTGAGAAGGTGTCTGTTCAAGCTTTTATTTAAAGTACAGTTGGTCATGTCTGAGGGAATATAAAACTGGAAGTGCATAGATTACTGTTCTAGGGATATAACGTAATACTTATGACAATCTGAATTTACGCAAGTAATGCTGGACATACCCTAGTTTAATGAGATACTGTAGACATTATTACTATATCATGTCATTGGAAGTGGTTATAATGCTTAGAGTCACTGTCCCTGCATTCAGTGGTAAACCACTTTCAAAAGGTTTAACTTTAAATGGTTACCCACAGCCCAGCCCCCACTGGAGGTATGGCTATGGCAGAGATCTTCTTTAACTATATTAATTCGTACTTTCTGATTAGCCCAATCAGCACAGAGGGGCAGACTGCCAGGGACTCTTTAGTTTAAAAGGAACATTAGAGTCACCCGCATCACTTCATCTCAATGAAGAAGTCTGGGTGCAGTGCCCATGTTCTTTTAACTCTGCAGTATAAAACATTGCTGTTTTTGAGAAGAAAAAACGTGGTCACGTGAAGCTGAAGCCCGATAGAAAAGCATTGATTCAATGCCTTTGTATTGGAAAGTTTGAATGTGCAGGGGACTCCATTCCCTGTAACCTCTTCGATAAGATGAAACTGTTGCAGTATCTAGTGTCCCTTTAATAATGACAACAGTGTCTCTTTTATAATGACAAAAGTCAGAAATAGACTTTTAGAATATCTGTTCTTTTGATGTACAATATGTTTCTTTAATAACTTTCATGATTATAAGTAATTAATACAATTATCTTTAGCTTTCTTTGGTAGCTATTGCATTCCACATTTTCCGAACCCTGGAGGTGAACAGACTCATGGGAACACTATTAGAGGAGCCTTCGACATACGCAGACTTTGAATTTCTGGCTTTTTGGCAAACACAATACAACAACATGAATGCTGTGAATCTTTTCTTCGCATGGATTAAAGTATGTGTGAATTGTAAACCAATCTATTATCAACTGATAACTGAAATACATCCTGAGTTGTTTGATTTGATACCATCAGGATAGCCATGTGATTTTAGGTATAATAGGTGTCCAACTCAATGCCACTTAATCAAGCAGAAAATATATGGGAGTTGTTTATACACGGACAGAGAAATCTAAAGAATGTTCAGTGATGTATTTACTAATAAATATATATTAAACCAAAAGCTATTTTTGCGTGAGAGACATTTAGACCATTTGTTAATGTTAAGATCAATTGTATCTCAATATTTTAGAAATGTAAATGGACGTACAGATATCTTTTATACAATCTGTAAAATGAATAAGAGATTCACTACAGAAAGCCATGACTACACCTGTTTGTTGTTTTTCTTTTAGATCTTTAAATACATTAGCTTCAACAAGACAATGACCCAGCTCTCGTCTACACTTGCCCGATGTGCAAAGGATATTTTGGGTTTTGCAATCATGTTCTTCATAGTTTTTTTTGCATACGCACAACTAGGATATCTTCTGTTTGGGACCCAAGTGGAAAACTTTAGCACCTTTGTCAAGTGCATGTATGTAGACAATTTATATTTTGTAAACTGCATGGCTACACTATCCTATGTACGAGCTATTCTGTTGTATGTAGTACAACCTTATTGGGAAGACAAATGAACATCTCCCTCCCATTAAGAAATATTGTGAGTAGTGACATTGTGGAATAATGGGCATTGAACAATGTGCTTAAATGATCTGACCCTGAATTACGTGGTACTCGTGCCTTGCACCCCTGCAATCCCATCTATACCTGGTGAACTAGTATGGATAGTAAATCTGTGATGTCAGACCTATAGCTTATGAATATAATATAGCAGGAATGTGGAACTGCACTCAAACCCATTTGAAATGTATCCGGGTGCAACAGACCAGTCCCAGTACCAGGAACAAAATATTTGATGAGGAAAAATAGAAGAGAAGTCCAGGCACACTCAGCATACAAAAAGGCAAATTTGTTGAACCCACTGCAACGTTTCGACCTACACAGTCGTTGTCTAGCAGCTTGACAAAGACCGTGTAGGTCGAAACGTTTCAGTGGGTTCAACAAATTTGCCTTTTTGTATCCTGAGAATGCCTGGACTTCTCTTCTATATTTCCTCAGACATATAACTTCTATGATCTATGACGTGCAAGTGACATTTTACTGTCTGGGGGGGGGATCTGCATATCATGGCATACCCTGGTGGACTCTAATACAGCTCATCAAGTAGTAGGGAGGAGTGAAAATTATATTTTTCCCCTTCAATTAGTATTCTGCATATTTGGGGGGGGGTGAGAAAGGGTTGCTTTCTCATTTCTACGAATTCTAATAAAATGTTTATTGAACATCAATGAATCCATAAACACAATGATACCCCATTAACCCCTTAAGGACACGTGATGGAAATATTCCGTCATGATTCACTTATATTCCAGAAGGTGTGTCCTTAAGGGGTTAAAACAGAGAATAGTAGTAAACCACACAAAGCAGGAGTGAAGGTATGAGTGTACTTAACTTCTATAACTTGCCACCTGATACACAAGCTCAACTTTGAAATGACTTCAACTCTGATCCATTAAACCTAGTACATCTACGGTTTACTGTAAATTTTCATATAAAGGCTCCTTCAGTAATGGAAGATAGCAGAGACCCCTCTGCCCTAAAGTGTGCATGCAATATTTGTGATTGGTATGTATTAAAAATAAAGCTTACCCTTATATCTTTTTGTTTTCTAGATTTACCCAGTTCCGAATTATCCTGGGTGACTTTGATTACGATGCCATTGATAATGCCAACAGAATATTGGGACCGATTTATTTTGTTACTTATGTTTTCTTTGTGTTCTTTGTGTTGTTGGTAAGTACAAGCAACTATTTTTTAATAATGGCCGTCCGTCAGTGACTGCATGTTTAAAACCTTTTTATTCATTTTTACAGAATGTTTGTTGTTTCAGCACCCTAGTATTCAAAGTCAAAACTTTGCTGTTGATTCATCATTTATTTGATATTGTACAATAACATTATGCCTTTTTCTGCTTAGAATATGTTTTTGGCCATCATCAATGATACATACTCTGAAGTGAAGGAAGAGCTTTCAAACCAAAAGAATGAGCTGCAATTTTCTGACATTTTAAAACAGGTACGTGTGATTTAAGGATTTAACCAAGCTAGCATCTTACAATGCATGTGTCAACATTGCACAAAACTAAATTCCAAATTCTAAAAATCCACCATGTCATATCTACATTACACTAATTCAAAATCTAACAAAGAGCATCTTTGCATGAGGTCTTTTAATTCAACATTGTGTGCCTAATCACCGTAATAGTAATAGATATCGAGCCTTATCCCTACTTTCCTTTCCTGAACGGCAAACCTCAAGCTCCCCTTTTATAGGCTGGAATCATCAGATAGAATTGTGCAGCAGTAAAAAAAAAAAAAATATGTATCTTGGACGTGGAATATATCTACAGAAACTTGAGTCTATCCCATCGTATCCACTTACTGAGGCCTTCATTTAATATTTATGGATTGACTTTTCAAATGATTTAAATTACAGATGGAATTACCAGGGGTTAATATTAAATGATCTCAGGAAGATTGCTCCCACCTCTCTCCAAAAGGGAATTACAACTGGCCAATCCACATACCATAGTAAGTTCCCTTCTGGCCACACCTTCACCAGCAACCATAAGAGCCTACCCGGCCCATATGATATAATTCCGCAGGAGTTGTGTGTCAACAAAATAGGGTTTTGTACGTTTGCTCTTGGGATACTACACAAACTTACACCCCTTTAGACGCCTCTAGCATATCCTCCCAGGAGTCCCCCTTCAATGCCTCTGTTTTCATTGGGATGTGTATCGTAAAGAACCTCAGGTTGTGGAGCTGGAACAGACATGGTTTTATATCAGTGAGATAAGACACTTCTGGTAAGATAGCTGAGTTTCAGCAGCTTTTTTTTTTTTAACTATCTTTTTGTGCCTAGTCCCTTATTTGGATATACTGAAAGTGGTCTTTACTGTTTAATGGGAACGTGTTTTGTAAATCCTTAAAGGAGACCACTGATTATTCGCTCCAGCGATGTATGTATCGAATACCAGTCTCCTCTATGTTTTTAAAAGCTCTTGGGCATATGCCAGAGGGAAAGTCCCTAATCCAGATGACAGGGAATACGATGGTAGCCAAGTGGAATTTCTTCCTGATCCAGTCCCATATAGTGAGGGATGCTAGAATAGCCGGACAAGTAGTTCATAGTAATGTCCTCTGGGGCTTTTCTAACTACATGTAAAAAAGGGTAGATCAGAACCCATACTATTGGACTCCATATCCACCCACCTGTCCTCTAATGGCACTGAAATTAAAAGATCTATGCTTCTATACGTGCTCAGATGTCCACCAAATGGTCTGCTGTGTGACTATATAGGGTTTAATAAAATTCCCTGAAAGCCTTATTGCTTGGGAATCTGTAATTGGTGTTATTGGTTTGGGGTGATTTCTAGGGAATAGAACTCTATATTTGTTTTAAGAAATCAACTTCAAACTATGGAATGCTCTTGCTCAATTTATACCTACAAGAGGTCTACCATATTATTGACAATGTATTGTTCTTAATATATAAATGTGATAAAACTAAATGTTAAAAAAAAAATTCTAGTGTATAAAGATATAACTGTTATACAGTATTGACATTTTTAAATTCTACTTCTGTGTGGTCTGGTTTATATATAAGTGACAGCTACATCGTGTGTAAGTTCCTTGATACATACAACTCAACTTTAGAATCCCATGCAAGCTGCAGTGTGCTCTGCACAATTTTCTGCAAAACATATTATTAGTTTTGGGCAAAGGATTATAAAGATATCATGCAAAGGAAAACTGTAGCATTAGAAACTGCAATAATTACTATCCAGGGTTAACGCCACCTCTATCAGACAGCCACTAGAAGGACTTCCGGGTCGTTAAGCGACTTTTGGTCAACTAATTGATGCTGGATGTCTTCCCGCTATGCATGAAGACATCCAGCATCACCCAAAACCCCATAGGAAAGCATTATGTCAGGGAAGGAGGAGCCAAGGCGGAGCCTGAACCAGCGCCGAGGGACATTGGCGCTGGAGTCAGTTAAGTGACAGAAGGGTTCTGCGCTGCGGATATGATAGGGGGGCACTATAGTGCTAGGTATACAATTTTTAATTTTAAAATTCACTTTAAATTTTCACTGCAAAATTTATAGTCAAACTGACTAGGATTACTTGTATTTGTATCATTGATGTCTTTACATTTCTTCAAGCAGTAACTTAAAGGAACATACAAGGCACCAAAACAGCTTCATCTAAATTAAGTTGCTATGGTGCCAGGAGGCCCCCATGCACACTCCAACCTTCAGAGGTGAACAGTTTATCGGTTTAGCAGGAAAGTTGCCTCCTCCCCTGGTGGCATCCGGCTTTTGTAATTTCACTTACAGAAAGCACGGACTACTGCTGGGCAGGGGTGCCGCTGATTGGCTGAGTGCTGGCTTGGACAGAAACATACCCTTGTCCAAGCCAGTTTTGGAGGGAAATCCAGGGTTAAACAGTATGAAAATGGTCTAACCCCTGAAGGTAAGAATTCTCCAGGGGGACTCATAGCACCATAAGGAACCATGACAACTTCATTTAGATTAAGTTGTTATGATGCCCATACTTTCCCTTTAATCTCTAAAGGGACACTATAGGCACCAAAAAATGTTTTGGTGTGTAGAACATACCCTTACAGTTTCACTGCTCAATTCTGTCATTAAGCAGTTAAATCACTTTGTTTATGCAGTCCTAGTCACACCTTCCTGCATGCAACTTGCGCAGCCATCCTAAACACTTGCTGTAGAAATAAATCTAATGTTTAAACTAAATGTCTGTGCACATTTCTGTTTAATTTAGAATCTGTATCTCCTGCTGTGCTGATAGCTTGATAAACCCTGCAGGAGCTTGTGTGTGTGATTAAAACTTAATTCACAGAACAGGAGATAAAAACGTCTGATGCCAGTTAACATCATATTGAAAATGAAATTTTTTTTTTATTCATACAGGCTGTGTATAATTATGGGAGGTGTATCTAGTGCAGCATAAAGAGAAACTAAAGTACGTTAACGCCTAAACGGCAGAGAATTGAGCAGCAAGATTGCAAGGGCATGATCTATACATTAGACGAAAGTTGTTTTGGTGCCTATAGTGTCCATTTAACTGCAGACTTAAAAAGTGGCTCAGTGTTTTGGTTATTCTATCCCTATGCCCTGGCTTATATTTTATACTCCGCTCCCAACTATTTTTATTAAGTCTTTTCTTCTTTGTGCTGTAGCTCAGTACCTGGGCACAGCCATTTTGTTATTTTTCTGCCATTGATGTTTTCTATTAGCCTTTCTGTGGGGTTGTTTTGTTTTTTTAATGGATTGTGGGTAACTGTGATTATTAACGGAAACAGAACTTTCTGTTAAGTTACACCTATTGTTGAGTTTTGTCAACTTGACGACTATATATTAGAAAATGTAGTCTCGACTTTTCTTTATGCCCTTTGTGAAAACCAAAAAGAATCATTTACAGGAAGCTCTTTAGAAGCAAATTAGATGAATTTTATTTTGGTGAGAGATCAGATTTGAAGGGACATTATAGTCACCAAAGCAACTTTAGCTTAATGAAGCATTTTTTTGTGTATAGATCATACCCCTGAAGTCTCACTGTTCAATTCTCTGCCATTTAGGAGTAAAATTACTTTTGTTTCTGTTTATGCAGCCCTAGCCACACCATCTCTGTGGTTTCATTTTCATTCAGGTGTAAGTTAGTTTAAAAGTTTTTACCTCTTGTTCTGTAAATTGAACTTTAATAACATGCCGTGGGCTCCTGCGGCATATAGCAAGCTATTACCAGAGTAGGAGATTAGAAATTCTTGATTAAACAGAATTTGCAATAAAGCAAATATAAACATTAGATGACTCTTTACAGGAAGTGTTTAGGAAGGCTGTGTAAGTCACATGCAGGGAGGTGTGCCAAGGGCTGCATTAACAAACTGATTTAACTCCTAAATGGTAGAGAACGAAGTAGTAAGACTGCAGGGGCATGATCTATACACCAAAACTGCGTTGTTAAGCTAAAGTTGTTTTGGTGACTATAGTGTCCCTAGAATGGATTTTTAATAGTGGTTAGATTTATTAGTTTTGGACATTTTCACTGGATATGGTTTTAAACGTGTATTCATTTCTGTGTTTATAAAATATTTTACCTGAAAGGATACATTGAGATTTTGCTCATTTTTCAGTACCCTCACATTTTAATCAAATAATTTACCATTCGTTACGAAGTTTGCCAAAATGGCATGTTGATAAGCCAGCCTTCATGGAAAATGTCCTCTAGACAGATGAAACAAAAGTAGACCTTTTTGGAAAATTACAACCGCTACATGTTTACAGAAGGAAACAAATAAGCTTTCAAAGAAAAGAACACCATTCCTACAGTGAAACATGGAGGAGATTCAGTGATGTTTTTTCTTTTTTTGGAGTTGCTTTGCTGCCTACTTACTGAGTGCCTAGAATCTGTGCACGGCCCAAGGAAATCTGAAGCCTAGCAAGGCATTCTGGAGAGAAATGTACTGCCCAGTGTCAGAAAGCATGGGTCCTCAAGTAAGGTAATGACCTAGAACATACCTCAAAAAGCACCCAAGAATGGATGAGAAGAATACATAGGACCTTTCCAAAGTGTCATGCCAGAAGACCAGATATGAATCCCATCTAACATCTGTGGAAAGAGCTGAAACTCGCAAATGGGAAAAAGCACTCATCAAACCGGAGATGTTTGCTCAAGAAAGAGCCAAATTCCTGGTCAAAACGAAATCTTATTCATATCTACAGGGATTGCTTGATTGCAGTTATTGTCTCCACAAGGCAGTGCTACAATACAAAATATAAGATTAAAGGGGCTCTCCAGATCCCTAAAGCACTTCAGCTTGCATTATGGGTGAAGAGTGTCCCCTCTTTTTTTTTTTTTTTTTTACAAAAAGTGCAGATTCCAATACAGATTGGCCCAGAGCACCTGCCCGGCAAATACTGCACATGAAGCTGCATTGGGAATTCTGTGATTGGACATCAACATAAATTCTAGACTGGGATAGAAGGGGAGGACTTGCAAAGGCTGCATACAACATTTCTGCATGATATGCAAGCGATATCCAATAGAGATTTATCATTATTTAACTATGCATTTTTCATTGAGGGTATATCTACTAAATCAGGGGTAGTCAACTTGGTCCTTACCGCTCACTAGTGGGCGGTTTGGGATTTCAGATGAGCAGTGGTGGGTTCTGAAGAAAACGCCCAGTGGGCCTTGATGGCAGGGGAGATCCTTTCATCATCCCTGCCGGCCCATGCAGAGCCAGCCTTGCTGTAAGCCCTCACGGGCTGGTGAGGAGATCGAATATCTCGCTCACCGGCCCGCCGGCACTTAGTTCCAGCAGAGAGAGGGAAGGACCTGGGAGGCTCTGTGTTCCTCCCGTGAGCCGGCTGGTCGGAGTGTTGCTGCGTATTACCATAACAACGCTCCGATACAGTGCTCTGCCCGCAGGAGGCCAGGAGAGTCAGCCTGCAGCCGAAGGAGCTTCAGGCTAAAGTGAACATGCCACCACTGGACCACCAGGGCTTGCAGCATTATGTCCCCCTTCCCCGGTAAAAGGTAAGAAGAAGGGAGGGGGAGACATTAAGATAGATTTTTCACTATTCACACAGCATAGACCCTATGCACTCTTTGCACACAAACACACACTGCTTCTCACATACGCACAGCACCATTCACACATACACTGTACCTCTCACACACCGCACCTCTCGGACACAAAGTACCTCTCAGACTCACATAAAAAGTAAAATGAAAAAAAAAATTGATAAATTTAAGTACATATTAAAAAAAAAAAAAAAAATCTTAAATTTTTTTTTTTAAATTGCACTTGCGCTGTATCAGTTACTGCAGCACTGGTGGGCGGCAAGGAAATTTTACCATCAACAAAGATACAAAAGTGGGCATTATGTATATTAAAAGGTTACCTACCCCTGTACTAAATAATGATTTTAACTTGGGCAGTGGAGTGTCCCTTTAAGAGTGCCAATAATTATGTCAGTGCCATTCATATATGTTTTAATGTTTAAACCAATATGTTAAGTCATAAAGCAAAATAGAAGTTTTTGATAGTGAATACCAAATACTTTTGTTAATTTTCACTTCATACAGAGAAAATTGTGTGTTCATATAAAAGTGGAAGGGTGCCAATATTTCAGCTACATCTGAATATCAAAAGCATAATGCTTAGCATATACGCTTTCCATAGTTTTGTGAACATTTTTCAAAAATACAATAAAAAAATAAATAAAAAAATATATATATATAATATATCTATATAATAATATATCCAAATTTCCAGATCGATAATTGTCACATTTCTCTATTTTCGTTTCCAGTTTGCTACAGTGCAGAATTTGGTAAAATCCCCGCAAGCCATATTACACTGTTCCTTGTACAAAAATTCTGACTATATGCTGGCATCAGTAAGAGCTGAAATGACTGCATTATCATGTTCTGGTGGCATAATGTCTCCACCTAGTGGATAGATAGATATATATATATTAGACGGTCTAAAGAAGTGTTAGTAAATCTATTGCACTGGAAGCCCCATCGTCAGTCCAATGCACCTAGTTTTGACATTTAAATTTTTTTCCATTGGAATATTTTTGGGAATTTCAAGGGATAATTTGTTTGACAGACATTACGATAGAACAACTTTACAAACAAATGTTGCTCTAGCTAGAACTGTCTGCTGTCATCTAACCTTCCATTTGTTCAGAAATACTCTTTGTAAGTCATGTGATTTTGTTTTCACTTTTTAAATCATGTTTTTAGGGTTACAGGAAGACATTGCTGAAGCTTAAACTAAAGAAAGAGCGCATTTCGGATGTGCAGAAAGCTTTGCAAAATGGCACAAAAGAACTGGAATTTGAGGAGTTTAAAAATAGCTTAAAAGAGTAAGTAAAACACTGCAGATGTAACTGGTTGTCAGAATTGCTAAATTATTTATTTTAAGCATGATGGGAGTTGTGTTCTAACAGGACACTGTAATATATGAATTATTTAGGCAATAAGCAGTTTAACATTATTCTCCAATATGGTCATTTTCTGTTGTGCTGCGAGTAAGATCTCCAGGTCAGCTCTCTTTATAATTTTGTTATTGACTGACATCATTAAGCAAACAATCCATGCACCATAACCGATACAGCATGCTGTTGTCATTGTGGTACCAGGAGCGCCCTGGCCAACCCACAAAATTTAAGTGGTCAAACAGTTTGCTACCATTTTGACTTATTATCTGGGGACCGCAGAGCATCACATCCTGCCTCTCTGCAGCGAGCCAAGCATAGCATTGTTCCAGTCTGATCTGAAGTGACCAGCTGAAACACTCAGCAAATGCCCTGCCCCGAGACACATTGCAGAGCCTTGCAACTCTCCACTTCAGCAGTGATGAACAAAATAGGATCAACTGACAGAGCCATTATATAATCAATCACTAAACCTAACCACTACTTCATCCATTTTTTCTTTCGTGAGAAATATCTAAATAGTGTGAGTGTGTCCCCAAAAAGACAAGACACAGCAGTGCATTGACCCTCATAAGTGCATATACCCATTGCGTTTCTTCTAAAAATATTCTGCTCCTCTGTTGCAGGATGGGCCATGATGACCATGAAATTACTGCAGCCTTTTCCAGATTTGACCAAGATGGTAACAGAGTTCTAGATGAAGATGAACAAAAACAAATGAGAAACATCTTAGAGGAAAGGAGGGTAAGTACATAACCACTGTTAAGATGTTGTGTGTCTGATGATTCAGATATAAATGTTCCTATTCAAATCAGTTTCAAGAGTTGGTACATTAAAGGATACATTAAGCATCAAAACATCATTACCATAACTCATCTCTGAATGTCCTCCCATCTTCTTAAAGCTCATCCCAAACAGAGCTTCAAGTCTGCACTTACTTCAAGTGCAAAGAGATGTATAGATTACCCCACCCCACTGACCAGGGGCCAAATGTAATTATTAGTTAAAATAGTGTATACACAATTGGCAGGTAATGGGGTTAATGAAGCTGTTTTTGTGTACAGACCAGTGTTCTGCAGTTTAGGAGTTAACTTACTTTGGTTAGGCAGCCCATGGAGATGCACATTGTGCAGCACTGATCCAGGAAGCACCTCTAGTAGCTACCTGAGTGACTACCACTAGAGATGTAACTAGGCAGTAATGTAAATACAAGCATTTTAAATACAATAATACAGGGGTAGCAAGTTTTCCCTACACTGTTTTAAGTGTTTTGGGAGTCTGGAGTGTCATTTTGACACAAGAAAATATAGTTTATTTTTTCCCCTTTTGGCCCTAAAATCCTACCTCCTCTAAATTCTGCAGCTATGCTGATCCACTCCTTTCAAGCAGCAAAATCATGCAAAATTGTATAAAACAAAATACATGAAAATAGTTATTGATAAAAAAACAAAACTATATAACAGTAATACATATCGGATCTTTTCTAAAATTACATCTATAATGAAACATTCACATTGTCCAGGAATAGGTACACTTTGCATCACTGACAACCTTTTCCAAGTATGAAGTTTTGAATAATACACCCTGTTCGAAATTATTATGCAAATTCTATTTAAGTGTCACAAAGATTAAATATTTTTTCAGTTTAACTCATGGATGGCATTGTATCTCATGGCTCTTTTGATCACTTAAAACCATCTCTGACACCGAGGTATGAAAACATTAGATATTTCATGAAAACTTAAGTGTGATCATCGCACTATTAAGAGATTTGTGGCTGATTCATGAGCACAGATGGGTTTGTGCAGATAAAGGCACATTGAGGAAGATTTCTGCCAGATCCATGCATCGGATCAAGAGAGCAGCTGCTAAAATACCATTACATAGCAGCAAACAGATATTTGAAGCTGCTGGTGCTTGTGTAGTCCCACGGACATCAAGGTGTAGAGTCCTCCAGAGTCTTGCAGCTGTGCATAAACCTTCTATTCGGCCACCACTAACCAATGCTCACAAGCAGAAACGGCTGCATTGGGCAGAAAAATACATGAAGACTAATTTTCAAACAGTCCTGTTCACTGATGAGTGCCGTGCAACCCTGGATGGTCCAGATGGATGGAGTAGTGGATGGTTGGTGGACGGCCACCCTGTTCCAACAAGGCTGCGACGTCAGCAAGGCAGTGGTGGAGTCATGTTTTGGGCCGGACTCATGGGAAGAGAGCTAGTCGGCCCCTTTAGGGTCCCCGAAGGTGTAAAGATGACCTCTGCAAAGTATGTGGAGTTTCTGACTGACCACTTTCTTCCCTGGTACAGAAGAAAGAACTATGCTTTCCGTAATAAAATCATCTTCATGCATGACAATGCACCATCTCATGCTGCAAAGAATACCTCTGCATCAATGGCTGCTATGGGGATAAAAGGAGAAAAGGTCATGGTGTGGCCTCCATCCTCCCCTGACCTCAATCCTATTGAGAACCTTTGGAGCATCCTCAAGCAAAAGATCTATGAGGGTGGGAGGCAGTTTACATCCAAACAGCAGCTCTGGAAGGCTATTCTGACATCTTGCAAACAAATTCAAGCAGAAACTGTCCAAAAACGCACAAGTTCAATGGATGCAAGACTTGTGAAGCTGCTATCAAATAAGGGGTCCTATGTTCAAATGTAACATGACCTGTTAAAATGTTTAAAAAGTTAACTGACCTGGCAAAAGGACTTGTGCCAGCTGAACATGCAAAACCAAAGAACCCAATCAGATGATCTCAAAAAGAAAATAGCCCATATTACACACCTCATACACCGCCAAGTTCTTGAACAATCCGGCTTTGCCCTCAGGAAACTGAAATTGACACAGTACACTCAGGGTAACAAAGCTACTAGGCTATTGGCGTCTCGCCTCAAAACCAAACAGAGCAAGCAAAAACTAGCATTTATACTTTTAAAAGATGGAAAGAAAATCATGATATCCAAGGACATTAGCGACGAATTTGCACACTATTATACAACACTTTACAATCTCAGGCATGACACACTCACACACCAACCTTCGCGGGAGACAATTGACGCTTGCCTACACTCCACTAAACTCCCCACACTTACGACGCAACAACAAATAGACCTGACAATACCTGTCACTGAGGAGGAAGTCCTATCAGTGATAAAAACTCTGAAAATGGGGAAAGCCTCTGGCCCAGATGGGTTCAATAATTCTTACTATAAAACTTACCGCACTATCCTAGCACCCCAGCTCACACAGATGTTTAATGAGGCGGTTGCCGGACAAGACCTACACAAAGACTCACTCATGGCACATATCGTCACCCTGCCTAAGCCAGGCAAACCCCTGACCCAGCCACAATATTTTTGACCAATCTTACTCCTGAATACAGACGCATAACTCTTTGCCAAACTGTTTGCCATGAGGTTGGGGAAGGTTTTGCCCCACCTTATACACTCTGACCAAGTGGGATTTGTGGCGGGTGGGCAGGCAGGGATCAGAGAACACCCGCAAAGTCCTTGACCTGATGTACAGCATGAGGCAACTTAACTTGGGGGGGGGGGTCATGGCCAAGATGGGAATACCAGCGGAGTTCACGGCGGCTGTCAGGGCACTGCAGAGCACACTGACCACTCGAGTCCTCAATGCCGGCTTCTTGTCGGAACAATTCGAGATCACAAATGGGGCGCGACAGGGTTGCCCGCTAGCCGCTAGGATTAGGGACAATGTTAACATTCACGGAGTCAAAATAGGGGAACGCGAATACAAAACAAAGCTGTTCGAGGATGATGTCCTTCTGACCTTGGAACAACCGCAGATATCTCTGCCGAACCTCCTCAGGGAAATAAGAGTATGGGGAAAACTCCTACTACAAACTGAATGTGTCCAAGACACAAGCAATGGGCATAGCCATCTCACATACACTCGCTAGCTACACAGCAAACATTTCAGTTAGACTGGAGGTCGGACTTTGTGTCCTGCCTAGGACTCCAAATCCAGACAATCTGTTCCACTTAAACTACGTCAGATTCCGCACAGACATCGAAGCGACCCTGAAGGCGTGGGAGGGAAAATACATATCATGGCTGGGTCGGATGGAAGCAGTTAAGATGCTCCTTTTACCAAGGCTTCATTTCCCTTTTTCGTACCCTCCAAATCCACATCCCACAATCATATATCAACACTACACAGAAACTTTTGATGCAGTTTATATGGGAGCGCAAGAAGGCAAGGATTGCCACCAGAATCCTTCATAGTCCAGTGGAGGATGGCGGCCTCAGCCAGCCGAACCTCAAGCTTTACTACCAGGCGGCGGTGCTCTCCTCGGTGGTGAGCTCACACGTCCGCAAGGAACCTCCACAATGGATAGCCAAAGATTCATACTGGGCCCACATACCAACTCTCCACTACCTCCTTTGGGTCCCTAAGGCCAGAAAGAACATGTATGCTCCCCATCACGAGAACGCGGGTGTGGGACAGGGGAAGACCACACTTGTGTGGCAGCAACCAGTGGTCGCAGTGCACCCCCCTGAGGAGTATACAAGTATTGAACCCCTCCTTCAATTACCACACATGGACAGGAAACGGATGCACCCACATACACCACTTGTATCTTGACGGTAGACTACGAGCATTCCCAGATCTGCAACACAAGTACAATTTGCCCCATAGGGCGATTTTCTCCTACTTCCAACTTAAATCGACGCTATCCAGCACCAGAGAGGGCGGAATATCCACACCAACACGTACACACTTTAAGCGAACATGCATGACAGACCATACCCCCCAAATAACTCACTCCACCAATTACAAATTTCTGAACCAAACAGATCATTGGGACACACAAAAGTACCTGACACTTTGGCAAACCTTAAAGTGGACGTAACCCCAACACGCTGGCGAACAGCGTTCCAAGCTCACAAACGCAGAACATTATGCACATCCCATATAGAGCTCATGAGGAAGATTTACTACAGGTGGTACCTGGTACCATCGAGACTCGCCCACATGTACCCAGGGGCATCAAGCAATTGCTGGCGATGCCACGCAGAACCTGGCACTATGTATCACATATGGTGGACATGTCCCCACATACAAAACGTTTGGGCAATGGTTGAGAATACACTGTCAGAGTTAATACACACCCATATGACGCTCAGCCCCAGGTTGGCATTGCTGTTCTTAGACCTTAACGACTTCCCCAAAGATGATGCCACCTTAATATACCACACACTTATTGCTGCACTCAGGCTCATAACCAGAGCATGGAAATCCACATATATCCCCACCAAACAGGGCCTCCTCCAACAGCTTACCACTAACCTAGACTATGAAAATATGGCTAGAACAAACTCACGTTACAACCAAGGGACACAACGATGCATTACCAGACTAGACACCTATAAGACCGTTGGCACAACAGACTTGGGAAAAATAGGGGAGACCATAGGGAGGGACAAGTAGAGCCCTAGAAAGATACGAACTAGGCTTAATAGACCGTTATTCACAACAGCAATGCCTCTGGGGGCACCCTACCGCATACCCAAAAACCAAGGAACCTCACTGTACACCCTGCCTGAACACCCCCGCCAGTCATACCATAAAGGAGTTGGCAGTCACCTCTCGCCCCACTAGAAGGACTCCGATAGGACGGTACAAAAAGCTATACGATACCAAAGGAAACCAAGACGCCTCTTTTCCTAAATATCACCTAATAAATGAGTCTCTTTCACACCATTATTAGGCCGACGCATCCACCTACCTGTAAAATAGTTTTGCGCAATCGCAAGCCTTGCATGGCGACAGAAACGAGGCACTTTAACAACCTCAAGTAATCGTACATGACAAACCACCAAGACAGAGCTGCCCTGGGACTGGGTGACACTAGCAGCAGGACTGCTCATCCCTTCTTGGCAACCTTAGTATTGGTAGTAAATGTGACAGTCTGTGAACCAGGAAGATGTCAGTCATATAAATGTCTTGAATACAATGTGCGTACTATGCAAGGGGTGAAAACTGTTCTAACCGATAAGTGCAACTTACCCCCCCTCCCTCTTCTTTTCTGTAACCCAAGAAAATAAATAAAAATTGTCACGTTAAAAAAAATAGTTTTAAAAGTTAAAATGTTGTTATAAGTTTGATTGAAATAGCTTTTGATTTCGGTAAACATGCTGCAAATACAACAAATGACAATTTTCAGTTCTTTACAACCTATAAAGTGTTTTGGAACAGTGCATTGTAAGTTTATGTTTAAAAAAAATACTGTTATCATTAGGAGGTTTGTTCAATAAAATTTGAATTGTACTCTTAATAGTTGATAACATGAGAATTATGCTGACTTATTTACATAAATTATTTAGGCAAATGATAAATATAATTTGCATAATTTGGAACAGGGTGTATATGTAATCTCACTCAGGATGTGTTCAGTGGGATTTGCTGGCACCAGTAGGCAATTAACACAGAGTGACTTCTAAAGTAAACACACTCTGTGTACTGAATGAATATGAGGCTCCAAATGAACAGTTTTTCTCAGGAAGTGTGTAGGGAAGCTGCATAATTCACAGCCAGGTGTGGCTAGGGCTTTAACTCCCAAATGGCACAGAGCGGGGCAGTAGAAATGCAGGGGCATGATCTACGCACACCAAAACTGAAGTTGGTTTGACCCTTTAACAGTTTTTTTCTTCTTCTATCAGAATCTTGAATTCTTTTTAACTTCAACTGGAGAGAGTCAAAGTAAAAGGTCACTAATGAAAAGACTTACTGGAATTAACATTTCAATATAATCAATCTGGCCAGCATTGACTGGCTGAGAGTGCTGCGGTGGGCTACTACCTTTGAGATAATTTACAGGATGGTTTGTCATGAATTCAGAGTGCTCTTAAATGAGATTTGTGAGAAAGCAGTTACATTTTGATATGGGTATGTCACAAGCAACTGCTCTTGAACTACTATTCAACCTTTGGCCAAACCCTGTGAAACTTTTTGCTGTAGAATGATGGGAGTTGGTCAGGCCGTCTACTAAATGATTTGCTTATTTTAGGTGGCTCTGAATGCTGAGATTGAGAATCTGGGAAGATCATACAGAAACAAAGATTTAAATGAAGGTGTGAACCTCACAGAATTAAAGAACGCGTCTGCTAAAGCAAGTTGGGTGTCACAAGAAGAATTCACAATGTATGTAGCACAATATAAAACGTGTATATTTTACAGATCTTGTATTAAAGAGTGGGATATTTAAATAAGCCAAAGCATAATTTTTCAGAACACCCTAAAACTCCACAGCATGTCCGATCTGTCTGCCTGCTCGAATTTATTTGAAAACTAAATGGGCAACTTTTTGGCTTATCAGTCATAAACTACAAACACAAGTTAGTATACGTTCATATAGAAGTCAATCGTGGTTATTCACTAAAATGTGGAGAATTGAAAGGGAATTTAACATTTTAGACCTAAATAGCAGATTTGTTATCATTTTGGCTACTTCAGCATAAAGCTTGAAATTAATTTTTAATTGCCCATTCACACAAATACTCACGTCAGGCTATATAGTACACGGAAGTCCACCGTATGCAGGTTATAACAGGACAAATGTATATATTTTATTATTATTGGTTATTATTTATTCCTTTAATTTTGATCTTAAAGTGCAAAGAACCTACAGAAAAATCATATTCATATTGGTTTTCTCTATTGCTATAATACTAGGAGAAGACTAATCCCAGTATATCCATATAATTTATTTTACAGATTTCTAAAGCGACTCCAGCAACTGGAATTGTCCATTGGTGGAATAATGAGAAAAATAGAATCGGTTGAAATGAAACTCGAGACCATGGAGACCAACAAAATGAAGCAGACAAACATCGTAGATAATCTGCAGAACAATATTGTGAAAGTGAGTTTCTGAATTGGCTCTAACGTTATGCAAACACACCTGGCCATTAAGTTGTACAACGGTAGAATAAAGTCATGAGTGGATAAGCCTATAACAGGATGTTATTATATAACAATTTAACCTTAACAGTAGGGTATATTACATCATGCTGAGCAACAGTGCTTAATGGGAAGTTATATCTCAAACAGAGATATAAAATCTCTTACTCTCCGCTCATCATCCTTTCTGGTTTGTGCATTTGGTTGAAATAACCTTGCTTCTCTTGTAGATGACCTGGCACCGTTTAAGTTTTGTGATATGTTGTAGAACTAGAGATATGACCGGTATCACAATGTTATTTACATAACCTGATTGATATTCTGCAAAAAGCATAACGTAACATATTTGCATTATTTGAAATTTTGTTGTAATCTACATGGAGGTAGGAAGGATCATGGCAAACTGTGAAGAGAACAAACAAACAAAAAAAAAAAAAACAGCAGATCTATAAATTCACTATTTATGAAGTGAAGACACAGACATAGGATAAGTTACCTGGTACTCTTAGGTAAATGCATACGTAAAACATTGCAAAAAAAATGTCATGTATAATCAAAACACAAACCTTTCACCCGCCTTTGTAAATACCTAAATATTGGTTGTCCATGAATATTCTAAATGCTTAAATTGTATTGCAGATAAATTATCACCTTTTAATTATAAAACATTTGTAAATGAACACTTTTAACCTCTGTCCTTTTCTTCTCCTATAGGAAAAACAAATTAGCCAGGAAGAAATGCTCCATCGCAACCTGGGACAGCTTGTGAAAGAGGAGAAGGAAGGATGGGAGTCAGAATATAAGTCTAGGAATATTACGGACCCTTCCCACAGAAACAGCAATACGCACTACCCAAACATGGCTGTCTCACAGAATTCTTTAAATTTCCCTTAGATCCAACACTGCTTGCAGTCTAATATTGTGTATAGTTTACAACTGTCTCACCTTTTAAATTGCCTAAAAATACTTAAGAGATTATATTTTAAATAACGGAGCTATTTCTTTAATGTTGCACTTAAAATTGTATTTCAAGCAGACTAACATGCTTAAACAAGCACCCCCAAGCCCCACAACCAATACAGTGCAGGGCTTAGCTCAGAAGAGCCAACGGAAGCTCCAAGCAGGATGTTGTGGCACTCCATAGCATTACAGAAGAGGCAGGGAGCAGTGTCTGGTAAGAAGTCAATACGTTATTAAATCCTTTGACTAATTACATTGACGGGCTGTGCTGTATTTGTTATGGTACTTGGAGTGTTTATGTTGCCTTAGTGCCCTGGCACCACTGATGATGCAGAATTCCCATTCCGCATTGCCAGTTTTGTCCAAGCAGGTTAGCCCACCACCCTCCGCCAATTAATGCCATCCCGAGCTGTGGAGGGGCAGTTTTTAGGAATCAAGAAGAACCCAGATTATTTAAAACGATTTCTAAAGTTCTGAACTTAAATTGGGTGACAGCCCCAAAACGCAACAACATAACCACCACAGCTTGTTGTACTGCTTATCTCTTAGAGTGACCCTTTAAGGTGAAAATGTCACCTAGAAACAGTAGTTTAGATTATTTATCATCAAGGGATAGCTAAGAAATTCAAATCAATAGCTTCTCTGTTGTTAAAGTACCGAAACCATTCCAACCTACTGCAAACATTATAGAGCAGGTTACAATCCTATTTTGTGTCAAATTTCCTGCAAAGGCAAAATCCTGGAGATTCCCTCGCACTCTGATCCTAGTCCTGTGACTACAATGTCAAAAAAACTTGTCTGCAAACATTGCAAACATATTTGCAGTGATAGGCATTTAGCAGCCATGCCAAATCGCACTTAACCTTTTTTTGTTTACAATAATTTAGCTTTCGCACAATACAGATAATTAGAAAGTTACATTTCTCATTAAGAAGTCAGGCAGAATGGGTGGGTTTATGGAATCCCATTTTTGTCAAACTAGTAGATGAAATGTCATTAGGTGCCGCGGTGATCACAGAGTAGCAGCAGGAGGAAACAAAGGCTTGTATATGTTTTGTAGTAGTTACTGTAAAGCTGATTGTGATAGTTTAGTTCAAGAGACACTCCTGGCACTTGTGCAAATTCAATGCATATGTTTATAGTAACATTCCTGCCTTTATGTGGATGTTTAAAGTTAGAAAGTTTTTAGAAATGAGCACAGCAATACTCAAGTTACTCAGTCTGTCATTTGCAAGAGGGTGTGAACAGAGGCAGCTGAAACACATGGCTCTCTAAATCTAATCTAGTAAGTGTGTGATGTCTTACACAAGTGAATGCACACTACTAACCCTAAAAGAAACTTAGGGATTGGCCAGGAGATATCCATTACTTCTGTATTATGTCAGAAATGGATGAAGATATGTGATCTGGGGAAAAAGCTCTTTTTATAAAACACATACAATTTTTTTTAAGGAGGCTGCATTGGACACTAAATTAACTCCCATCCTTTTATTTTTCAGGAACCAAGTTCTGTACAATGCAAGGTGAATATTAGTTATATTGATCAGTTAAAAGCAACCCGCTGAACAATTTAAATAAAAGATTTGTTGCCAACAGCCAATTGCCCCCTGAAGCTATGCTGTGATGCCAAATTCAAGGCTAGAGGGCAATAAACAACATAATAATTTAACCTGATGAGAGCAGGAGACCTCAAAATAACCATTGTGTCATCACGGACAATGCTAATTGTGCGTGATTCTCAAAACACAGTGTACAGATGTAGCATGCTAGACTGATCCTTTCAAAAGCTTGACATGGTTTATGCAAATGTTTTTATAATTATGGCAGAATATCCACATTTCTCTGAAAACCTCAGATTTGGTTAATCTTAACGACCATGCTTTTTAAAATTTTGCATAGCATTTTTTGTAAAAAAGGCACTAGTGTCAGGAACACAAACGTGTATTCCTGACACTATAGTTTTAAATCCACCGTTTAGTGACCATCCCCCCCCTCTGAAAAGGCAGTGTGTACAGTAAGAAGCATCCAAGGACTGATTATATTCACCAGAACAACTACATTAAGCTGTAGTTGTTTTGGTGATTATAGTGTCCCTTTAAGATCCGGTCTTGGCTTTATTCCCAAAGTATTTCTCAAGTGGCAAATCTATTTTGGGTTAGTAATAAAGTGATCAGCTATGCCCTCTATATACAGCTCAAATTTATTAAAACACTTGCAAGGGGATTTTAAAAATACATTTAAATATGGTTACGTTAGCCCATCAAAACTGGAAGTTTAAATCCCTGCCTTGTGATATCTTCGGCAAAGACCTATATTTATATGAGCATCATGAATCATGTAAAAAATAATTTATGAATTTAGTTTTTTCAAAGTACACAAGTCAAAAAATGACACTGTGTAATATTATAGAGAATACAATTATCTAATTGCTTGTATAAAACAGATTTAACTATATTTAAAATGTGCTTCTATTTATTTCATTTCACTATAGAGGTAAGAGGACAAATAAAGATGATTGATGGAAACTAGAGTCATAGTCAAATGTAAACTCAAAAGACTGCCCCAATCCCCAGTGACGTGAATGTACCGAACAATTCTTGGTTTACAGCAGCCAGAATTGTTTGATGATGAACAGGTTAGATAGGGACAGTGTTGCTGCAAATAAAGCCTCCTGATCAATTTCCATCAATCATCGATGTTAAAAGGAAGCAACCTTTAAGTGACTAGCTTTAAAAATATACATTGCTGAAGTCAGCAAGGGAGGACGTTTGTCAATACAAATTTTGTGGACCAGAGATCCACCTTAATTTGAAGAGACGTTTAAACAAAACAGTACTTTGAGGGCATTACGTGGCCTGTAGATCTACAGGTGGAGAATTCATAAGCTTTATAAAATATATATATAGCTTTTTGTGAGATGTGCAGTGATTCTTTCCTTTCAAAATTACTTTAGGTTGGGTCTAAAGTGCAACAATGCATCATTACCGATCAAAATTACAACTGTGACTTGTGCAATATATCTAGACTTGACTACTCCACCATTTGAATTCAAATTTTGTCTTGTTCATTGGTGTAGACAAATTTGTATAATTTGTTGAAAGATACTAAATAATATATATAGATATAACATGTAAAAAGGAACTGAAATAGAAAATAAAAGTTAGCTAAAATGAACTTAAAGTCTGAAAATTTAACTGTTTTAGTACACTACCAATAAAAAAAAGCAAACAATTATCTAAATGTTACTTTTGCTACTTTTCTGGTATTCTGCACACTTACAGTCTTTTTCCCCAATCTCAGATAACCCTAAATTAATATTTAAAGAACTTAAAAACAAATTAAAGTATTTCTGCATTCATTAATTGTGTCAGCAAGTATCAGCTTTACACATTAAAATATGGTCAGGTAAGCTTGCGCTACAATAATGGCTTATAAAAAGAATTAAAAAAATGACAAACTAGGACGCTTATGAAACATTACATGTACAGAGCATTAATTGAAGAAAAAACTATTTTAATAAACCTTCTGCAAGATAATACCTAAATTACACAACATAGTACAAAAGTTTTGTTTTTTTTTCTTTTTAAATCATTTTAGTATCAAAACAACTAATTAGGGGTTATAGCTTATTTTGGTTCATTCTTAATTAATATTATTCACAAAGTTCCCAATTTCAGATATGCAGACATTTCACAGTGTAACAGCTTAGTTATGTGTAGGTCTGTTAGTGAACTTTAGACAACATTGAAAGGGTTGAAGACCGAATACTGTAGTACTGTAATACTGTAATTGTGTAACCTACAGACACTTCTCACCATTCCTGTCCATTTCAATATAATATCTTGTACCATTTCAAAACTATATACAGTACAGTGTGATAATATTATTACTGTAGAGGTTCTGGGACATGTGCCTTTTTACAGACTCAAAAGCCTGTATTGTACTACACATTAGATCCATATTTAAAGGGACACTGTAGGCACCCAGACTACCTGAGCTCATTAAAGTGGTCTGGGTGCCAACTCCCATCACCCTTAACCCTGTAAGTGTAAATATTGACGTTTGTACGACTAAACGACGCTGGACGTCCTCACGCTATGCATGAGGACCTCCAGCGTCGCCGGAATCCCAACAGGAAAGCATTGAATAATGCTTTCCTGTGGGGATGTCTAATGCTTGCGGCTATTGCCATGCATGCGCATTAGGTCTCCCCCGCCGGCGGGGGAGGAGCGTGGGCGGAGCCTGATCCAGTGCTGAGGGACATCGGCGCTGGACCCAGGTAAGTGTCTGAAGGGGTTTTAACTCCTTCAGCGATGTGGGATGGGGGACAGGGGACTCCAAGATTCTGCAGTGCCAAAAAAACAGGTTTGTTTTCCTGGAACTGGAGAATCCGTTTAAAACATAAAATCTATGTGGAGTGGCTAATCTGGAAAAAACAAACAAGCAAATTAATGCTCTGACTAGCTGAGTATCCCAAGGAATTAAACCTACGGTAGCTGAAGGACCAGCATAGAGAGCCCAAATGTGATTCAAACAGCAGTTTCAAATCTTAGTGCACATAAATTATTCACATAGAATTTACCTTGGTCAGTCCTGGTGTTTTTCCACCTATAATATTGGACACGCATTTAAACATATCATAGTCATCAACAATTTACGTCAATGTGTAGCTTATAGCCAAAGAAAAAAAAAGAACCATGGCTTAGTCTATAACAATTGTGGACCATTTCATTTTTCCGTCTTAAGCAGTCTCTGTTGCAAAGGACACAAGTGAAAGAATGCAACAAGCCATTACTGACGACGTAAACATTTCATGAGTGGTCTGAGTGTTTCAAGAGTCTTGGAGGATTGCAACAATCATACAGTGAAATGTTCATGTGCTGCTTCTGGGAGATCAAAAATGTTAATATAGTCAAGGAAGAAAACAATTTTGTCGATCTGCACAATGAATTGTGTATATTAAGCTAAACTGATTATAAAGGCAAAAAGAGACCAGTTAAAATTAATTTTAGCATTCTGCTAAATAATTCTGGATTTCAGCTATTTGGAAGTTCCAGACAGGCTGCAATCTGGACTATAATAATTTTATTTTTGCAGTCAGAATTGCTAAAATGTGGACATTGCTAATTACTGTGCTTAATATCTGGATTTTGTGGTCTGAACGCCTTCACAGGGATAATCTGTATAATCCATACCAGATGTATTCTGTCTTTAGTGAATAGCTCAGTGTGTGTGTAAAATAGAGGTTGGCAGATTTAAATGTTTTATACAAATGTATATGTATGTATATAATCGCCATCAACACAAAATTACAGACGTTTTACATTATCCTTCTTTAAATGTGTGAACAATTGGCAAAGATCGCATTTCTCCTTGACATGGAATACTTGATATACTTAGTAACTGTCTAAATATTTGCAGCACTTTAATAGAAATCAAAAAAGGATATGAGATTATCACTCTTTAGATGGGTTATTAACTTCTCCAGCGAAGAGAAACGGCACAGAGTTGGCACACAGCCTATCATGATCAGCTTGTGTTTGGCTCTTGTAAGTGCCACATTAAGCCTCCTCCAGTCCTTCAATAAATCGCCAAGCTACTCAAAAAAAAAAAAAAAATTTAAAAAAAATTGGTTAGAAAGAATTAAAGCTTTAAAAAATATTTTTTTTCTTTTAAATATTGAAATTTACAAAAAATATATGTAAATAAATATTTAATTTCAAAAGGTTATTAGAAAAAATAAATAGAATATAGTATTAGAACCATAAAAACAAAAGGTTATTTGATCAATTTAAATTGCATTTTGTGACACTTCTAGATTTATGTTTATCGTGCATTCTGAACATAGCAAGATCACCAGAGATTCGTGTGAATATACCAAAAATCAGAAGGATGAGTTATTTATTAGCTATCAAACGATAGCAAACTTACTTTTCCATCAATATTGCTTCTGACAAAGGACAAAATTATGATGCTTTTATCTCTCCCTTGGTACTTGTCGACTGTATTCACTTCTACGGCACTGGAGGACAGTGCTATTAAATAACCAGAAATTACTTTTAATTGTTGTCGATATGGAGCTATAATGCCAATGTCCGAAGGTTTGCATCCAGCCTTTTTGAGGAAAAATGGAACAGTTTTGAATTAACAAAGCGATCATTTGGCAAAGTTGTAGACTAAGCGCTGATACAAATGTGGATTTACATTTCCCAGAGAAATACAGGTATGATATAATGACACAAATTTTATATCATTATACTTCCCTTAAAAAATTTTTTTTAAAAAGGCAACAATGAAACACTTAAAATAAGGTTAGAGGGTACTATAATCCTAAACATAGAGAGTAGTGGCATACAGACAATGTGTTAGAACAACATCGCCCTATTTAAAGGGACTCTCCAGTGCCAGGAAAACAATCCTTTTTCATGGCACTGCAGGTCCCCTCTCTCTCCCACCACCCATCCCCGGTTGCTGAAGGGGTGAAAACCCCCTCAGTCACTTACCTGAGACCCCCGCCGATGTCCCTCGGCGGTGGTTTCGGGTCGCCGCCACTCCTCCTCTTCCTTACGTCAACCGGCGGGCATAACTGATCCCGCCCGCCGGCTGAGGAGACCTAATGCGCATGAGCGGCAATGCCGCGCAAGCGCATTAGAGCTCTCTATAGGAAAGCATCGAAAATGCTTTTCAATGCTTTCCTATGGGGAATTGAGCGACGCTGGACGTCCTCACACAGCGTGAGGATGTCCAGCGACGCTCTAGCACAGGTTTTCTGTGCTATGAAGCAGGAAGTGCCCTCTAGTGGCTGTCTAGCAGACAGCCACTAGAGGTGGAGTTAACCCTGCAAGGTAATTATTGCAGTTTATAAAAAACTGCAATAATTACAGTTGCAGGGTTAAGGGTGATGGGAGTTGGCACCCAGACCACTTCAATTGGCAGAAGTGGTCTGGGTGCCTGGAGTGTCCCTTTAACAACATCATTTCTAACTTAAATTCACAAACAGGGCAAAGTAAAGTGAATCTGAAACGTAGACTAAATCCCATTTAGACTGGAAGATCGTACACTATGAAAACTCAGAGAATCGCCCGTGATTTCCTTTGTTTCTCAGTTTCACGTAGGCTAAAGTCTTTGTTTTATAAATGATGATCTGCAGTGCCTTTTAGTTGAAAGCTTCACTTATTTTGAATCTAAAAAAAGACATCTAGTGTACCTTTAGAAACAGAGAAGTAAGATGGAACACCAGCTTAGCTTCAATCCAGTTACTGACGCCACCTTTTTCTACAGTTTCCAGAGCGGGAATCTGGAATGTTAAAAGATATCATCGTCTGTTAATACAGGAACATGTCCTAGTCAGAAACTGAAACTCAACATCTGCTCAACCGTTATAGCTTCAATTAAAACCATAAACTCTTCGAAACAATTAAAAACAGGTTTGACCTCCCAAATCAGCAGTGTGTATATGTTTAGAAGACCCATATAGAATGAAATGGTATACTTGAAAATACAAGCATGTATAGCAGAGACAGGGTGGGAAACCCTTATTTTACATTTTTAAAGCATACAAGTTTGCATTTTTAAAGATCAACATATTCTGCAGATTATTCAACTATTACTAACTCAAGGTCAGTAAGTCACTCACTGATGTGCAGATGTTTCTAATATAAAATATTTTTTTCTGAGACTGGCACTGTAGATTTATTGCATTGAGAGACAACTAAATGTTTAAGGCAAAACAAATATTGTCCAGTAAAAATGTAAAAACACTTTATAGCCAAGTGAATACATGTATACATTTCTATATTTTCATTTGAAAACATTCCCATGTGTGTCCACTTAATGTACATACTAGGCAAATTCACAGCCAAGAGCGGATCACAAGCCACTCATTCTGGTCTTAGGAGATCAGAAACACCTGCTTGGTAAGGCTTATGGGATAATAGTTCCCCACAGCAGAAGTTTTATTTAGCTTGTCTGACGAGTGGTACTAATGAATAAGCAGACAGCAGCTCTGTTATATTATTGACAGAGTTCACCAGTAGGCAAACCACCATGAACCTGCCCAATATTATCTCATCTAAGATGCTAAGCATGGCAAGGTCTCTTTGTACTTTGAAGGGAGATCACTCAGTTTTGTGAAGGGGGTGTGCATATCGCATACATACATCCGTGGCTCAGGCTGGATAAATAAACTTTTGACTAGTAAGGGTGGAGGAAACATAGTATATATATTTTAGGTTTATAAAGAAAAACAGGTTCTTGACGTTTTCCTCCAAATATGGGTACATTTTACTGAATAATCCCTAGTTAGCCTAATTTAACAAATACCTTATCTGTGTTCAGAAAGCAGACAGGATTACTTGGCTCCAATACATCTTTGACCCACGTCGTTAGCTGACTCTCTTTAAACTCCAGTTCCAGCTTTAAACTGGACAGATGAGGTAGTTGAATGGTTGCCGTGGCTACACGTTCGGATGCACACTCGAGTCTGCCTTCATATACCAAATTATTGCTCAGTTCCATGATCTTTCTAAACAGGATACAACCAATAGTGAATACTTCTATTCCATATAAGGCACATTGAAGGCATTCAACTTTGTTCCAACCATGATAAACGTAGTTACCTGTTCATGCGATATTGCACTGTCAGTTCCACTACTGCATCCTGATTTTTCTCCAGCCTTTTGAACAAGCTCTCACTCATTCCAAGTTCCCTGACAATGACAATAGGTCAATCATACAACAGGTAAGGGGTCTGTTTGTTTAAATTTGTGTTGCAGTTACAAAGTATTATACCTTAAGTACTGTATGCCCTAACCATAGATGGAAAGATAGAATAGTTGAAGGTAGGGAATAGACTAAAAGTAAATACAAATATAAACTTTATTGAATGTGACAGATCTGAATACAAAACACATACACACTGTGAACGTGTAACATAAATCTGCTCCTTTGAATCCAGCTTTTAAATATCCGTAAACAAACAGATGTAGAATTATCTAAGTCACCAAAATCTAAGTAGCCCACACCTATCAATAATTAGCAGATAGTATAGGTAAATAAACTGCAAGAAAGTACATTTTAAACGTAACAACCACAGACACAGAGCAAACCACTTGTCTAAAATGCCGAGGTACACAGATTAACAACCAATTGTAATAAACAAATTAGCCAATTAAAATAGATGGATGATATACTAGGTACTATGAGGGTATATACAAGTAAATAAATAGAAAAGGACCTTCTAAACTACCTCAGCTGAACAATATATGATCCTACGATCAACAGCAGCAAGGGGAAAGCTAAATCTATAAATGGATAAATCAATACTATAAGACCACCTCAGCACAGGGTTGGTAAAAAGCGTGTGCCTACATTACCAAAAGAAGTGTACCTCTCAAAAGGCAGCAGACATAGAACGAAAAATAATAATAATTAGTGTTATAAGTGGATTAAAGGGATTCTCTAGTGCCAGGAAAACAAACCCGTTTTCCTGGAACTGTAGAATCCCGGAGTGCCCCCCACCCCCACGCCCCGCATCCAATGTCGCTGAAGAAGTTAAAACCCCCTTCAGAAACTTACCTAAATCCAGCATCGATGTCCCTCGGCGCTGGGGCAGGCTCCATCCACTCTCCCCCTCTACCGACGTCAGCTGGCGGGGAGACCTAATGTGCATGCGCGACAATGGCCACGCTCGCATTAGGATTTCCCCACAGGAAAGCATTATTCAATGCTTTCCTATGGGGATTCCAGTGACGCTAGAGGTCCTCGTGCATAGCGCGAGGATGTCCAGCGTCGTTAAGATGACCGAAAGTCATCTAAGGACCCGGAAGTAGACAGTCACTAGAGGAGGACTTAACCCTGCAAGGTTTATAAAAACTGTAATAATTACACTTGCAGGGTTAAGGGTGATGGGAGTTGGCACCCAGACCACTTCAGTGGGCCTGCCAAGAATGGGGTACACTGGGATTGTGGCAGGGTTATGCAACAGTTGATCATATACCTTAACTAAACATTATTTTGCTTAGGTGAGGTGTTTTGTTTTGTTTTAAGGAAACCTATTACATTATGTTTGCTTTGAAATTGCTGTTTAGTGAATGAGTGAGTGCGCTGGATCTCATATGTTGATGAGATTATATTTTCCCCATTGTGAAAATAAACTGCACAGAAAAGGAATATTTCTCTACCAGATAATAACTACAAATGAAAGTGGTGTCTGGTGCAGCAGCTCAGTTTAAAACTTCAGAGCCTGCTTCACAGCAGTTAGTAGCCCCAACTAATATATTTTGGATGTAAAGACGTCCTGTACTTCCTTTCCAAAATAAGTGATTTAGAGATTTCCAATTCACAAACTGGCCAACAGAAAAATATCTTCACTTATCTAAACTCATCTGGGATGCTAACCTTTTCAAAGTCCTCCAACCAGTGAACACAGACTGAAGGGCTTTGAGTAAAAGCTATTCAGCCAGGAAATTACATTTTACATCTTCTCTTATATGGCAGCCATAATTAATCTTTAACATTGCTTACTGCAATCTATTTTAGCCTTTCCATGGCCTTAAACTTGGGAAATTCAAGAGGATTCCACCTCTACAATTCCCCCAACAAAACACGATTTAAATTGTGAACATGATTTAAGACTGGGCGCCGGATCCTGCAGCTCAGAAAGCCAAGATTACAAAATGTCTGCACCCCCGATATGTTCACACACTCACAGAGTTATTTACTAAAGTAATAATTGTTGGAAATTAAAATCTACGGCCAAATAGCCAAACTGGAAAAAAATCTCCTAGTCGGCTATGCTTCCAGCTTGGTTACTTTGACCTTACATTTCGATTTCACTTGGAATTCCCTACAATCCTCCCTTTGTAAAAATATACTGCACTTAACATTTATTTCCCATAGTGGCAACACATTTTGTGGCTTGTAGACAGCAGTTCAGCTTCAACAGTCAGTGTCTGTTTCATGGATGTTTAATAGGTGCAACTAATCTAAAACAGATTACATTTACAAAATTACTTTTTTGGATCAGGAAATTTCTTGAACTCCCTGTCCAAAATAAAGTGTTTTATGGTTTCTGATTTACACACAGCAAGATTAAAAATAGTTTTCTTTCTCCAGCCTTGATGTCAATCTTCTCAGAGTTCTCCAACCAGAGAGAGCACAGACTGAGCACTAGGAACACTCATCCAGAAAATTGCATTTTGCATCTCGTCCATATGGCAGACTTAATTTACCTTAAACACAGATTATTGTAATTTAATGCTGTTCTCTCAGTTTTCTTAAACAAACTTGGAGTCTCACAGGGATTTTATTCCCCCAAGAAGAGAACATGAGAACTGTTTTCAACTATGAAAAAAAGACAAGCCAGACTTCCACTCTCAGAACAAGAAAAATTTTTCTTCAACGAAGCCATGCACCACAGCTGTCATCTTGAATTAATGCAGAGGGATAGGGAAAGAGAGATTGACTACAATTCATACAGTGTGATCGAGGCCTCAGGAATAAAGTGTTCGGCACAGTGTTCCAAAATCTGTCTATGTTAGAGTAGCAAAACTATTCTTTGTATAATTCTGCATGTGTTTAGCAGACTAAACAATAGGGGGAGCTAAAACAAACTGTTACAGTAAGTGCAGTTCCATGTCCTCTCTAGGATTTTCTTTACAATAATACTGTTCTGATTAAATGCTTGTCTACAAAAAAAGGTGTTATGCCCTGCATTCATTTGGTGCGACCTCTGTTCAAGAAAATGTATTGAGACTAAATATAACACAAATAATACAGCTAACATAACACATAACACATTTCTTCTGCCTTACAGCAAACTTTTTAAGAACCACCAAGTTGGATGATGAGTGAAAATACTAGAGATTTATAATGCATTTATATTGTAATCAGTTCCGTAGTAGTGTTACTAAATTTTACATTAAAAAAATCGAACACCTTCCACCTAAGATAGAACAGAAATGTTGAATTATGAAAATCTGCTACTGAAACACTAACAAGGTTTGCTTATGTTCTCACCTTGCCTCTGAGCTCTGGACCAGTGGGGGCAGCTGTTGATGGTCTCCCACTAGGACAAATCTGTCTGCAAAGAATAAGGGGCCTAAGCATATTGGCTGACTAATCTGAGATGCTTCATCCACAATGCAGAAATCAAATCGTCTTCGGGTAAAGATTGGATGGTTCACACCCATACAGGTTGTCGCAACCACAGGCTTAAAACAAAACAAAATTGCATTAGTTAAAAAAAAATCTCAAACAAATACGTTTTAGTGTCCAAACTAAAAAAAAAACACTAGATGAACTAGAACATTGGCTTAAAGATAAAGTACAGAGAGTTGTCATTAATGGTAAATTTTCAAGATGGGCATAAGTGGTAGGTGGTGTCCCTCAGGGTTCTGTTCTGGGACCCCTTCTATTCAACATATTGAAAATATTATATGATCTTGAAATAGGAATTATAGCAGTGTTTGCAGATGACAAAAAACTCTGCAAAGTAATACAATGTGAGCGAGATATTACTTCTCTGCAGAGGGATTTAAACAGATTGGGCAGTCACATGGCAGATTAAATTTAATGAAGATAAATTTGGAATTCGATGCCTGAAGAAGTAGTTTTATCAGAGTCTGTACAGATGTTTAAAGAGCAACTGGGTGAATACATGCTAAAACATAATATTCAGGAATATTTTTAATTTGTGGGGGTTACAGCTCTCAATCCAAGGAGAGATCTGACAAGAAGGAATGTTTGTCTAGTTTGTTGCAAAATTGTAAAGCATTTCAAACTAAGTTTTTGCCTTCTTTTGGATCAACAGCAAAAACTGATGTGAGAAAGTCTGAACTTGATGGGCACATGTCTCTTTTTAGCCTAAATAAGTATGTAACAATGTCATTCCATCAGATGCTTACCATCTAGATCAGAACTGCTCAAAATGAAGTTCATCATTGTATTGTTGTATGTAGCACTATATGTGCAACATTATTTATTAGAATAGTGAGCCATAAAGTAGCTCGTAAGTTGAACAACATACCCGACTGTCATATAGTTCTTGTAAACTGCTTAAAGATATAATGGACTTGGCTCTGCAGATTTCTTCTTCACCAAACCTCTGAATTTCTGGGTGAATCTTCTGTGTACGACCCAGTCGCAAAAAGCCCACCTGGAACTTTTTTAATTTTAGCAAAATATTATCCACTGCCGAGTGTGTGTAACTGGTCAGCAACACACTAAAGCCACAGGCGTACAGAATTCGGACCTAAACACAAAAGAAAGTAACAATTTAATTGTAGAAAAGTTTAAAACAATAAATACATTCTTCAATGGTAGTTCCATAAAATCAATATTTAATGCAACTAAAAAGGGACATTCTGGTAAATTATTTTGATGATGATTAGATATGTTCAGTTATCCACCAGCTAGCATTCAAAGCACCAGGGCACTAGTCATCTATGCTGGCACATTCCAAATGAAATCACCAATCTATGATAGAAATTTCCTTAAAAAGATGCACGCCCACCGGGGTCTGTCTCTTCGGGAAGATCCACATATGATTCACACAGGGAACGAATATTCCACACTGGAGTTTATGAACACCAAGAGCATTGCGTACTCCCTTACATTTAAATATACCTGTGATTAATCTTTTTGTCACTTCATGTAACCATTATGCAACTGGTACCTTTAAATATTTTTTTTTTTTTTTTATTTATATATACGTTCTCCTTGTTCTTTCCATTTGTGACAATAAAAAAATAATAAATAAAAAAAAAAAAATCGAACAAAGTATGCAAAATGCTCATTGTTGCAGAAACTTAATGTCAATTTCACACCGTTTGTATTTTTTCTCATGTTTTTTTGCAACTGTAAATTGACCTGGGACTCCCAGGTGTGAGCAAGGATTTAACCCTGCTCACACCAAATATGCAGGACGTGTCATTATGTCCAAAATGCTTTAAAGCCCATTATAGGTTGGAAGTAACAACATACCCTAACGTCCTTAAAGAATTAACTTTGCAAAGGCAAAAAACAAAAAAGGACCAAACCATGCTGAAGTGCACATGGAAAACATATTGACAGGTAGAAATTTTAATCAACTTACTAAAGTGCAAATTGTAGTAGTTTTTCCTGTCCCAGGCATGCCAACAATAAGAGTGTAATCTTTAGACAGCAGCACACGTTTCATTGCTTGTTTCTGTGGCTTGTTGAGGCCTGCAATAAGAAAATCTCATTGACAGATTGTATATTACGGCTATATCACATTCAGGTAGAAGATGCCAGAGGTTTGTGTTATATTAGTGTAACACCCACAAAGCCAGCAGTACAGCAACATTGTCTGAGATGGAGAGAACATATAATGTGAATGAATATCTCATTAAAAAATAATGCTTAATTATTTGCTTAAGAAAGATACTCCAAGCACCAATCCATTCAGTTAATTGTAGAGGTTGTGCTGTAAGGACACTGCCCTTGGAAACTTACCCTTTAAACCCGATTATGATTTTCAAATGTATCTCTTGGCAGTCCTGGGGGAGTCCAGCTTCCACACTGAGCCATTTACGTTTTTCTTTTTAAGTTTCCACGACCAGCTTTCTGACATCAAAACAGCTACTATAAACTGAAGTGGGTGTTGTGCTTTAAAGGAACCCTTTAAATCAGGGTTCGGCAAATCCCAGGCGCCAGGATGCCATGGCGACTAGAAATTTGGCCCTGGTGCCTGGGATTAGCAGCCCTTTAACCCCTTAAGGACACATGACATGTGTGACATGTCATGATTCCCTTTTATTCCAGAAGCTTGGTCCTTAAGGGGTTAAGCTAATGGAAGTGGCGGCTCAGGGAACATGCAGCTGACCGCCCTGGGGAGAATAAGGGGGTGGCCGGCTCAGAGAGCAAGTAGCTGACCGCCCTGAGAGAATGGGGGGGCAGCCGGCTCAGAGAGCATGTAACTGACCGCACTGGGGAGAATAAGGGGGCGGCCGGCTCAGAGAGCATGTAGCTGACCGCCCTGGGGAGAATAAGGAGGCTGTCGGCTCAGAGAGCATGTAGCTGACCGCCCTGGGGAGAATAAGGGGGCGGTCGGCTCAGAGGGCATGTAGCTGACGGCCCTGGGGAGAATAAGGGGGCAGCCGGCTCAGAGAGCATGTAGCTGACGGCCGGCTCAGAGAGCATGTAGCTGACGGCCCTGGGGAGAATGGGGGGGGCGGTCGGCTCAGAGAGCATATAGCTGACGGCCCTGGGGAGAATGGGGGGGGGGCGGCCGGCTCAGAGAGCATGTAGCCGACCGCCCTTGGGAGAATGGGGGGGAGGGGCCGGCTCAGAAAGCATGTAGCTGACCGCCCTGGGGAGAATGGGGGCGACCGGTTCAGGGAGCATGTAGCCGACCGCCCTGGGGAGCATGGGGGCAGCAGTAAGGGGCAAGGCGCGAGGCTCCTGTGGCTCCTCTCTGCTCCCTCTTGCTGTATAGTGATATCAGGAGCCGGAAAATGACGTCATTCAGACCCCGGCATCACTACAGGGAGCAAAGAGGAGCCACAGGTAGATTACTGCTCCCTCGCACACAGGAAGAGCAGCCCCACTGGACGCCAGTGAAAGATTCACTCAGCTCTCCCAAAGGTAGGGAGGCTGGGTGGAATATAATTAAAAATGTTAATGTGTGAGTGTTAGAGAAAGTATGTGTATGTCAGTGTGTGTGTATTTATGTCACTGTTTGTGTGTGAGAAAATGTGTGTGTCAGAGTGTTTGTGTGTGTCTGTGTCAGAGAGTGTGTGTCTGTTTAGGTACCTGCCCCCCTCCGATCACGAGAGAGGTGTTTTTACTCACCATTTTCCCCACGCCGTGCAGGTTTTGCCGCAGCTTGTCCTGCCAATCTTTATGATCTCCGCTAAGCCAATGCTTTCCCACAGAAAAGCATTGGGAGGATATTGCGCATGTTCTCTATGAGTAACATTCAGCACTTTCATGCAGAGTGTGGAGATGAACAAAGGTTGATTAGCCCTTTGTAAATATTAACTCTCTAGTGGCAGTCTGAGTGACTGTCACTAGAGGTGTTACTAGGCAGCAATGTAAACACTGCCTTTTCTCTGAAAATCTAGCGTTTACATTGAAAAGACTACAGGGACAGGCTTGAGGCACCAGAGCAACTACATTAAGCTGTAGTGGTTCTGGTGACTATAGGGTCTCTTTAAGAATTGTATATTTCTCATTGTAAATTAAACTTTGCTAGTTTAAAAAAATAAATAAATAAACCAACCAAAAAAAAAAATCAAAAAAAAAATGACTCCTAACTTGTTTTAGCTGACTCCTAGATTCCAAGCAAATTTGTCAAGCCCTGCTTTAAATAATGTACTTACACTTTCCACTTACATAACTTAAGAAACTGGAAATATAACACATACCTTTCAAAATATTAGCAACTGTGTCCTTCGCATTGTGAGGAAGAATGGAGCTTAAATGCTGAACGAAGCAAGGATTGCGAAAATCAATGATCAAATCTCTCAGTTTCGCACTACAACAGATAATAAAAAATAAAACTATTAAATAAAAATGAGATGGAGAATCAAGCAACAAGAAATATCATGGTACCATATGTGCATGGCTTTCCTAATAGAAATTAAAGAGTTACTCTAAGCATTATAACCACTTAAACCCACTGAATCTTATGAGCAAAGAACCTGTGAGTGTGGTGTTTCTGAGTAAAACACTGGGAGAAAAGTTCAAATCTTGCAACCACCAGAGTGTAACGGCCTCTCTGGCTTCTGTCAATTAGCCATATGAAAACCTTATTTCAGAACTGGCCATGTCATTCATGTTTGCCCATGGAGCATCTACATTCCATGTGCACTGTCTGGGTTCTTTCCTTCCAGGACAGATGAGTTGCAGACCACGACTCCAATAACAATTTATCATAAACAACAAAGCTGGCTATAAGTAAACTTGGCATAGTAGTTTTAGGTTTCCGAACAGTTGTGCTCATCCTATGTAACGATACTATGTAACGAGTGGAACTGATCCTGGGGATTAACTACTTATACTAAAAGTATCTGAAGTGCAGAGGTTTATAGGATATAAGTTTATTCTTGATTAATGAAGATGCATCAAGGAGATCTGTAAAGGTAACCTTATTTGTTTAACTACATTATCTAAATATAGATTATTTGTTTCTGTCAGTTTTTTCATTAGTGAGATTTTATTCACAAGATAATAGAGTGAACAATATTCCAAGGCCCTACTTATAGAGAGCATTTCCTGTTCAGCTTAGACTTATAAAACAAATAAAAACATACTAATGCAGCTACCATATTTTGTTTTCCCCAGCACCTAAAAGGATGAATTCTAATCTTTAATCAATTATTAAATCAGCTCAAGACAGCTACCAGAAAGCAACAAAATGACACATTTCTCCACAAGTACAGAGTAAGATAGCTTCCTGTCACAATACAAGTAAGATGCACATTGTAAGAACACTAGGTGTTAGAATACCTGAAAAATAGTACATAAAAAAAAACCAAAAAAAAAAACACACACCTTGAGGCAGAATTTTCCATTAATTTCGACAGATTCCCAAGGTGCGAATCCAAGCCTCCTCCCCCTTCTTCATGATCCAGTCTAAATACTGTATTTTCAGGTAGCTTGGCAAGACTCCTTTAGTAATAAAACATTGTTTAAATGAGCATGTAAAACGATATACCAAAATCTATTACATTCACGAAATCTATTACATTCACAAGCAAGTGTATGTGCGTTCACATGTTCCTAATACGCAGTTACCTATCTACAACGAATGGAAATACTATACAATACACACATTCTACAGGCTTTATGCAACATATAACCTACATAAAATTACATGCTGCACAAATTCTACAGACATACAGCATACGTGGCACAAATAATACATACAAATTACACACAAGAATAAATGCATATTATAAATGATTTGTTATTGTATCATGTATTTGCAGTCCTTATAAAAAAAAAAAAAAAAAATGTATACAAAAGCCACTACGAAGCGGATCAAAATGAAATAAAAAATTGACTGCGATCCAGTATTCAGTATTGTAATTCAAGCCAAGTCCATGTCACTTTCCAGTGCAAGATTTTCACATGCCATTGGCTAGGGATCAATGGGAATTTTGAACCCGGTTAGACACAGACACACACCTTCATTAAATAATCAGCATTAGAAGGTGTGGAAGAGCACATTAAAGCCATTTTCCATTAATGTATGGCTTTGCAAAATTGACAACTGAACTTGATAATAACACTACCTGTCCAGAATGCATGTGATGCTTTTGGTGCTCACGTCTTTGATATAGCCAGTACACAGGGCAAGTAAGTGACTTTCCTCTCCACTCACTACAACTCTGTCCCCCGACATCAAGTTTGTTCCTGGGATGTCACCACTTATGCGCTGAAAGCAATGTAAATATTGACTTTCAGAGATGGCTTCAACAGCCGCTGTTCTTAAGAGATTTCCAACACACTGCCCATCTTCTTCTCTAAAATAAACAAGACAGATCAAGAAAAAAAAAAAAAAAAAAAGTTACAAGATTGTGAAGGGTTTAGTAGTATCAAGGATGCAATGCACCTGTCAACGACTAAATATTGAAAAGTACCTATAACGTGTCTTAATCTTTTTTCCATGTAATACTCTGCATTCGCTTAAATGTATATTAAATAATTAGCAACTGGTATCATATTCCAGTTTAATCCAGGCAGAGGCAGGGCACTCATTGCAATAGAGGAGGTCAAACAGAAATCTATTTTTCCTCCTATCGCTATGTTGACTGACAAATGCAAAGGACAGAGCTTATAACGGACGACTGACAGGATGCTAATAAGGAGGAGTTCAGTTTAAGGTTAGAAGTAAATACAGCAGTGTGATTTTTTTTCATTAAAATGTTTTGCTTTTCTCAAATGTCAAAAACATATCTGTTAAATAGAAGGGGTTAGTAAACATATATCAAAAATCCTGGGAGGTAGTTGTTTCCCTCTAATACTGGATCTGCAGTACAGTTCCTGATGAGATGTTAAACTCTTGCTGAGAAGAATGTAATTATTATTTATAAATAAACAACAAATTCTGCTGCGCTGTACAATGTGTGGACTGAGAAACAAGTAAGTGCAAGATGAGAAAATTGGCATACAGGAAGAAAAGAGAGAGTGCAAAAGCAAGACGGTTTTGCAGATTTTGAGCATATTGCAAGAGGAAAAACAAGTCTGCACTATTGATTTGCCCTTTGTAAATAATAATTTAAAAAATTCACGACGGTCTGATTAATATGCACAATTCAGAAATGCAATATGATGAGTTCACAACCCACTGGAGAGAGAACAGAAAAAAGAACCAAATCAATCTCCAACTTAACCCCCATCCCCCTCCCCCCCCCCATTCCTCTCAGTGCTTTTGGAGTATATTTTATAGCAGGGCTGCTTTTCCTTCCCCAAATAAATTTTATTTTTATTTTTTTTCCTCTTGACTGCATTTTACACTCCAAGCAATTTTGCTTGTTCTATTGTTGGCTAAAAACAAAACAAAAACAAAACAAGACATTGAAAATAAATCAAAAATATTGATGGGGAAATATTATTTTGTTCTGGTTAGTTTTAACAGAACAATGTCCTGGAGGTTCTGTTGTATTTCTCATTTACCTTTCAGAGGAAGACATCATCCAGATATTACTGCGACCCATTTTGGAGTCCTTTAATTGGGCCTCTAAAGAACACATCAAGTACCAGAGACTGAAGTACTGGAAATGTGATTCTTTCAAGTGTTCAGTCTCCTTTTCAATAACCGGAATCATTTCAGGAGGGATATAGCAGCTCTCACTTTGTTGTTCTACTGATCTATGGGAATCAGAAGGAAAGAAAAAAATAATAATCAAAATGATATGTGCAATTTTACAATCTACAACCCCCCTCCCACACATAGATACACATATATAGATACATACATACATACACACACATACATACACTAGCAGGTATTAGGTTGCTAGGATAAGACTTGCCAAGAATGGGGTACATTGGTGTTGTGGCAGGCTTATGCAATGTATGATCATATACTGTAACTAATCCCCCATTATCTTTGCCTAGGTGAAGTGTTTTAAAAAAACAAAAAAAACACAATTTCTTGGTTTCATATATATTTGGGAGTCCAGGCCAACTCCCTGGTTTTGCACCCTACCTGCACTGCAGAGAGTCCCAGGAGGAAGCATTTCCCCAATAAGTGTCCCATCGAGGCCCCTACGCTCTACCAAAGACCTACGTATATCCTCTGTACGTACTCCCACCTCTAACGCTCACCTCCAAGACTTTTCCAGGGCTGCACCTCTTCTGTGGAACTCCCTTCCCTCCTCCATAAGACTTTCACCCAGTCTCCACTCATTCAAAAAATCATTGAAAACTCACTCCTCTCTTGCAACTGTCAAATATTACCTACTAAGCCCTATAGCGTATATTTTCTTTTAACAACTTACTTCATACCCTTACTTTTACCCTTTGTGTCACTATACCTCACTCCCTCTAGCATGTAAGCCCATTGAGCAGGGCCCTCCACCTCTCTGTTCCTGTACGTCCAGTTGTCTGGTTACAATTAAATGTCTGTTAGTCCACCCTTTGTACAGCGCTACGGAATCTGATGGCGCTATATAAATAATAAAACAATAAGTGGATTCATTTTATAAGAGCAGACATTAGGTTGCTAGGACAGGACCTGCAAAGAATGGGGTACATTGGCATTGTAGCAGGCTTATGCAAGGTATGATCGTATACTTTAACTAAACGCTCATTATTTTTGCCTCAGTTATGTGTTGTTTTTTTTTTTTTAAATAAATAAATAATTATTTTTTTTTCAAACCCACACCTTTTTGTGAACATTGAAGTTGGTATTTAGTGAGTGTGTATATTGGATTTTGTAGGTCTACATTAAGGATCGACCGATATTGATTTTTTTTAGAACAGGTACCGATAATATGTGAACTTTCAGGCCGATAGCCGATAACTTACCAATATTCTGTAAATTTACCATTTTAAAACAAACTATTCCTACACAAATCTGCTGTTAACTGAACAAGTTTATTAATTATTTTTTTGCTAATCTTTTTTGTATTAAGGTAAATTGAGAATGCCTATAAAAATACAGAATATCGGCCAGACCGATAATCTGTTGATCCCTAGTCTATATAACAGGTTTTGGTTGCTACCTTGGCTACTGAAGCACACGCAGTGAACTGGTAGACAGAGAGTGTTCGATTACATTTACCTGTTGTAAAGAGCACAATTCTGCATTTGAGAACAAAACCTACAGGCTTGCTTATCAGCAATTACTGGTGGCAGTGAGGAAAGTTTAATTTCTCGGTTTACGTTTTTTGATTCTGATTTTTGCACGATCTTGGTCAAGTAAAAAGATAAACCATTCCGGATTTTCAAGAGCTCTAAAAAATAAAAAATAAATAAAAAAATAATAAATTGCTTTCTTTTCAATATCATGAAGTGACTATTTCTAATTCAGTACAGAGATAGTGGATATCAGTTTAATGAGAGCATCATTCATTGGTTTAGTGAATGGGGCTATGCTCACGATTTGTCCCAGTTGCCATCAATGCATGGCCACAGTCACTTGGGGGGTGGTAGAGACGTCAACGATGTTACTATACAAAGCCTTGTAAAAGCAAAAGAAAAGTATAACTTCTTCCTCTAATGTAAGGTATAAAGGGGGAAGAGCCAGTGGACATCCTTGCACCATTAAAGGAACACTATAGTCACCAAAACAACTTTAGCTTAATCAAGCAGCGATTTTACTCCTAAATGGCAGTGAATTGAGCAGTAATTGGGAGGCATGATCTATACACTAAAAATGTGTCATTAAAGGGACACTATAGTCACCTAGACCACTTCAGTTCAATGAAGTTGTCTGGGTGCCAGGTCCCTCAGGTTTTATCCCTTCACATGTAAATATAACAGTTTCAGAGAAACTGCTATATTTACATTTGGGGTTAATCCAGCCTCTAGTGGCTGTCTTCCGGACAGCCACCAGAGGCGCACCTGCGATGCTAGAGGCGAATTTCGCATTGAGAAATGCTTTCCTATGGACACTTTGAATGTGCGCCCGGCACTTGCCGCGCATGCGTATTCGGCTCCAGTGACATTTGACAGGGGAGCTGACGTCTGACAGGGAGGAGAGGTCACCAGCGCCGAGGGAACCAGGCGCTGAATTAAGGTAAGTGGCAGGGATGTATTAACCACAAGACAAACAAGGCATTTGCCTAGGGCGGCACTTTCGGGGGGGGAGGGCACCAAAAAAGGCCACCCCAGGCTCCCAGACAAATGCCTCGCTTGCCTTGTGTTCTGGGGCTGTCCACCTTACTGTGAGTGAGTGAGTATAGCTGTCAGTGTGTGTCAGTGAGTGAGTGAGTGAAAGTGTGTGTATGTCATTTTATGTGTATCTGAGAGTGTGTGCCTGTCAGTGAGTGGGTGTGTCAGTGTGTGTGTGTGTCAGTGAAAGTGTGTGTTGGTTAAACAGTGTGTGCTTGTGACTGTATGTGTGTGCCAATGACTGTATCTGTCAGTGAGTGTATATCAGTGTATGTGTCAAAAAGTGGCCTTGACACGAATTGGGGGGGGTCGAATTTAGATTTTGAAGGTGCCCAAATTTAGTCGTGCCTAGGGCAGCACATATCCAAAATATACCACTGCCTCAGGGCACTATAGTGTCAGGAAAACGAATCTTACGTAGCCCAGAAATTAGTTTAGAGCCACTTTATGTAAATTTTGCACGTATTTTACTTTTATTGTCATTGCATTCTCATCCCTCCCATCACTGTGAGCTCCCCGCCTCCCTCTATTGCCAAAAAATTTTTTTACATTTTTTTTTAAATCCTCCCTCCATTCTCCCTATTCACTCACAGGCTCAGAGCGTGTGCATGTGCTCTGAGCTGTCGAAATGGTCAATCACAGGCTTCTCTTAGATTGGACCTCGTGTCGCTGTTCTGATGACACAAAGAAGCGGGGCAGGCGGAGCTGGGATCTTCACTTCCCCCTAGATTGCAGGTAAGTATTAACTTTATTTTCGAATAATTGTTTAGTTAATGGCCGACCTAAATTATAATGTCCAAAGGAACAATTGCACATGTACTTGTATAGCAATTCTAGATAAAAGACTGAGTGAGCATGAATACTTCCGAAGCAATATTATGGCACTCAGAATAGGAAAGAATAATATAGGCAAGTATAATTTAATTCTGTTGAGGGTATAGTTCTGCTTTAAATTGGCCAGATTCCTTCCCAAATATTCAACTTGCTAAAGAGCTCAGCAGACAACCAATAACTTCCACATCTCAAAATATATCATCACACTGCTTAAAATAAAAAAAGATCTAAATATATTAGCAGAGTTATTCACTAAAGTGAGAATTCACAGTGAATTTCAAATCTATGGCCAGAAGAGATTAATTGGAAGCATTTGCATTTCCACTACATGGTCCTTAAACCTGAAACTGCATTGAATTAATTTAGAATTCTAACGTTAGTGGATAACCCTGTTAGTTTCTAAATGTAGAAAACAAACCAAAATAACACAGAAGCTTTAAAGGACCACTATAGTGCCAGGAAAACATACTTGTTTTACTGACACTATAGTGCCCTGATGGTGCCCCCACCCTCAGGGTCCCCCTCCCGCCCAGCTCTGGGGAGAGGAAGGGGTTAAAACTTACCTTTTTTCCAGCGCCGGGCGGGGAGCTCTCCTCCTCCTCTCCTCCCTTTCGGCTGAATGCGCATGCGCGACAAGAGCTGCGTGCGCAGTCAGCCGGTCTCATAGGAAAGCATTCATAATGCTTTCTTATGGACGCTTGCGTGTTCTCACTTTGATTTTCACAGTGAGAATCACGCAAGCGCCTCTAGCGGCTGTCAATGAGACAGCCACTAGAGGATTTGGAGGCTGGATTAACCCTATTATAAACATAGCAGTTTCTCTGAAACTGCTATGTTTACTAAAAAAAGGGTTAATCCTAGAGGATCCTGGCACCCAGACCACTTCATTAAGCTGAAGTGGTCTGAGTGCCTAGAGTGGTCCTTTAATACTATCTTAACACATCAAATCTGTGTTCAAACACTGCTTCTTACATTTCATGTTTCAACCTATACAGGCAAACTAAGCACCACAACCACTTCAGCTTTTTTAAGTGATGATGGTCCTTAGGAGTCTTTAGGGGCTTCCCCTGTTTTCAGTCAACCCATTTTCAGTTTTGCTAAACTGTTCTAGGCCCTCACACTCTATCATTACTCTCCTAGCTTGATGGTGCTTAGAGAGTTTGATGATTCAGTCTTAGACATTGCACATTACTTTAGTGACACCTAGTGGCAGATTTAGAAGTTCTAAATTGAAATCATCACTAGATGAAAAACTGCACACAAAAAATAAGGAAAATGTGTTTAAAATATTAACTAGTAACAAATCTAGCACAATCTGAACCATGACAGCATCTTGTAGAATGTGTGTATATTATATGTTTATACATATCCATATCACGTCTGGTAATCCCTTCCATCAAAAAAACACTGACATGTTGAAAAACCATGCTTTAAAAAGCCATTTTCAAAATTGTAGTTTACCTCTCCTGTCAAGATGGTTTCCAGGTACGGAGTACATAGTTCCAGTTTTTAAATATAGCAATAAGCCAGCTTCAGGATCTTCTCTTCTCTGCTGACTTAACAGAGTATACAGAATAACCTGCAAATATGTGACATAAAAACAGCATGAACTTAATATTTAGCATTTCACAGCTGTAAATTATTAATAAAAATAAAGGCTAAACAACAACTTTTTTTTTCCACCTATGATAATGTCTGTTTATTCGACTGGCTTTGATAAGCTAAACCCTGTTATACATCTACAGCAGCCTAGAATCTGATCAGGACAAAGGTAAATGCACTCTGCTTCACAGCAGCCCATCACCTGAGCATGACTAAGGTGCTAACGCTAATCAGCGTCCAACGAAGAAGAAAAATAAATATTAGTAAAGCAGATATAAATAATTAAATACATTTGTTATAACAACACAGCATTTAAACTCATCACATACAAAGTCCTTCTCTTGAAGGAAACAAAACATACATTTTTTTTTTTTTTAAAACAGCCATAACCTTAAAACCTCTTGCCTAATATAGTGTATAGGTCTCTCTCGTGCTGCCAAAGCAGCTCTTTTGCATCTAGGCATGGAATCAAGAAGACCTCTGAACATGTCCTGTGGTATCTGGCACCAAGACATTAGCAGCAGATCCTATAAGTCCGGCAAGTTGCAAGATAAGATCAATTGATCGGATTTGTTGTTCCCCCATATCACACAGATGCTCAATAGGATTGAGATGTGAGGAATTTGGAGGCCAAGACAACACACTGAACTCTTTGTCATGTTCCTCAAACTATTCTTATACAATTTATGCAGTGTGTCAGGGTGCATTACACTACTGAAAGTAGCCAATGTCTTCAGGGAACACCATTGTCATGAAGGGGTGTTTGTAGTCAGCAAAAATCTCTAGGTAGGTGGTATGTGTCAAAGTAACATCCACAGGACTGCCAGGACCCAAACTTCCCAGCAGAACATTGCAGCCATCTCTTCCCCAGGCAAATGACGCACACTCACCAGTCATCTATCTAATCTAAAAGAAAATGTGATTCATCAGACCAAGTAACCTGCTTCCATTGCTCCATGGTCCAGTTCTGATGCTCGCGTCACTATTGAAGCTGCTTTGGCAACGGACAGGGGTCACCATTGTTACTCTGAGCAGTCTGCGGCAACACAGCCCATACGCAGCAAACTGAAATGCACTATGTGTTCTGGCGTCCTTTCTATCATCGGTAGTATTAACTTTTTTTATTTTATTTTTTTTAAAGCTATTTGAGTTGGAGCAGCTTTTCTGTGTGATTGGTCCAGAAGGGCTACCATTCGATCCACACATGCATCAATGAGCCTTGGGCACCCACGATACTGGTTCACCAGTTGTCCTTTCTTGCACTACTATTGCTAGGTACTAACCACCCCACAAGACTTGCCATTTTGGAGATTCTCTAACCCAGTTTAGCCATTACTATAGGGACCTTGACAAAGTCACGCAGATCTTCTTTGATTGCCCATTTTACCTGCTTCTAACACATGGAATTCAAGAACTGATTGTTTGCTACCTAATATATCCCCACCCCTTGACAGGTGCCATTGTGACACAGACACACACACACTTTTGTTATTGCCCCCATTTTTCATGAGCTGAACTCAAAGATACAAAAGGCCTACTTCTCTCAAATATTGTTCACAAATCTGTCTAAATCTGTGTTTGTGAGCACTTCTCCTTTGCAGAGATAATCCATCCACCTCACAGGTGTGGCATTTCAAGATGCTGATTAGACAGCAAGATTATTGCACAGGTATGCCTTAGTCTGGCCACAATAAAAGGCCTTTTTAAAATGTGCAGTTTTAATGTATTGGGGGGGGTCTGAAAACCAGTCAGTATTTGATGTGACCACCATTTGCCTCACGCAGTGCAACACATCTCCTTCGCATTGAGGCGATCAGGTTGTTGTTTGTGGCCTGTGGAATGTTGGTCCACTCCTCTTCAATGGCTTTGCGAAGTGGCTGGATATTGGCAGGACCTGGAACACACTATCGTGTACGCCGATCCAGAGCATCCCAAAACATGCTCAATGGGTGATATGTCCAGTAAGTATGCTGACCACGCAAGAAATGGGATGTTTTCAGCTTCCAGGAATTGTGAACAGATCCTTGTAACATGGGGCCGTGCATTATCATGCTGCAACATGAGGTGATGGACGTGGATGAATGGCACAACAATGGGTCTCGGGATCTCATCAATGCCATCAATAAAATGCAACTGTGTTCGTTGTCCATAACATACGCAGGCCCATACCATAAACCCAGCGCCACCATGGACCACTCAATCTACAACGTTGACATCAGCAAACCGCTCACCCACACAATGCCATAAACGCTGTCTGCCATCTGCCCTTTACAGTAAAAACCAGGATTCATCTGTGAAGAGAACACCTCTCCAAAGTGCCAGACGCCATCGAATGTGAGCATTTGCCCACTCAAGTCGGTTACAACGACGAACTGTAGTCAGGTAGAGACCCCAATGAGGACGACGATCATGCAGATTAGCTTCCCTGAGACAGTTTGTGCAGAAATTCTTTGGTTATGTAAACTGATTGTTGCAGCAGCTGTCTGCGTGGCTGGTCTCAGAGAATCTTGGAGGTGAAGATGCGGGATGTGGAGGTCCAAGGCTGGTGTGGTTACACGTGGTCTGTGGTTGTAAGGCCGGTTGGATGTACTGCCAAATTCTCTGAAACACCTTTGGATACGGCTTATGGTAGAGAAATTAACATTCAAGTCACAGGAAACAGCTCTGGTGGACATTCCTGCAGTCAGCATGCCAATTGCACGCTCCTTCAAAACTTGTGGCATCTGTGGCATTGTGCTGTGTGATAAAACTGCACATTTTAGAGTGGCCTTTTATTGTGGCTAATCTAAGGCACAATTGTGCAATAATCATGCTGTCTAATCAGCATCCTGATATGCCACACCTGTGAGGTGGATGGATTATCTTGGCAAATGAGAAGTGACTAACACAGATTTAGGCAGATTTGTGAACAATATTTGAGAGAAATAGGCCTTTTGTGTACATAGAAAAAGTCTTAGATATTTGAGTTCAGCTCATGAAAAATGGGGGCATTTTATTATTATTATTATTTTTATTTTTTTTAAATCTTTTATTTTGTATAAAGAATGAGCAGTACAGTTTGAACAGAGCGACATCCTTATGACACGCAGGTCCGATATGAAAATACATGTAGTCAACAGTTTACAAGTATCATGAGTAGCACCTGGGTATATAAGTGTGTGTTTAAGTCGTATCAATTATCTCAATATTCCGGGCATTTATTATTTTGTGCTTTCTCTCAAACACTCTAAAATGTTGGACAAAACATAGAATGTGCACAGAGAAATCTGCTAGTCAACATCTCCAACACAATCGGGTTATTTAGTAAAGTGAAATGTTACATTTAAGGCCAGAATAGCTGAATGGAAAGCTGACTTAGGGAATTTTTCCAGTTTGTCTATTCTCACCTTGAATGTTCGCTTTAGTGCATAACTCCGAATATGAAGACAAACAGTCATTTTGGTAGATTGGAATTTCTAATCTATGAAAAGAGACCTGTGCATACTTTCAGGAGTGATCTTCAATCTAAAAGGAACATTGACTTGGAGTATGTTGGCAATAGGTAATTTTGCTTAACGCCAGACATCTATAATTTGCATCACACTGATCGTTTTTACCTTTTATTTAGTCTGGACACATACACTTCTCTTTACTTCACTAATAAATACAAATTCTGTTAGTTGAATTGGAATGTGCAGCTTACAAGCAGAGTGGAAACATTATGTCCTGCAATATAAAGCACACAGCTAAATGTCAGCTGTGGGACACAGATTTTATTTATTTATTTGCAGGACAGGAAATCAATAAGGCAGAAATTTTTTAGAGACTCTCATCAACACTGAATTAAGAGTAAATAATCACAGCAGCCACTCAGTGAGTCAGAGAAGTTATATTAGAATTGAAAGGAAGCTGCTGGCTTAGATCAACAGCGAAGTGTCTGCAAGTCACCCCGCCCATACATAAAACAATGCAATTTACTAGCCTAGAAAATGTAAATGATGGAAATTGTTACAAATTGCTTATATAGTCCCCTTTCCTCACTCCAGTAACTTACGTAGCATGTAAGCATACAATTATTAGTAATTATTGATACTAAAGTGCAGGAATCACTTTGAAATCCTACTTATATACATTATAGAAGGAGGGAAAAGTTTAAAAAAAGAACTGTGCCTCTGTTTTCTCTCCAACCGTCCTAATTTTCTAATAAAAAATAAAAATTGAATGTGGGTATGTTCACAATAATTAGTTCAACTAAAATATGCCGTGTGCCCTAATTTCAGTGCTAGCTGATGATGCCGTGGGCATTATGCTTAAATAGTCAACCACCCTTGGAGAGAGCTCTTTGGCTGAGGATTGGTAACCAACAAGCTCATCCATTGAATTCCAGCCAAAAGAGGGAATAGATTATCTCTAATGCATAAATAGGATGTTCCACATTAGCGATATCCATGAAGTGAAGCCAGACTGTCAAGGGGACCCCAAGTTAATATCCAACTATTAGAATACAGTCTAACCTCAGACATAGGAGAAGATGCCAGGGAACTCCTGACAGTATAAATAATGCAGCAAGCTGCAGTGGTTATGGTGTTTAGCGTTCCTTTTTAAAGTGGGCACAGGTGCATACACAGTAGACCAATAGTTCCCAACAAAGTCCACTGATGGTTTAGATTTTGTCAGTATACCCACAGGAGCACAATTGTTAAAAGGCTAAATCCTGGACTGTTTGTGTGTCTTAACACCTAGGTAGATAATTACTAATCTGGACAGCAAAGTACTAGAGAAATAAAAACTGTTGTTTGGATAGATATATATATATATATATATATATATATATATATAACTGCTTTTTTCCAGACCAACAGAAAGATGAATGCCCTCACAAGTTATCCAGGCATTAAATTATACCCTTTATTGTTTTCAATGCCCTGGAAATACACACATCCCCTGACCATGCTATCTCACCCCTTATATGCCTCTACAACTATCACTTTTCCTGAATGTGGCAGAACCGCTGCCAGTTTGTGTGGTTCCCGCTTGGAATATGCGTGTCATCTCTCTTGATTTTGTTTATTGTGCCCGTTCCCCGTTCAGGAGTGCTTCCACGAAGGGAATTCATTCACCTCCCGAACGGGGACCACCCCAATACATCATAGAGAATGTTAGTATAGAACGTTCACACCTCCCAACAGAAGTGTCAAAACCGCAAAGGAAACAATGAGTGCTTCCCTGCGTGGCCACCATTCGTACAGAAGAACGCCACCAGGGGAGATTTTTTCCCGACTCGTTCGTATACCAACAAGGGCCTCCCAGTGCCCAATTAGAACGTTCACACCAATTAATCAGAACGCTCGCATCCGTAACATGGGTGTGAAACCGCAAGGGAAGTAATTAAGTGCTCCCCTGGGTGGCCGCCATTCATATAGACGAACACCAGCCAGGGGAGCATTTATATCCCGAAAGGAGACACTTCCCTCATCTGTGTTTCACACCAGGACCTCGCGAACGGAGCCTTGTCGATCGATGGACCAAGGCGAGGATCCCTGAGATTGGTGTGGGCAGTTATGGTGGGCTCTCATGAGCCCGAGGGATAAAGAGACCAGCTCTTTTTCTGCAGGCGGGCTTTCTGTGCCTGGAAGACAAAGGGACGGTCACCTTTTCCCACGCCTAGACTCCTAAGCACAGAGGCTCTTGGGAAGAAGACCCCTGGCGGTTGGTGTGGGGAGCCCTGGGGATTTAGTGGCGTGCTTTGGGGACAAAGAGAATGGAGTCTCTTCCTGCGCTGGGACCACAGGGAGGGGGAGGATCATGGGATGTGTGCGTGATTCACCCCTTGCACAGGGTATGCATAAAAGCCGTGTGTGGCCAATAAAATTGTGTTGTACCTCCAGAACTGGGTCTTGTCCAGTTACTGGGGGGCGGGGAGGGGGGGTTAAGTGGTTCCCGACTGGCTAATTAGCGGAGGTAACCAGTCGGGTTATCCTGGGTCCGCTACACTAAACTTCCCACCTGTTCTATCAAACCTATTTGTTGCAGACTTTTACCCCAAGTATAGGACTGTATTTTATGCCATTGAGCCATTCTCTTACATATGTTACATTCAACCGCAATGCTTTCCCCTTAAATCCTGATGGGTAATATTACACAGTTGTCAGTCTTTACATGACAATGAGAGTTATTTCCCCACCTTCCAAAGTACAACATCCTGCTAAAATTGAGCTATTTTCAAATTTGGGGGACAGGTTGTTGTACCTGTATTTGAGTGTTTAAGTGAGAATTTTTAGGGATAGGTGTGGATTGTTTTCCACTTTATTAACATTGCGATCTTTTAAAGTACAGTTCAACAAACGGTGTGTGTTGTGCTGTTTTTTTTTTTTTACCTAATAACCAAGGGTTGAACAAACCACAAAATACAAATCCAGGGGGGGCGTGGCCGACGACCGGACTGAATGGCCGCACACTAACCTAGCTCCGAGCTGAAAGGGCTGAAAACTCCGTTATCGGAGACACGCCAATGCGATGGGGAACAACAAAAAGCAGCAGACCACTCACCCACCAACGGGGAAGACCCCGGCGGGCAAACCGGGATCGGTAACCCGCCTGTTTCGCGACTACGCTGATCGCGTCTCGGAGCATGGAGACTCCAACATGGCGCCGGCTGCGGCCTACACATGCTCCCAGCCACAAAGCCCAGCGGCATCAGAGAGCTCCACAGAAACACCAGATGTGGACATTAAGGAGCTTCTGAGAAACCTACCCTCCAAAGCTGACCTGGCACAAATGCTGGGGAAAATAGAATCCACATTCCAGCACAAAATGGAGGGCCTCAGCTCTGATATCCAAAAGGTAGGACACAGGGTACAGGACCTGGAAGATGAGAGGGGATTCTTTCAGACACAGATACAGGACCTAACTGCTAAAGTAAACTCCCACGACAGACACCTCTCCATGATGCAAAGGTCACTAGACGACCTAGACAACAGGGGACGGAGAAATAACCTCCGCATAAGGGGGCTTCAGGAGACAGATAACGAAAATCTGCACGTCCAACTAACCATCCTCTTTAACTCCATACTGGGCCGTCCGCCAGACACACAGATACTCCTGGACAGAGCGCACAGATCCCTACGGCCAAAGAATGTGGTAGGTGAAACACCACGAGACATAATATGTCGCATTCATTACTTCACACTAAAGGAAGACATCCTGAAAACTCTAAGGGATACTTCTGCCCCACTGCTATACCTTGGCCAAGAAATCCAAATATACCCAGACCTGTCATGGCTCACCCTACAGACGAGAAGAGCCTTAAAACCTGTCACAGACCAGCTTAGAATTCGCAATATCAAATACAGATGGGGCTTTCCATTCGCCCTCACAGTCAACACTAGAGGATCTGCGTTCACAATCGCAACGCATCAGGATGTTGCCCCATTTATAAGGGCACTGAACCTGAATGAAACCCAAGTTATGGACTGGTACTCGCCGGACCCAGCAGCCTCCCACAATAAACAATCACGCGACCTGGGAAGGCAATCACAAGCAAAAAAACAGAGAACCGGACAAGCCAGTCCCCAGCAACTAAGAGAGAGAAGACCTAGAGGAGCCATGGACGACTAACTCATATGAACATAGGACGCCCAGATGGATCGGCAACCCTCACATCAACACAGGAAGATTACCATCCCAGGATGACAACACCAGCATACGGAACCGCACGGAGAAAGGGAGAACTCAATTTCCTCTATCCACTCACAGCGACTCCCGACATAATGGACTTATTGGGACTTACTGATGAACCTAGGCAGGACTTGCGAACTCTTGCTGCAACCTAGAGCGACAAAACATAACATCCAAGATACCCTGCTGGACTCTCAGCACCAGGTCGTATGTTCAACGATGTGTTTAAAAATGTGTACTTACAACCCACATTTACACACAGCAGGACTACCCGGTAGAGTAGTACCAGCCCAAACCCCAGACTGAGATACACAAGTAGGGAAACTGTTGAGACAACCCACACCAAAGTAAAGGAAGAAAGGAAAAAAAAAAAAAAAAAGCGTATGTCCTCTCTTGAGATAACACTTCCAAATACTTAGACCATCCTCTGGGACAACGGCCATGACGCTCGTCCCCCATCGGCTCCACTGCGTATCCCCATACATTATAACACAACGCCAAAACTCCACTACACTAGTATAAGCTTACAAGTTTTCAGCCCCAAAGCTTACAGTGTACACCACAACAAATATCTAAACATCACAACGAATCAGGTACCACTCTTAAATATCGTACTTTTTATTTTTGTACTGAACGGCACTATATTTTGCACAGTGTATACACCATCTTTTGTTACAAAGGGCTCAAGATACCATGGAACATAAACACTTGCAGTACGATTCTACAAACCCTCCAGAGGTGGGCGCACCCGGGGCAACAGCCACTATCACGGTCACCTCCCATAATGCTAGGGGTCTAAATACAGCAGAAAAACGACACATGGCACTATCATAGACGCAAGGCAGATGTGGTATTTATACAGGAGACACATTTTCGCAAGGACTCTGCCCCTTCCCTTAAATCTAGAACCTATTCCAAAGGCTACTTTAGCAATTTTGCAGAAGCTAAATCGAGGGGTGTAGCGATTCTCCTATCTTCCCACCTTCCATTCACATACATAGACCAACTCGCAGACGACAATGGTAGGTTCCTCTTTCTTAAAGGACTGATAGGAAATACAACCGTCACCTTGGTGAACATCTATCTCCCTAATAGGAAGCAAACCCCTGCCCTACGCAAAATACTGTACAAGCTTGATACTTAAGGAGGCGACTTCAACATTTCCTTAGACGGGACACTAGACACCACCTCCCAGGCTCAAACATACCAAGCCTCATCTAGAACCCGCATCCAGGCACTCTTAGACTCACACCAATTATATGACAGCTGGCGAATCACTAACCCTGCAAAACGCGACTACTCGTATTACTCCCACTCATCAGGCACTTACTCCAGAATTGACATGTTTCTCATCCCTCATCGGTTCTTAAACCTAGTCCAAACGTGCGAGTACGCCACAATTACCTGGTCTGATCATGCCCCGATATCAATGACCATCGCCATCCCATCGTTACACCCTAATAGATCTCAATGGAAATTAAATGACATCCTATTGAACAAACCGGAGATACAAACACAAATCAGGGAAGGACTGACTCAATACTTTGACCAAAACACGCAACGCGGAACTCCATGCCCAATAGTTTGGGAAGCTCACAAAAGCACCATTAGGGGAACGATCATCCAACTGGCGTCTAAACACAAAAAACACAGAGAAGCACAGGCAACTAAACTAACTAAAGAAATTAGAACACTAGAAGACACACACAAACAAGAATCCTCCCTCACTATATACTCGCGACTACTGGAAAAGAGGACGGAACTTAATTCCATCCTAAACGCTGTCACCAAACATGCCCTGGCTAAAACAAGAAGCCTCTACTATGCCCAAGGAGGAAAATGTGGGAAACTCCTAGCTCATGCCCTAAAAAAACAGAGAGAACACACATTCATAGCGGCCATACGCAATAAAGAAGGGAAACTCTCACATTCAATGACTGACATATCAAAGGCTTTCCATGACTATTATTCAACCCTATATAACCTTCGACACACAGCTCCCCAGATGCAGGACATAAAGGCGTTCCTAGAGAAGAGAATACGCCACTCCCTCCCAAACAACCTAAAAGAATCCTTAGAACATCCCATCTCCACAGAAGAATGTGCAGACGTAATTAAAACATCTGCCACAAGGGAAAAGCCCTGGGCCAGACGGGTTCACAGCAAAATATTACAAAACTTTCGCGAAGACACTCACACCCCATTTCGTAAACGCATTCAACTCGCTGCTACACTCAGACAAGCTTCCACGCCAGGCCCTCAATGCAACAATCACTCTCCTACCAAAACCGGGCAAAGCCTTAACTCAATGCGGTAGCTACAGACCCATCTCCTTAATAAATGCGGACATAAAAATCTTCATGAAAATCCTAGCCAACAGATTGCGCCCGATACTTCCAGGATTGGTACACGCAGACCAATCTGGCTTTATTCCGGGCAGAGAAGCCAAGCATAACACCACTAAGATCTTGAACCTAATACACCATGCCACACGAGCTGGGTACCCCAGTCTACTCCTGTCAATAGATGCTGAGAAAGCGTTTGACAGGGTAGACTGGACCCTGATGCTACAGACGCTGCGACAATTGGGATTTGAGCCACATTGGCAAAAATGGATCTCTGCGATCTATTCATGCCCGACCGCCAACGTCCGTATAAATGGACAACTCACTGACCCGGTAGTAATCTCCAACGGCACCACACAGGGGTGCCCCCTCTCCCCGCTTCTCTTTGTTCTTGTTTTAGAATCTTTTCTACAGGGGATCCGGGACAACACTAACATCAGGGGCATCCGGGCGGGGACGGAGGAGCACAAAATAGCGGCGTTCGCCGATGATGTGCTTTTCACACTGGCAGACCCAGTAGCATCAATACCCCACCTGATGTCAGAAATGGCTACCTACAGTACACTCTCCAATTTTAAAGCGAACATTAGCAAATGCGAGATCCTCCCGATACATATTGAATCACGAGAGAAAGATGCTCTGCGCTCTGCTCTGAGATCATCAATTCACATGGGCAACACACAGTATCAAATACTTGGGAATCCACATCACCAGGAACCCCTCCCAACTATTCAAGAACAACTTCCCTGAATTAACAAGGGCCATAACACATGACCTCACCACATGGAACAAGCCACACTTTGGGTGGTTTTGTAGGACGAACATCCTCAAGATGAACATCCTACCCGGAATACTATACATACTACAAGTGCTCCCTATAACTATTCCTAAGTCCTGGTTCACTACAGTTCGTAAAACACTCACCACATTTATATGGGCTAACAAACCCCCACGAATATCATACTCATTACTCACAAAACCAAAGGACAGAGGCGGCCTGGGTCTGCCAGATGTTGAAACATACCATTACGCAATACTGCTAACCAGAATATATGACTGGTCACTTCCACAATCCAGGAAACAATGGGTGAACTTAGAGGACACCTTTTTCAGAGTGCCTATTTACACGATACCCTGGCACAAATCAGGGCAGGTACTAATGCTCCACAACCCACATCCCACAATTACACCGACCCTCCGCATGTGGGCAACCCTACGCACGCACGAACTAATGTCACCTTACCCATCGCCACTATACCCGCTCACACACAACCCCTTATTCCAGCCAGGAGTAGACGGCAAATCTTTCCAGTCCTTCCATAAGACGCCATATCTTACATTAGGGGATACTTTGACAACCGTCGGGTCGAGAGCAATAAAACCCATACAGGCATTTATAGCCGATCCCACGGCTATGCCAAAATACCAATACAGGCAACTAACACACTTTATTCAATCCCTAACACACAATGCCAGCCGAGAACAGACTAATTTCGAAAAATACTGTTCCCTCCAATCCATAAAAACAAAACACATATCAACAATGTACTCCCAGGTCCTCTCCACGAGACCACAACAATTGCCGGCCTTTACCACCACTTGGGAAAATGAGTTAAACTTAGCAATAAAGCCCGACAAATGGAAAAAAATCTTTAAACAAATCCACAAATCCTCAAAAAACACAACAACGCAGGAAAGCAACTATAAAAGAATAGCGAGGTGGCACTACACGCCCTCAAAACTACACTCCCTATTCCCTGCAACCTCCAAACAATGTTGGCGCTGCCATTCAGCCGTGGGCACCACCTCACATATTTGGTGGACATGCCCAGTGATACAAAAATTTTGGACACGCATGGCGGGCCTGATCCACACCATACTTAAGATAACTGTTCCCTTAGACCCAGATACATACATATCCCTTCTCACCCCACACGGCTTACCGAAACATACGGCGGCCCTGCTCATACACCTTATAACAGCTGCGAACCAGCTCATCCCAGCCTTATGGAAACAACCAAACCCCCCGACCATACGCGAGTGGCTACAAAAAGTAGAAAATACCAGAAGTCTAGAAGAAACACCCCCCATCTAGGGAAAAAATAAAGATTAACACTACGGGAATATGAGCCGGCTCATAAAAACGTAGGGATGTAGGAAAATGTAACAGAACTCCAATACTATTATCTCTACATGCTCAACGCAAAGACACACCTTCATGTATGAATTCGTACTGCTGATTACTTGACTAATGTAACACCAATATCTTGTACCATGTACTTTCTTACACCTGTCAAACTTATGTGACGAAAATGTTGTACAATATACTGAGCTTAAATATAAAAAAAAAAAAAATACAAATCCACAGAGACACTAGTCTATAAGAGATAAAAATAAAAAAATAAAAAAATAAAAAGATATGAAACCAAAAAGATTATAGCTCACCTGACTTCTGTGTTCTATGGAGTTTGACTCTTTGCCAGTTTTAAGTTCTAGAGGCATTGTCTTAAAAAGAGTTTTGGACTTCTGATGTATTTTTACTTTGGTCGTTACATCAATTTTACCTTTTAGACCAAATCTTGGGGACCATATATTTTCCTCAATATCCAAAAACTCTGACACTTGAGTAGCACTTGTAGGTTGTTTTATTTCTTCAGTCAAGGATCTGAAATAAAATTATAACAGGAGTATCAGAGGAAAAGAGTCATCCTTATTCATACAGTTACTGCCTAATAAACAAGAAAAGCACAAGGCTGGAAAAACAAATAGTGGAGCGTTAAAACACCTTTCAAATACAGTATAACTTTCATAAAAGATGCAGAGCCTTCTGCAAACAGATTTTTAAATGAATTAGTTTCAACTTTCCACTTTTATGACAGAGAAGAAAAAAAAAAATCAGAGTTCCTGAAAATGATCAACGGAAATAAGCAAATTCGTTTTATGGTAAGGTTTGAGATAGCTTTATTTTAAACTAATGTAAAGCACAATCCACGTGAACGGTAAACTGCTGCATAGACCACTATTACATTGGTCTATTATAAATACATCTCCATTTTTTTTGTAAATCTTTTTTTATTGCTCAGTCATAATACAGTACAGGAAATGGCAAGTGTCATAACAATTAAACATACTATGCACAATACGACTTGTCAAGGATGGTGCAATGAAACACAAGACAGAGGAATTCTATTTTTTTTTTTTAAGGTTAGATTAATAACATATTGGAACATATCCCACATCAGATGAAGCTAAGGAAGATGGCGAAATTAAACTGAGGTATATCCGGGCAGTGACAGTTAGCTCAAAGATGCCTCTACAATGTACAAAAAGGTCAATAGGTATGGATACCTAAGCAAGGAGAGAGGTTATAAACCCAGAACGTTGGATCTGTATGATAGAATGTGTAAGTGGGCGGGGGAGTGGATAAAGGCAGGCCCATAAGCCTGCCACCAGTGGCACATGCCCAGACTCATCAGGAGCCCGACTTGGGAAACAAGAGAAAGAAAAAAAATGAAATAATGCAATCAAATTTAAAGCCGATATTATATATTAAAAAAACTGTGCAAATATCAAACTAAAGGACAATCAGGTGGTCACTTCAGGAGATCACAGCAGTGGATGTGCCCCTCTGCTGTGCCGCTTGACCTAATAAAACGTATTGTCCACTTTAGTAGAGGTTTGCATGTTCATCCAGCATCAAAAAGAGAAATGAAAATGAAACCAGGTCTTGGACAGAGGAGTGAACTGTTCGCAAAACAAACAAAACAGTGTTTTGGCCAGTGTTTGTGACGAAGTGGCTACTAAAAAAGACTGGACATACTCAATTTGCAATACCTTGGGTTGTCTACTTTTGCAAATGGTATGTCATGGTGGGGTTGATTTTCATTCCTGGGCTACCATACGGTCTCAAAGGCAACGTAACCAATCTTGCAAATTTCAATGTGAAAAAACTGAAACGCAGGCCTTATATTTGACTCTCTAACTTTTGAAAATACCATAAAATCTGTACATGAGGGGTACTGTTATACTCGGGAGACTTCACTGAGCACAAATATTTGTGTTTCAAAACAGTAAAACGTATAACAACAATTATATTGTCAGTGTAAGGGTCGTCTGTGTGTGTGAAAAATGCATAAAACGTCATTTTCAATGATGATATCCTCGTAATTCATTTTACTGTTTTGAAACACTAATATTTGTGTTCAGCGAAGTCTCCTGAGTAAAACAGTACCCCCTATGTACAGGTTTTATGGTGTCTTGGAAAGTTACAGGATTAAATATAGTGCTAGCAAACTAAATTCTCTGGACTTTCGGCCTGCGTTGATCTAAGTATATATAATTTTATTTTACACTGTGTTTTAACTTTTATTTAACTTTTTTCAGGCAGCAGGGGAACTACCTGTCATTCCAGGCAGTCCCCCTCCTGGCACTGCTATGGACGGCTATTCCGTCCATAAGATCTTGAGGTCCTCTCAAGGACCTTGCGATCACATGGCCCGGGAAGGCTGAATCAGCAGCAAGGGGACTCCCTGGGATGCCAGGCAACTCCCCCCATCGCAATTGCCAGCGAGCAGGTAAGTCTCCTGGAGGGGGGGGGACAGTGACGTACTATGCTGTCCGCCGGCGTTTAGAGTCGGTCCCAAAGGACGGCATAGTACGTCTGCCGTCCTTAAGGGGTTAAATGGCAGATAATAGAGCAGTAAGATACAGATATATGGACATGATCTATAAACTAAAACATCGTCATTAAGCTAAAAGTTGTTTTGGTGATTAGCGCATCCCTATAAGAAAAAAAAAAGAAAGAAAAAAAAAAAAGATTCAGAAGAAAAATTAACAAGACAAAAGTTTAACTTGGAAAGGTTATCACTATTGTAGTGGTAGAGATCTCCCAGACACATACCAAAGAAAGTTACTCGCTACAAAAACAATAACTCCAGACTACTAGATAGATAGATAGATAGATAGATAGATAGATAGATATATAATGCTGAACCTGCAACACATTTATACTCCTGCTTTGTGAAAGTGTATGGGGGGATAAATAACCACAGAATTCCACTGAAGGCATCCTTACTGTTTACTCCTGAAAGGATGCTGTTTAGTAGAAGGTGTCAAGCAGTCAGAAGCCCACTTGGAAAATGATGGCAGATACTCCTGCACTTCTTCCATGATGTCATTTTGATTTAAATTTAACTGATACCTGAAAAAGAAGCATATTTATGTAACAGTAGAGTGAAATGAATCCCAAACATTTTCATTAACCAACATTGGCCTTGATTTAATAAGCTTTCTAAATGATTTGATACTGTTAGAAAAGTTTATAAGTGAGCTACAGAAATCACCATTAAAGACTATGGAAATTTTTGTAGATAAATAATTTCGAAATTGTTCTAACAGTATTGAATTATTTTAAAAAGCTTATTAAAGCTATAGTTGGCCACCTAACTTAAAACAGACCTGAAAAAGATGTTGGATATGCACCATGGCTGTAATGGCCCTACTTACTATTCCATTCGCTGTTAAAAAGGATGGTCACTTTTCAGTATTTCATAAAGATAGATTCTTAAGACGGCATAGGAATTTCTTTAAAATTTCAACACAATCCAAAGATACCATAGACAAAGTAGGGACTACGTTTAATTACGGTAAAGCCTTAGGTTCACAAAAGGCGGAACTCTGCCATCAACCTTTGGCCAATCCCAGCACCCCCCCCTTTTTTTTTTATTCAGGTGCGAGAGTACAATAATGCTTGGCTTCTAATGTGCCAGGAGCCGAAGAGGACAGCTGGGCAAACATGGCAGCAATCATGATGGAGAGCATGAGGTAAGTAAAGAACTTACCTCCCATGTACCATGCAGTAACCAGACCCACATTGGACCTGTCACAGCACATGGAGTTCAGTGGCCGATACCCTAACTCCCAGATTTATTGGGTGTGTAGCACAGCATCAGTTGATGTGCCAATCTTTGGCGACCACACTACACTTTGTGCTCTGTCTTAGCATGTGTTGTTATCACAGAAGATCAGTACTAAAAATGGCAGAAGCCGAGCTACCACATGCACATTAACAGCATGGAAGTGTCAGAGTGTGTAGATACAATGCTGCATTTGTTTGCAGTGTGGCTGTGTCTGCAAATGAAGGAATGGATATGGGAAGCTTGCTGATTTAATTCAGGAGTCTACATGAATACAAGGATGTACTTGTGTGAAAGGTTTCTGTGTAAATGCAGGGGTGTATTTGAGTAGCGTGTTAGCATAAAATGTAGGGAGGTAAGTGTGTGAGAATGGGGGGGTTTCCATGTCACCTTCTACTACTTTCCAAGACACTTTCTACTCCCCAACTATTTCATTTGGTCATTTCCACTTTCCCACTGGAATTTTGTTATCACACAACTTTTCCAAATTCCCTTCCCTCATTCTTATCAGTGTAACAGTTTACTTCTTATGTTTTCCTTCTCTCTCAGAGGCGTCCTCTCTTCTCTCCCCACCATGCCCACCACATTCTATACTACCAGTCTATCCCTATAATGCCCCTTTTTCTTTCAGTGCCATCATTTCATTCCCAGAGTGCCCCCTTCTCGATGTAGCCAACATTAATTGTTTATATTTCTCTTAAAGGACCACTATAGTGCCAAGAAAAAAAAACTTGTTTTCCTGGCTCTATAGTGTTTAAAGGTCCCCCCCTACCCTCAGGGCCCCCCACTCCCACTGGGCTGAAGGGGTTAAACACTTACCTTTCTCCAGCGCCGAAGGAGCCTGGCGCTGGGGAACTCTGCTCCCTCTGCCAACGTCAGTGCCGAATGTGCATGCGTGGCAAGAGCCACGCGCGCATTCAAACAGTCCATAGGAAAGCATTTCTCAATGCTTTCCTATGGACGTCCAGCGTCTTCTCATTCCGATTTTCCCTTTGAGAAGCGCGGAAGCACCTCTAGCGGCTGTCAGTGACACAGCCACTAGAGGCTGGATTAATCATAGTGTAATATAGCAGTTTTCTCTGAAACTGCTATGTTTACAGCTGCAGGGTTAACACTAGATGGACCCAGACCACTTCATTAAGCTGAAGTGGTCTGGGTGCCTATAGTGGTCCTTTAAGTTCAATTCTTATAGAGCCCTAAGGCACAAACGAGATGTGATTAAGCTAGATCTAAACACACCTTTCCCTAGGCCTGTTCTGTAGCATTACACATCACTAGAATGTAATCGGCTAAAAGCTGTGCCAGCAGAGGCTCTGGTTTGGGATGTAAGGTCACTTAACCTTTATAACCTTTGTCTGGAATTGAGACGAGGACTCATCAAGAAGGACATCAGAAAGGTTTTTTCCCTTTGGATCAGAACACAAAATTGCATCCCTAATTTGTCAGACAAACCCAATCATATTCACCGGGCCCCAGACAACTGCACACCAAATGGTTATTGCACCAACAATGACTTACCAAGTGCAGCAAAGACTCTTCTGACTTGGGCAGATTCTAATACAGGTATATTCCATAACAGTTGAATAAGTGAATGTTGTAATTTTCTAATACACGAATTAGACATTGATCTAATGTAATTTATGTAATTATTACTGAAGTACCTTAACACCACCTAGTAATATCCCTGAAGCTTGGTCTCTCAGTGAAGTGTCCTCTGCACCCTCTATTTGTCAGTAACTGTTACAATATGATACATTGTATAAAATACAGCATCAAAGAAACAACTTACATTTCTTTCAAATATTTAGGGCCGTGGACTGTGTTAATGGCAAGTTCTTGCAAAACATCATTGGTAAATGCTCGTGTTGTTGCCCTTTGAAAAATATCGTGCAAAACTGTGCCAACCAGCATCTGGCGTGATCCTTTATCACAAACCTGCACAAAGCAAACATGTACAAACATCAGAACTAACATGTACCTTCAAGCTCTCCATTGAAGTCTAACAAATGAATCATTGAAAAAAAAATATTGATAAAAATCCAAACAAAACTAGAACGGACCTTGAATTTCTCACTTAATACTGATCTGCGCAAACACCGAATTCCATTTGCTATGCTGGTACCAGATATGAGTAGATCAGGATACAAAATAAGATATCCAGAGTCTTTGGTTATAGTCCATGTATTCTCCAATGCACAGCTGCCCTCCAAGTGTATAATATCCCCTGGATGGATTTGAAGATATGCCCTGAATGTAAGGAGAAAATATTACTAGAAAATATAATTTTCTTTATACTGTGGTTTATTATCCTGATAGTTCAGTTCATATGTATTTGGACAGTGAAATATATAAATGTGTAACTACGGACACACCTTGATATTGAAGCAATCAGCAGTGCATTTTAAAGCCAATTATTACAGCTGGGGGAAATTGTCAGAAAGATTCCAACAATTTTGTTGTAAGGAATTCTGCAATTAAACTGCACTTAATATCCTTATCATATCTTACATATTTAGATCTCCTCTCATGGAGAAGCACTGTGGAGCTATGACACATGCGCAGCAATTGATGCAACCCACCAAAAGAATGCTTCTCATAAGAAAAAAACAAAAGATTGAATGCAATGTGTCTCTATGAGAAACACTTGCTTCTTCTTTTAATTACAGTTCAAAGCAAGTGAGTAGTGATTACACATTTGTATTCCTAACACTATAGTGTCCCTCTGTCCCAGCAGCAAGAGTTAAAAACCCTTTGAACACTTATCTAATTCCAGCGTGGAGGTCCCTCAGCTATGGCTCAGAATCCTCCTCCTCAGTGCAAGGGGAACCTTAATGCCTTATGGACATAAAATGAAGTGGTCTTGGAGCCTAAGGTTATTTATGAAATTGCCGATTTCACTTGAAATGGGAACATTTATGGACTGAAGTGTTCCTTAAAATCCAGGTTAGATATATTTACAGGAAAGGTTTACATTTTTAAAAAGTAAAGACGTACTGGATACCGCACTCACCAAGTAACCCAGGTGCTCTCAAACCAAGGCTGGCCAGGCCTCCCTTCCAAGATATGCAGAATAAATAATGGTTCAGGCACTCCAAGATATAAAAAAAATAGCAGCTTTATTGCGGCAAAAACAGCAACGTTTCGACCCTACCGGGTCTTTATCAAGCTACCAAATCAATGCAGAAGTGATCAATCGCAGGAAAAATAATTAAATTAAGTGAAAAAACAGCAGTGTTTCTAATTATTTGTAATTCCACTGCTGTTGTTTCACTTAATTTAATTATTTTCCTGTGATTGATCACTGTATTTAAATGTCACTTCTGCATTGATGTGGATGCTTGATAAAGACCCGGTAAGGTCGAAATGTTGCAGTTTTTGCCCCAATAAAGCTGCTAGTTTTTGTTATTTCGGAGTGCCTAAGCCGTTATTTATTCTGCTTACATTTTTAAAAAGACCTGCCAACTAAACCAGTTGATTGCATTAACAGAATACAAAATAAATATATCTACATCCTCTTTTAAAGGTTTAGTGTATTTTAAGTTCTTTATACGTATATACACCACTTTCCTGCTAATATATTAATTCATTGCTCTACTAAAGCTCTCGTCATACAGAGGCACCATGTTCTCTCATGTTTTATCCAAGTTTATATCTCAACACTTGGACATAGTTTAGAACCCACATACATCTAGATGTATTTGTTGCACAACTTTGCAGCAGTATGCAAAACCAAAAAGGGAGTAGAGAAAGCAAAAGGGGAAGGTAAGGAAAGATTACCGCAACATTTCCAGGCACCAATACAACCTTAATGCATTTTATACATACAGTCTCTATAATATGCACGATTTTGTTGGATCACATCTTATATAGTTTTGGAATAGGTTTTGTACAAATAAAGGTGTTGCAGAATTCTGCACCATAAGACTGCCCCCTTAGCCACACCCCCCACATGCTAGAAAGACTTCCTTATCAAGGGTATGCACAAGTCGTAGCCCAAACAGCACAGAGTGAGCTGCATTTAATTAACAACCTGGCTGCAGACAGTCAGAGAAACTATAAACAGGAAGTAATATTATTCATATATGTCTCACTAGGTTTCCTCTTCTTCAAATGCAGTCAATGACTGAACTGTGTTAATATATTTCATAAAGAAGTGCTTTACTGTGAGGGGGCATTGAAAAGGCAGTCTGACGCATTCTGCAAAACAATTTTGTGTGCAAAAACTATAAAGGTTTAAATATCAAATGCACTGAAGTTGTGTGGTTGCTCAGAGTGCCCCTTTAAAATAGTTCTATAACAGTCACTAAACAAAAATTACTAACTTATAAACCGGGCATATCCCTAGGTAAAATAAAGCTTTAATCAGTCCTCGCTGTTAGAGTGTACTATGCAGTCCTGCAGTAGGAGTGCTTAAATGCTGTTAGGGTGGCAGAGCAGGCCTTTAGGATTTAGCCCTCCCTCCAGTCCACTTCCCTTCCCATGCTGCAGATCATGCCTGGCAATCCAAGCAATGTCAACATGGTGACAGGCTGTCGCCGCAATCACAGTTATGTCATGTCTCAGCCAATGATTTGTAACATTGGATGAGACATTGCCTCTCCTCTACTCACTTTCATCTGAGACAAGAGAGGCAGAAAGATTAATGTCTAAACGGTGCTAAAAAGTAAAAAAGTGTGTATAGAGGGGGATGTTTTTAACCCTTTCACTGCTGATCACAGCATAAACCATATGATCAGTCTGATTAGGGTGATTTTACCTTGGTGCTGTTAATTTTTTGGGGGTGGGTCAAAAAAGTATTTTTTTTTTTTTACCCTTTTTGTCAGTTGCAGTAGTTTACCCCTTTCCTGCTGACTGATCACTGTACGGTACTGCATCTGTGATCAGAGGGCTCGATTAATGCGTATTAGGCAGGTGGACAAATTAAACTAACCCATTAGTGACATAGCTTAAATTATCTCCCCAAGATGGCACAATATTGCTGGCCCTTTTAAATTGTAATGCAAGGCAATGTTATGTTTGTTTTTATTTTTCTTGCAAAGCAATGATAAAAAAGAAAAATAGTATTTAAAAAAAATAATGCATTACCAATCATCCTTTAGAATGCAGAGTTCTTTATCGTCACCTTCCAGAGATGGTGTAATAGTCACATGTTTCTCCTCCTCTCTATTTATGCATACTTCTTTAACGATCAGAACGCAGTATCTGTTGTTGATGCCTCTGCACAGTTTGGTCCGTGGGATTATTTTTTTAGGACATCTGCAGAGAAAAACAATTGTTTAGATTTATCAAGACATTGTTCAACTGTCACTAACAATTCTATAGAAAACAAGTATGTGACATAGGAAAATAGAGCAGAAAATCACAAATGGTGGCCCACAATTATACATCACACATGACCAGTCTGTTATTTCAAGTGTCAAACAGCGGAGCAATCATTTGTCGAGTCTGCAGCACCAGCATGCGCGAGAGCACATTGCTAATGTCAGTTCTTGGCAGTTCCTGCCAGGAGCTGAAGAGTACCTTGTGGTGAATAGCCTGGCACCCGACTGGGTACTCCTCCAATCATGCTTCCTAGTGCTCACTGACTACCATAAAAACCGCGCCGGACACCATAACCACTGTAGCCCCCTTAGCCGCCGCAGCTTGGCTGGGGTCTCGCCGTCCCTTCCCACACCTAGATCCAGCTTCCAGTGGGAAGACCTCTCCTCCAAGAAAGTATAATAACCCAAAATGTAGTATAGCAATCCACTCCCTCTGCCCCACACACACACGAGCCAAGGCTTAATGCAGGGAAGTAGTCTGTTTAATGGGAGCACAGTCACAGAATTTATACATGTCACAAACTCCTCCTCTGTCTCTGGGAGATAATTGAGTCAGGAACTGTACTAACTCCATTATCTCCAGGTACAGAAAAACACACATTTTTCAGACATCCCAAAAGTACCCCCCAAAACACATGCAAACCCCACAAAAGTTACATCCCCTAATAGATCTGGGTGACCAACATATCTAAAAATTACCCAGATCGGTTCAGGGGTTCAGGATTTCTATGAAAGTCATAATTTGACTGATCTATGCCCAAAACAGTTCCCTTTAGTTTAAAAATGAACAAACTACCGAAGATAGTCAATAATCCTACCGTGGAGCTTGTTCCCCTCATCCAGACGAAAAATTCCACTGAACAGTGACTTTCTAGGTGGCGTAGAACCCGAAACACAGGCGATGATGGAAGTCCAGCGGTGTTGGGGAGTTTCCGTGTCCGATTTGAGTTCCATGAACTTGAGGACCAAACACCGCTGCCTGCGGTTGCGGGAACAAGATGGCCGCCCCCTCGTGGTCGTGCATACGAACTGCAGCCACCCAGACGAACAATTAGAACACTGCGTTTAAAATTGTTAAGAGGTGATGATAGGGCTTAAGTTCCCGGGTGGTCCATGGTCCGTGCGCCTGTTCGGTTCCCGAACAGCATAGGAAAATGGCACGAACTAAGTCTCTTAACAGGCTTTTTGCAGGGCTCATAGTCTTTGGGCAGGGGGCTGGCCAGCAGGCCCCTCCAGGAACACGTGGCAGAGGCATTTCTGCCAAAGACCTAGAAAAAGATGGTGGTGCCGGTGAAGGACTTGTTCAGATAAGTAGAAACTACCTTCTCCCATGCCCCCACGGTCACCAGAACACAAGCAGAGCAGTCACCATCTGGGGTGTTTTCTAAATATGCAAAGATACCAGAAAGTGACAGAGCCACTTTAAATATTAAATCTGTTTTATTCTTTTTCCTGCACACTGGATACTTGATTGCTTGAGTTTTTGCGATCTCGTAATTTTGCCTAAAGTATGGAAGCGATCCTTGCACTGTCTGCTGGTGCTCCACTAAAATGCTCTATGAGCCTTTTAATTAAGATTTATGAAGAATGTGAATTAAAAGTGAACTTCATATTTTAGGCCAAACAAGCTGGGGATGTCCCGGTCCCCACTGGACTGATTTGGGATGTTTGAGCTGCACTAATCACTTGCTCAGAGTTGCAATGTAGCCGCACTTTGACCTCTTCCTATTAACACGCAAGAACGATCCCACATATTAAAGAGAGATAACTGAACTACTCAAAATGGCTGATACCTACCCCTGGGTTGCGAAGCCTGAAGCTGTACTGCTCAGACCAGCAAGACTATGCTAGTCGAATCCTATATTTCTTTTTTTTTTATCATATATTTTTTCCTGTTCTTCACATATCATATTTCCTTTTTTTTTTTCTTCCCCATTTTACCTTTTTTTTTTCCTCTCTCTCAAGCAAAAGGAGTATTATGATAGACATGTTATTTACAATAATTGTCTGTTCTGGTTAGGATTTTTAGTAGTTTAATTTATTCCACATTACCAACTGGCATTCATAATCTTATTGCCTCAAGTTCCCTTTAAAGTACTTTAGGGGAGAAACGCATTGTGGTTTTTATGCTGTTCCCCTTAGGGATTTCTCTTACCACTTAAAGCCCTAATGGGAGAAACGCGTTGTGGTTTTTATGCTGTTAAAATAAAGTATTTTGGTTACCTCACTACCTGCCTTTCAGCCATATATTTTTATACTTTTACCTGACATCTGAACCATTAACTACTGTGGACAACCAACCAAAGAAGTCCTTGGTGGGGATTATACCAACCCAGGCTTGATACATAGAGCGGTTAGTCTGCTCACTCTATTGTACAGTAAGTATATTTTTATTTACCTTATTGATACTTCCCTATCTGTACTGGCTCTCTCCTGGGGAGACGAGAGGGGCCTCGCACCCGGCGGCACAAAGGGCAAGCTGCAGGGCCCCCTCCCAATCTCGGGTCCTCGGACCTGACAAGTCACTGTTCCCTATTTTCTGGAGATTTTAACCTTTTTTGGCCGAAATGGGATAGGTACCCTTTTTACCTAAATTTCCGTGTATTCCTACTGAATTCTAATCCTAAATATCACCATAATCCTAAACAAAACACTAATCCTATACCTAACCCTAATTATAATCCTAATCTTAGCCACAATTATTTCAGAATAATTCCCTTACTTGCGCTAATCATAATTCTAAACCTAATAATCCTTAAAAGGGACAGTCCAGGTACCAAAACAACTTCATATAAATACACGTTGTTTTGGTGCCAGGAGGCACTCTTACCTCAAACGGTTAGAAATCACTAAATTGCCTCCACCGCCGGTCTCAGATTTCCCTGTTCAGGCCGCACAACCTCAGGAGGGGAGCAGTGCCAGGAGTAGATAACTTTGTTACAGGTAGGAGGAGAACCAGGAAAGAGCATAGTCTCGTAGACCAAGATTACAGTGGATGAAAACAGTGTGGAAAGTAGCAGAAAGGTAAATTAGGAGTAGCAACCACTGGATTTAGCCGCAATTAAATAATTAGATACTTTGGCCAGGGCAGTTCTGTGCGCCAGTAGTATTTCTTTGGGTAGGGATTTGTGGTCAATTGCATCTTGGAATGTTTGTACTAGGTGTGGAGCTAATGTGCTGCAAAATTTTTTGTAATAAAGATTATCCAAGCCATCAGGTCCGGGTGATTTGCCCGGAGGTAAGGCGTTTATAGTTGAAATAACCTCGCTTTCTGACACCGGTTGGGTTAGTTCATACCTTCCAGGTATTTGTTAATGTCTGCACTTTGGGGTTGGTGTATTTGCCCATCTTGTTTAAGATTATATAAGTCAGCATAATACCGTGCAAACTCATTCCTGATATCCCGCAGTGTGTGGGCCTTAGTGCCGTTTTTTGTCATTAGGTACGCAATTTTCTGGGATGTTTGGCGCGATTTCAATCTGTTTGCGAGCAGTTTGCTTGCTCTATTACCTTGTGCATAGTGGGTAGCTTTAAGGCGTTTAAGCTGAAACCCTGTTGCTTGTAGGGCCTGTTGATGTATGTTTCTATTTAGGGCTAGTATGTGATCTCTTAGAGAGGCAGAAGGTGACATTTGGTTTTGCACATTTAAGGCGTACAGTTCCGTCTGCCACTTCTGCAGTTGGACACGGGAAGTTTTGCGCAGCGTGGCTGCTCGTTGTATGAGTAGTCCCCTCACTACCGATTTATGCACCTGCCACACCATGGTTGGGGGCATACCAGGGGTGGAGTTTTCCGCAAAGTAATGTTTGAGGGCCGTCTCTACTTGGCCTGTGAAGGCCAGATTTTGTAGGAGTGAGTCGTTGATTCTCCAAGGGTTGCAGTTTTTAAAGTCGTATAGGTCTTTAACTTCTAGGGTGACAGGGGCATGGTCTGACCATGTGATGTGGTCGATATCACACCTAACAAGTTGGTTTAGATTCGATCCCTTCACAAGAAAGGTATCCAGCCTAGAATAGGAGTTATGAATGGGCGAGTAAAACGTGTAAGACCTTTCCATCCCGTAGGAGACTCTCCAGGCATCATAATAGTGGTGCGTGGAAAGGAGTGTCTGTAACGCTCTGCTTTGGCATTTGAGGGTTCTAAACCTGGCTTGGACGCGCGAAAGGGTGGTGTCCAGTGCCGGGTCCAGGACATGGTTCAGGTCCCCGCATTTTATTGTTATCCCTTGTTGCAATTTTGTCAGTGTCTGTAGAATTTTGTGGAGGAAATTCCGTTGATTTGAGTTGGGGGCATAGATGTTTGCAATGGTGTATGTGATGTTGTTTATAATCCCCACAACTATGGCGTACCTCCCATTGGTGTCCAACTCTTGTGTGAGGAGTTGGAATGTGACCATCTTGCTGATGAGTATAGATGAGCCCTTCGATTTGGATGGGGAGGTGGCGTGAAACTGAGTGAGGTATTCGTTGATCAGCATCGGGGTGTAATCTTTTGTTTTATAGTGGGTTTCCTGTAAGCACACTATTTCCGGGCTGGTTGCTCGGAGCTCCCGACCAAACAAGTGTCGTTTTACAGGGATGTTCAGTCCCTTAACATTGTGGGTATAGAACTTCACGGTGGGTCATATATAAGCGATCGCAGTTTATTGTAATAATCATTATGTGTGTTTGGGGTCTCCGCTTCTCCCAGCTCTATCGAGCGAAGTGAAGGGACCCCGTGAAGTGTCGGCAATGGCATTTCCACTCGTCGCGGCCCAGCCCATGAGCTAGGGGGACGAGGGATCTGTGGATCTTTCGGTGTGGTAGAAGGTCTGTACCTTGGGCTGTCTACTCGGTCGTGGTACCAGAGCTTAGAAACAGGGAAAGGGGTGGAGGGGTCAGGGGCAAGGAAATCTCTGACGAGTGGACTATAACCAGAGTCCAAGAGGTATATAACAGGAGAACCAAGAATGTGGTGTGCAATAATGAGAAAAATCTCGTAGCAGCTCTGGGCCTAGCCGGTTTGACACACATCCCTTGCCTGGCGCATGTGCTGAATTTGGTGGTGCAGAAATTCCTGGAAAACTACCCAGATATAACCGAGCTGCTGCAGAAAGTGCGGGCTGTCTGTGTGCGCTTTCAGCGTTCTCACTCTGCTGCTGCTTGCCTGTCTGCGCTGCAGTGTAACTTCGGCCTTCCCGCTCACCGCCTCATATGCGATGTGCCCACAAGGTAGAACTCCACCTTGCACATATTGTGTGCACATAGTGTGAGCAGCAGCAGACGATAGTGGGAGTTTCAGCTGCAGCACGCATGGGTCAGTCGCTCTGCGGAACAGCACCACTTCACCACTAATGAGTGGGCCTCCATGCGAGACCTGTGTGCCATGTTGTGCTGTTTTGAGTACTCCACCAAATGGCCAGTGCCGATTACGCCGTTCTCAGCCTTACTATCCCGCTTCTATGTCTCCTTGAAAAAAACTCTTTCGGCGATGATGGAAGAGGATGTGGCACAGGAGGAAGAGGGGTCATTTCCACGGTTATCAGGCCAGTCATTCACAAGTGGCTCGGAGGGTGGGTTCCTGCACCAGCATAGGCCAGGTACACAATTGTCCAGCATCTCCACACTGTCCCATGGAAGCGTTCAGCTGTGCATCTCACAAACATTGGAGAGAAAGAGGAAGTACCACCCTAACCACCCGCGATCCCTGGCCCTGAATGCCAGCATTTCAAAATTCCTGGCCTTTGAAATGCTATCATTCCGTCTGGTGGAGACAGACAGTTTTAAAAACCTGATGGTTTTGGACTATTGGACTGCAAGAAATGTGCCGCAGGCCGCAAATGTTTCTTTTTTTATATGTCCCAATATTTTGGGGGCTACCCCAATTAAAAAAAAAAAACACAAATAAAAAAGTGTTGCCTACCTCCTCCTCCTCCACCACCACCGCTTCCATCTACACGGTCACCTAGTATAAACTATGTACACAATAGCAGAGGCTTGCGAATGCCTTTTCTCCATGCATCAGGAGTTGAGCTCAGTTTGAACAATGAAAGAGAATACCCTGCACTCCAACCCTCTCTCAAATGGATAATTCTGGAGATCCTCCTGACAGCCATGCTTTAGATTTTTTGATTTATGTTCTTATAAAGCTAAAATCAAAGATTCCATCTAGTGCTATTTTATGGCTCAGCTGTATTTAAAATTTTTATGTATTTTATGTTATTTTACGTGATTTCCCTATCCACATTTGTTTGCAGGGCACTCTTACCCCCATTTTACTTCCTTTTGCAGCCCTCTAGCCCTTTCCAGGACTTTTTTAGAGGCATTTTAGTGCCCGAAAGTTCGGGTCCCCATTGACTTCAATGTGGTTCGGGGTCAAGTTCGAATCCGAACTCGAACTTTTTGATGAAGTTCGGCCGAACTCGAACATCCAGGTGTCCGCTCAACTCTAATCATAAAGGAATAGAGGGAGGAGGAGGAGGTGACAGATCATTGCTCATTTAAAGGAGCACTATAGGGTCAGGAACAAAAACTTGTATTCCTGACCCTATAGTGTTAAAACCACTATTTACCCCCTTGGCCTCCCTAAAGATAGTAAAATCTTACTTGTATTCAAGTCTGAACCTGCAGCCTCTGCATGTGAACGTCCTCTGACATCATCAGAAGTGGTGGCCTGATCTAATCACAATGCTTCCCCATAGGATTGGCTGAGACTAACAAGGAGGCAGATTGGGGCAGAGCCAGCATGATTCAAACACAGCCCTGGCCAATTAGCATCTCCTCATTGAGATGAATTGAATCAATGAATCTCTATGAGGAAAGTTCAGTGTCTGCATGGAGAGGGAGGAGATACTGAATGTTTGGATGCATTTTAGGCAGCCATGACCCAGATAGGATCTCTAACAGCTATCTGAGGAGTGGCCAGATAAGTTATCACTAGGCTGTAATGTAAACACTGCATTTTCTCTGAAAAGACAGTGTTTACAGCAAAAAGCCTGAAGGTAATGATTCTACTCACCAGAACAAATCCAAAAAGCTGTAGTTGTTCTGGTGATGATAGTGTCTCTTTAAGTATGTAACGGAAAAAAAGTTCTTGGGGGGGGGGGAAGTAGGTCAAGAGTGGCAAGTAGAGGAGATGAGATGCAGTGGTGTACAATGTTGGGGTGGGGGGTATATAGAATTGATTTGGAATATAAAAGTAGGAGTAGGGATGCATTGTAAGGGGTTAAGAAAATGCAGGAATGTTTCATTAAGACTTTGATGATGTAGTCCTCCAGGCGAAGGAGGGAGAAGCAATCAGCCAAGATGAAACATGGGAAGAGCTTCAAGAGTCTGACACAGAAAAAGCCATGAGACACACATTAGTGGAACTAGAATCGCATCAAATACAATGTGCATCAATGAAATACAGTGTAGATACAGACACTAACTTCCCATTTGCATGCATCCCTGTTAAACAGTGTATACACAAACTAACTTCATGTTACACCCTGTGTAATGTGTCAGTATATTATCTTGTTTCCCCTCTCAGTCATATTTTTATTTATTCTAAATACTGAACGGGTTACTCAAACACCTTGAAAAAAAACAGGCAAAGTTGAGATATATTTCACTGAACCTGTCCCTCGCATGTGCAGCTGTCATCTTCCTGACACTCTTCTTCAGCTACTGGCACTTCAGCTGCCAAAAGCCGACACCAGTGCTAAACTCTCGTGCATGCGCGATAGTACAGGATTGAGGTCTATGGAGCATCCTGCGAGACCCACAATTGCAACAATGTATCTATCGGCTGCTAATTGATTCCCAGGGTGGCCGTCGTTCGGATACCGACCACGCGGCGGCGGCCATCTTGGATTTCCTTTTAGCCCAGAGGTGTTTGGTCATCGAGTGCCTGGAACTAAAATCGGCTACTCGACGGCACGAACACCGCTGGACTTCCAGGCCGCTCGGGAGCGCCGGTCTTTCGGTACTTTCTCCCAACCTATGCATTAGTGACTTTTCTGAAGAATTGTTGTTAAAATGTATTTTGTGCGGCGTTCGGTTAATTGTGCTGGGATCTGAGCGGTACTTTCACAAAGTATGCGCTCAGACTCCAGTTATCTGCCGATCGGTCATTCGGTACAATGGCACGAATAAAGTATAAGTTACAGACTTTTATGTGAAAAGCCGGTTCTGGTGTACGGAGGGATAATTCACTTAGCAGGATATTCTTGTGTGAGTATCCATCTCGTACAGCAGGGCATGGTGGGAAAAATTTCCTGCATGTTCAGTTCCCCATGTAGTCCTCTACTGTGTAACCCCTGTAAAGTGATTAAGGAAACCCCTTGCATGGGGAACCACATAAATACTGGAGCTTGTGAATAAAAACCTCAGTTGACTCCCAGAACTGTGTTTCGTACAGTAACTGGGGGGATTTGGGATATTGCCTTCATTTTCAGCGCTTAACTTGGATTACTTTCTTTACCAGCGGAGATATTGGGATTTAATATTGCAGCTCCGCAACAAATGCAACCACAGGTTATCCCTCTGTACTGCATGACATCAATTCAATTTATAATGCAACCACGGGGAGGTTATCCCTCAGTCCTGCATGATATCAATTCAATTTATAATGCAACCGCAGGGAAGTTATCCCTCTGTACTGCATGGTATCAATTCAATTTATAATGCAACCACAGGTTATCACTCAGTACTGCATGATATTATTTGCCATTTAGAACCTGATAATAGTAATGATATTAATGATATTATTGATAATAATAATGGTAATGATAATATTAATGATGATAATAATATAATATTAATGATAATAATTATAATATTAATGGTAATGATAATAATAGTAATGATAATATTGATAATAATAATAATGATATTAATAATAAGTGGGATTAATTGTAGCATGGTAATTAGCACAGTTAGCAGTGTAGTTCCCCCAGGGTGATGGTGACATGTGTATTGCACTGTTACCTGTCTGTAGGTTTAGTTTCAGGCTCATTGAAGCTTCTCTCCATCATTTCCAGCCATTCATCCTCGGCTCCCGGTGGGAACTCGTCCCCAGGGAGGTCCATGGCTTCCCCTGTCACCCGGTGACTGTCAGTGAGCCATCAGCCGCTCACACACTGTACCCACGCTGCACGCCCAGAGACCGGGACATGCATTCATTGGTCCCGCGGTCACTGGACGGCAGCCTGGAAGGGACAAACCGCGCACAATGCGAACGCGAACAGGGTGAAGGCGGGATAGGGGAACCAGTGAGTCAGTCCATGTGATCCACAGACTGAGCAAAAACAAATATTAAAACAATACTGTATTACGAGACATGACTGTTTCGCCCACAGCAGTCATTTATTTTTTTCCCCACAAAACAGTTTTGTTTTTTTTGTACAGCAATATTTTATGGTATACTATTTTGGTGTAGATTACAGATTTGTAATGGTTTTCATTGCATTTCAATAAAAGAGTTCTATGTTATGATGGGTTATAATTTAAAAAAATATATAAACCAATGTGTAAACCAATGCCATGACAGATTGGTACTATAATGCATGTCTCCTTCCTATCTGGTTTTATTTACACACTCCGCACATTTATGTCCCCTCAAACTTATAATTTTCCCTTTTCTTGAAGATAATAAAAATTTCAAATTGGAGAAAAAAAAAAACTTATAATTTTCCATTATTATTATTCTATTATTTATATATCGCCTTTAGATTCCGTAGCGCTATACAGAAGATAATATAAGCATAAAATCACTCAGACAGCTTAGATATACTGTATATTTTATTGCATGCATAGTAGGTATAAATACATATTATTTTTTTTATTATGATATTTACATAGCGCCAACAAATTCCGCAGCGCTTTACAATGGGTGGACGAACAGACAAGTAGTTGTAACCAGACAAGTTGGACACACAGGAACAGAGGGGTTGAGCGCCCTGCTCAATGAGCTTACATGCTAGAGGGAGTGGGGTAAAATGACACAAAAAGGTAAGGATAGTATTAGACTAATGACAGTTGCAAGAGAGGAATCAGTCAGGAGCTATTAACAGTTTAACTGACACGCTTTTATGAAGAAGTGGGTTTTTAATGATTTTTTTGAAGGAGTGGAGACTGGGTGAGCATCTAACGGAGGAGGGAAGCGAGTTCCACAGGAACGGTGCAGCCCTCAAGAAATCTTGAAGGCAGGGGCGGACTGACCACTCGGGCACTTCGGTCATGGACCGAGGGCCCGAGGCAGTCAGGGGCCCGGCTGCACAGCCATGCTCCAGCTGGAGAGATCAGATCAGAGATCTCTCCAACTGGAACGGCAAAAAAAAATAAAAAATCATTTCCTTCAATGGGTTGCTGGGGCCCCTGATGCAGCGCGGGGCCCCTGATGCAGCGCGAGGCCCCAGCAACCACCACCACCCTCCCTCCCCCCATGAGACCTGGCAGCTTCACCTCCTCTCTGCCAGGTCTCCTTCTCCCTGTCCCGCGGTGCTCTGTGTGATGGAGAGAGGCGGGGCCAGGAAGTGACATCACTTCCTGTTTACTCCTCTCACACAGAGCCCAGCAGCAGCCGGGGAAAGAGCAGAGAGACAGGTAGGCTTTAGTCACCCTCCTCTCCCCCCTGTCACTAGTCACTGTCACTAACCCCCCCACTGTCACTAATCACCCCCCCACTGTCACTAGTCACCCCCCTCACTGTCACTAATCCCCCCCACTGTCACTAATCACTTTACTGTCACTAATCACCCTCCCCTGTCACTAAATCACCTCCCCCTGTCACTAATCACCCCCCACTGTCACTAATCACCCTCCCCCTGTCACTAATCACCCTCCCCTGTCACTAATCCCACCCCCTGTCACTAATCACCCTCCCCTGTCACTAATCACCTCCCCTGTCACTAATCACCCTCCCTGTCACTAATCACCCCTGTCACTAATCACCCTCCCCCCCTGTCACTGTCCACCCTCCCCTGTCACTAATCCACCCCCCACTGTCACTAATCACCCTCCCCTGTCACTTCAATCACCCTCCCCCTGTCACCTAATCACTCTCCCCTGTCACTAATCACCCCCCACTGTCACTAATCACCCTCCCCCACTGTCACTAATCACCCCCACTGTCATTAATCACCCTCCCCCCACTGTCACCCCCTGTCACTAATCACCCTCCCCACTGTCACTAATCACCCCCCACTGTCATTAATCACCCTCCCCTGTCACCCCCTGTCACTAATCGCCTCCCCCCACTGTCACCCCCCACTGTCACTAATCACCCCCCCCACTGTCACTAATCACCCCCCTTCACTGACACTAATCACCCCCACTGCCACTAATCACCCCCTCCCCACTGTCACTAATCACTTACTGTCACTAATCACCCTCCCCACTGTCACCCCCCACTGTCACTAATCACCCCCCACTGTCACTAATCACCCCCCTCTCACTGTAAGCTAGTCACCCCCCCTCACTGTCACTAATCACCCTCACTGTCACTAATCACCCTCCCCTCACTGTCACTAGTCCACCCCACCACTGTGTCACTAGTCATCCCCTCACTGTCACTAGTCAACCCCCATTGTGTCACTAGTCACCCGCACTGTGTCACTGGTCACCCCCCACTGTGTCACTGGTCACCCCCCACTGTGTCACTAGTCACCCCCCTCACTGTCGCTAGTCACACCCCTCGCTGTCGCTAGTCACCCCCCTCACTGTGTCACTAGGCACCCCCCTCACTGTGTCACTAGGCACCCCCCTCACTGTGTCACTAGGCACCCCCCACTGTGTCGCTAGGCACCCCCCCTCTCTGTCACTAGTCACCCCCTCCCTCACTCTGTCACTAATCACTACCTCACTCTGTCACTAGTCACCCTCTCCCTCACTCTGTCACTAGTCACCCTCTCCCTCACTCTGTCACTAGAGTGAGGGAATGACTGGTGACAGAGTGAGGGAAGGGGTGACTAGTGGCAGAGTGAGGGAAGGAAGGGGTGACTGTTGACAGAGTGAGCGGATGACTGGTGACAAAGGGAGGGGATGACTGGTGACCGAGTGAGGGAGGGGGTGACTAGTAACAGAGTAAGGGACGGAGGGGGTGACTAGTGACAGAAGGAGGGAGGGAGTAGTGACAGAGGGAGGTGGTGACTAGTGACAGTCAAGTCACCACCTCCCTCACTCTGCCACTAATCACCCCTTCCCTCACTCTGTCACTAGTCACCCCCTCACTCTAGTGACAGAGTGAGGGAGGGGGTGACTAGTGACAGTGTGGCAGGGAAGGGGTGACTAGTGACAGAGTGAGGAAGGGGGTGACTAGTGACAGAGGGAGGGGTGACTAGGGACAGAGTGACAGTCACCACCTCCCTCCCTCTCTCTGTCACTAGTCACCACCTCCCTCACTCTGTCACCAGTCATCCCCTCTAGTGACAGAGTGAGGGAGGGGGTGACTAGTGACAGAGAGAGGGTGTGACTAGTGACAGAGAGAGGGAGGAGGTGACTAGTGACAGAGTGAGGGAGGGATGGGGTGACTAGTGACAGAGTGAGGGAGGTGGTGATTAGTGACAGAGGGAGGGATGGGGTGACAAGTGCCAGTCACCACCTCCTTCACTCTGTCACGTGTCACCCCCTTCCTCACTCTGTCACCCCTTCCTTCCCTCACTCTGCCACTAGTCACCCCTTCCCTCACTCTGTCACCCCCTCACTCTAGTGACAGAGTGAGGGAGGGTGTGACTAGTGACACAGAGAGGGAGGGGGTGACTAGGGACAGAGGGAGGAGTGACTAGGGACAGAGTGAGGGAGGTGGTGACTAGTGACTAGTGACAGTTAGGGAGGGAAGGGGTGACCAGTGACAGTGAGGAAGGGGGTGACTAGGGACAGAGTGAGGGAGGTGGTGACTAGTGACAGTCACCACCTCCCTCACTCTGTCACTGTCACCCCCTCCCTCTGTCACTAGTCACCCACTCCATCCCTCCCTCTGTCACTAGTCACCCACTCCCTCCCTCCCTCTGTCACCAGTCATCCCCTCACTCTGTCACTAGTAACCCCTTCCTTCCCTCACTCTGCCACTAGTCACCCTTTCCCTCACTCTGTCACCTGTCACCCCCTCACTCTGTCACTAGTCACCCCCTCACTCTAGTGACAGAGTGAGGGAGGGTGTGACTAGTGACAGAGAGGGAGGGTGTGACTAGTGACAGTGAGGAAGGGTGTGACTAGTGACAGTGAGGGAGGGTGTGATTAGTGACAGAGTGAGAGAGGGTGTGACTAGTGACAGAGAGAGGGTGGGGTGACTAGTGACAGAGAGAGGGAGGGGGTGACTAGTGACAGAGTGAGGGAGGGAAGGGGTGACTAGTGACAGAGTGAGGGAGGTGGTGATTAGTGACAGAGGGAAGGATGGGGTGACTAGTGACAGTCACTCTGTCACTAGTCACCCCCTCCCTCACTCTGTCACTGGGTCACCCCCTTCCTCACTCTTTCACTGTGTCACCCCCTTCCTCACTCTCACTAGTCACCCACTCCCTCCCTTACTCTGTCACTAGTCACCCCCTCTCTCACTCTGTCACCAGTCATTCCCTCACTCTGTCACCAGTCATCCCCTCACTCTGTCACCAGTCATCCCTTCCTTCCCTCACTCTGCCACTAGTCATCCCTTCCCTCACTCTGTCACCAGTCATCCCCTCACTCTGTCACCAGTCACCCCTTCCTTCACAGTGACAGAGTTAGGGAGGGAGAGACTAGTGACAGAGAGAGGGATGGGGTGACTAGTGACAGAGAGAGGGATGGGGTGACAGAGTGAGGAAGGGGGTGACTAGGGACAGAGGGGGTGATTAGTGACAGAGTGAGGGAGGGAGTGACTAGTGACAGAGAGAGGGATGGGTTGACTAGTGACAGTCACCCCCTCCCTCACTCTGTCACTAATCACTACCTCCCTCTGTCACTAGTCACTCCCTCACTCTGTCACTAGTCACTCCCTCACTCTGTCACTAGTCACTCCCTCACTCTGTCACCAGTCATCCCCTCACTCTGTCACCAGTCATCCCCTCACTCTGTCACCAGTCACCCCTTCCTTCACAGTGACAGAGTTATGGAGGGAGAGACTAGTGACAGAGAGAGGGATGGGGTGACTAGTGACAGAGTGAGGAAGGGGGTGACTAGGGACAGAGGGGGTGATTAGTGACAGAGTTAGGGAGGGAGTGACTAGTGACAGAGGGATGGGGTGACTAGTGACAGTCACCCCCTCCCTCACTCTGTCACTAATCACTACCTCCCTCTGTCACTAGTCACTACCTCCCTCTGTCACTAGTCACTACCTCCCTCTGTCACTAGTCACTCCCTCACTCTGTCACCAGTCATCCCCTCACTCTGTCACCAGTCATCCCCTCACTCTGTCACTAGTCACCTCTTCCCTCCCTCACTTTGCCACTAGTCACCTCTTCCCTCCCTCACTCTGCCACTAGTCACCCATTCCCTAACTCTGTCACTAGTCACCCCCTCTCCATCCCTCTGTCACTAGTCACCCCCTCTCCATCCCTCTGTCACTAGTCACCCCCTCTCCATCCCTCTGTCACTAGTCACCCACTCCCTCACTCTGTCACCAGTCACCACCACTCACTGTGTCTCCCCCTCACTCTGCCACCAACCCACCCCTCCCTCCCTCACTCTGCCACCAGGTACCCCCTCACTCTGCCACCTGTCACAACCTCCCACACTCTTCCACCTGTCACCTTCTCCCTCAAACACTCTGTCACCTGTCACATATGCATTCACACAGACACTATATACAAAAAAGCACATGTAGTCATCCAGACATGCACAAGTGCATTCACACAGACTCAAATACAAACATGCATTGATACACAGGTCTTCGCAATATACACATCCAAAGGAATGCCGTTTTATGAGTTATATTTAACATTTATTTAATGCACATATATTTGGCCTTCAAAGGGCCTGGGATCTAATTTTGCCCGGGGGCCCCAAAGGCTCTCAGTCCGCCCCTGCTTGAAGGCGAGCATCAGAGGTGGGAGTACGGACAAAAGATAGACGTAAGTCTTCAGCAGATTGTAAGGTCCTAGACGGGACATACTTGTGTATAAGGGAGGATAGATAGGTGGGAGCAGCATTATGTAGAGATTTGAAAGCAAGAACAAGAATTTTAAACTGAGCCCTATTTCTTACAGGAAGCCAACGTAGGGACTGACAGAAGGGTGGGGCATGGGAGGTGCGGGCAGACAGTAAGATGAGCCTTGCTGCCGCATTTATTATGGACTGTAACGGCGCAAGTTGGGAGCACGTAAGACCACTGAGAAGCGGATTACAGTAGTCAAGGCGAGAAAGGACAGTGGAATGGACCAACACCTTAGTCACATCTGGTGTTAAGTAGGGGCGGAAGCGCAATGTTTTTGAGATGGAAATGACAGGATCTGGCAATAGATTAAACATGAGGCTTGAAGGAGAAGTCGGAGTCAAAGAGAACACCTAGGCATATACACCCTCATACATAGTACACAGCAGTGGCGTACACACAATCCATGGGGCCCCGATGCGAAACTGATCCGTGGGCCCCCCTCCCTCCCCTCTCTCCCCCGATCCGTGCTATCCTATCTCCCCCGATCTGTGCCTCCTCATCCCCCCTGACACATACATACATACAGACACACACACAAACATACACACAGACAGACAGACACACACACAAACATACATCCCTCGACAGACACATACATACAGACACACACATTTATATACACACAGACACATACATACAGAGACACAGACACACACACATACATAGACACAGACACATACATACGGGGCCCCATGGATTGTGTGTACGCCACTGCATACATAGACATACATACATACAGAGACACACACACATAGAGAGACTCCCATACAGACAGACACACACATGCAGAGACACAGACACACAGAGACACACACACATACATACATACATACAGAGACACAGAGACACACACACATACATACATACAGTGACACAGACACACACACAGACACACATACATTCAGAGACACACACATACAGAGACACAGACACACACAGACACATACACATACAGAGACACAGACACACATACATACAGAGAAACACAAACACAAAATGTTTCCTACCTTGTTACTTTCCCTGGGGTCCAATGGTGGCTCAGCCTGATAGGAGTCAGACTTCCCCCTCTGACTCCCTCCTACTCCTCCTTCCTCCTGCATGGGCTCTCAGTATGCTGGGAGGAGTGACCAGGGAATCACCTCCCAGCGATGATGGAATCACAGGGGGCCCGGTCGAGTTGTTAAAGCACCCAGCGCAGACCGGGCCCCCTCACAATCCATATCCATCAGGTGGCCCTGACAGCATGAGCCACCCGATGGACCCCTCCATATGAGGCCCCGGCGGTTTGCCGCGCGGGCCGGGGCCACAAAATGTGGCAGCAGGCCTGGTACCCGGTCGCAGGGGTCCGCAGGGCGGCCGGGCCCACTGGAGTGCCGGGCCCGGTCGCAGCTGCTACCCCTGCGACCGCGGTATGTACGCCGCTGGTACACAGCACCGGTGCAAGTATTTTTGGCTACACAGGCAAAAATGCATTTTGCAAGCCACATGTGTTTTCACCTGTATGTGTCTCTTTAACCCTCACTTGATTGGCGCAGACATGGCAACTGGAGCAAGTGGAGAGGACAGTTGTCATTCACAGTCTCCCAGGGGCCATGCAAAGCGGTGACAAGATTAATTAATACAGGAGAAAAAAGGTCAGAAAACTTTATTTTTATGTTTGGATGTTGTGCGGCTGGCATCTAAAGGGGTAAAGGAATACCCAAAACGCTAAAAACTAATATCAGCTTTTAAAATTGGATTGTTCCTCAGATATTATACTAATATCTGGTATATATTATAAGCAAATATATATATATATCATATATATGCTTATAATATATATGTATATATCATAGAGAATAAACAAAAAAAGAAAAAAATGCCATTCTACCTGTGGATGATTTACTGAGAAGATTGTATAAGATTGTATAATCTTCTCAGTAAATCATCCACAGGTAGAATGGCATTTTTTTCTTTTTTTGTTTATTCTCTATGATATTCACCATTTAGGGGTTACCCCCCTTTTTTTTAATTTTTTATTTCTTTTTTTTTGTTTCAACACCAAGTACCACTGTACAACAATAAGTGGCCCTCGCAGGGGCCTGTCTGCAACATATACTATAGTTCGTTATACAGAGAAGATTGAAAGGTATGTCAGGAAATCCGGTTGCAGTGAGCCTTTTGGTGTTGTTTTCCAATTTTTAGGGCCTTTCTGGTCCCAAGATCAAACATGAACAAAAACTAGTTCCTTACAATGCGTTTTACATTTATATATCATTAAAAACCGTTAACCTATTGCGGTCCTAATGTCCTTCCGGCTGTTTCATCGTTATTTTGGTCGTCTGTATGTCACTCATATTGATTCTTACAGTGGTGTGCCCTATATGTTTGTTAGCACGTCTGGTTGGTGTCATACTGTGTTGGCTACGGGCTTCACCCCCCTTTTTTTTTGTGCCCTCCACCTTGTGATATCTAAATTTTGGCCCTAAGTTAATTCTTTTTGTTTTCCTCGTATAATAATATATATGTATATACGTTAATATACATTTGTATATGTATTTTTGTATATATGCATATTTTTTTTATTAAGACTTGACGTTTTCAAAATGAACAAACACAATCACTGACACACACTTATTGATACATAGTGGCATAAGCATGTTCCCTGTCTCACACTTCCCTTACAGGCAACCACCAGGGTTCTTTACGGGGTCAGAACAGGGTCATGGAGGCAAGCCCTTACTCCTCATACACAGCCATTCACAGAGCTATGCTGCCAGGATCTGACATCATTAGTGAAAAAAAGGTTTTACTTACCTTTTGACCTGGAAGAAATACGAAAAAAGTTTTTTCTTAAATTCTCCCAGTGCCGAGACTCACTAGGAGCTGCCATCCGCTCCTTTTCCTGCGACATCATCTTCAGAGAGAAGCATTAGGTATGAGGTGCGCATGCATGGAGAGTGCAAAGCGCCCATCCAGGCAACTGCTTCACATTCAGAAGTACTAAATACAAAGCTT